GAAAGACAATCAGATTTAGTAATTAGGTTATTGTTTGATGATCAAAGTAATTAGCATACATTATCGAACTTTCCGATCGAGGCCGTGACATTTCACGTCCTATATATAAACATTTAGATAAAGAGAAAACCAAAATGAATTCCTTGGGCATCTTACGAGACTTGTTACTATTCGATGAATCTATTCGACATCGAATAAAGAACATTAGGATTAGAAGTCAAAGCAAGCAAAGTAAATACCCTCAATACGATAGTGAACACATTTATGAATGGCTTCTGGTTTCTCTTTATGATGACAATGATGGCAGTAGTACCGAGCTCTATGCAAAAGAAATCGAGTAACTGATTGATTTGTCATATGAGATGATGATGAAGACGATTACCTTGATGCTTCTTCTGAACTTCCGGCTAAAAAGAATCCCCGTGTTCGCTTGGCAATCCGATAATACTTCGATGTTCGATCAGGATTGATTGCTAAGCGTCGTTGTCCGTTCTCCTCGCAAACTTCAATCGCGAACAGAAGAATATCAAGTTCAACGAGGCAAAATCTAGACAAAATCAAACGGATGTTTTCATTCAAACCAAGTCTTTTCTTTACCTGGCAGCTTCACTAAAATTTTTCAAATCATGTACAAAATAATTCGATAACGTCTCCGTGTACATCTCCAACGATGCACCCCGAAGGTATTGTTGTAACCAAACGGATCGATCAGGTGCACCCTGGATTGTAAGAACAGAAAGAAAGCAGATGATCTCTTCGTTTTCCCTTATGCTAAATAGTACAAAGGGACACTGACCTTTTCTGTTAATTTTCCAGCAACCTAGAAGAAACATATTTCCTTCGTGGTTATCGATTATTTCTTGATTCGAATGTCTCGCTTTGCTTACCTCGGTATCTGAACGCATAGCAAAAATATTGGCAATCATCGTTGAAAAGCCTGGATTCAGACAACTTTCGGCAATTAAACCTAGTTTCAACTCTAAACAAAGAAATTATCGATAGATAAGCGTAAACATTCTTCTTCTCTTGATTATCTTACCAGCAATGCAAACAGCTTCATCTGTGTTATTATTCCATGCTGGAATATTCATTAAGTGCATCTAGATAAATGAGATAATAATAATCAATGGCTTGCAATGATGTCAAATACTTTGTTATGATATTGTAGAAGTTGAACGATAATTTTCGTTTCCGAATGGTAATTTTTTATACTAATGACACGCATAATATTACTAGCATCTTCGCCATCAGGATCAATGGCGTCTTTATTCGCTAAGATTAACACTGCTTCTGTTCTTTTTAACTAAAACGAATGAAGATTGCTTTGGACATTGCTTTCGAATCGTTTGGACTTACTTTAACACGATCTAAATCGACCGGGTCCATGACGGTAGCATCAAAATACATCACACGTGTAAAATGTCGTTTTAAAAGAGCTTGAAATTCGAAATCAACTGAATGTTTTCTAGATAAAATCGAAGATGAGATCTATTAAACAAACTCTTTCACATCTCTGCATACTTATCAACTATAAGAACATCAGCATCATAGAAACTATCTGAACTGACTCGATCTTCGTGTAGAAAATCTTTAAGAAAATTCTCCATTGATGTAAATGTAATATGACCACAGACAAGGACAAATCTAAACATGAGATCGTCCGTTGTTGATATTATACCGAGAATGAACACGAAATGCGAATTCAAAATAGCCTTCCTACTTTTTGCCATTTTCTAATCGGTATTGTCCTGCATATTTCTTTTTATTTGATAACATTTCGGCTAGTTCGGGAATCGCTCGAGCGAAAAGTGCGAGACCACCTGTTATGAAGAAGATTATAAAACATTGTCCAACTGTCTATAGAAAATAAACACATGATTATAGGTGATTTGTTGAAGGTATATCTAAAAAGGAAATGACAAAGACGTATACGATCACAGTCACACACACTCAAGCGGTCATATTGTACTAACTACTACGAACTGTTCTCAGATGGTAGTCGCCGTAGCCAACTGTGCTAAAACGAGAAGAAGAAGAAAAAACCAACGATGTAGTTTACATATTGAACAAAAAATTTCTAAACTTTTCGTTGTCTTCTGCATTATCAATAGAATAATGTCGTGCTCTAATATAAACAATGAGTACGGAAGTAATTTTCCTAATCTGTACATATGGTGCAATGTTTTTCTTTGCATTCTACATCATGTGTTCTCTGCATAACAAGCAGTTAATAGATAGGTTGTATAATAGGATTAATGGAGACGGAGATTTTTCAATGAGAAAATCAATCGAATAATCAACTGAAAGTAAAGAGGCTCTTATCGAGAGAAAGGCATTTTGTATGGGAGCACAAGTACAGAGACACATCGTTTTCTGGTATCTGTGTCTTAATGAATGATTTGTTCTTTGCGGGAAAAGAAAAGAACCATTCTAATCTACTTATTATTGAAGCAGAAAATTTTGAATCTCTTAAGCAAAAAGAAATCAGATACATAGAAAAAGCACCGAAGTGGAAAATCATCGATTCTTCTTTCTGTATCTATTCATCTTTCACAATATTTAATCAAGTCATTCTTAGTCGAATTACCTCATTGTGACGATAAGAAAATACACACATTGAAAATAAGTGATTGGTTGTGAATTTGAGTAATTTTGAAAGAAATCGCCCGAATTCTCGACCTATACATACATATGTACAAAATGCATTCACAGAAAATCTTCTTTGCTTCGATTATTAAAACAACAACAATGATATTATTACCAGATGGACAAATCCGGCTGCTGATAACCAAACCGTAAACAGAAGACATAACATACGTGTCAAACGAATTGAATTACTACTGCGAAGTATATGTAAAAATTGAAGAATATCTGGAATATTCAGAATTCGTGCGATACGAAAAAATCGCATTCCTAAAGAAGAGAAAGACAGTCGACATTTCCGATAGCATATCGAATGTTTCCTACCAATCCAATTACGTCCCAAAACAATCGCAGTAAACGATGGTGGAATGGTGAAAAAGTCGACCCATGAATGAATATCCAAACACCAAAAGCGAAGTTTATCTTGTGCAGCAACAAACTAATCATGATTCATCGAAATCTCTCTCAACATTGATTTATCACTCAATTCGAATCTTACTCGAAGGAAAAAATAGAAAAGAAAGAACACATTGAAAGCCAAATCAATCTGTTGGGTTGGACTTTGCGACCAGAGTTGACAAGATTCGATCGGTCTTTGAGACGGATACGAATTAAATAAAATAAGCATCCTCAAAGATTACTCATTTACTTACTGCGTACTAACATCATAAAAATAAATCACCAGCGACGCTAGACTTAGCACAACAACAGCAATTACCTATAAAACATTAACATGATAAATGAATTATACACTTTAGTTTTTTTGTGCTCGAGGTTATACGAGAATTTTTCCTGGTGTTTGTTGTCCTGATATTAATTTAGCTGCATATTCTTTGATGATTGTTGCCCAATTACGTTCGTGCATGGGATCGAATCCATAAGGTGAATCTTGTTTATCGGCATTGGCAACTAATCGTTTGGATCGCTGACGAATACTTGGCCCACGTTTGTAAAGTAAAGCCCCGCCACGCCAAAGAAGAATAGCAATAACACCGATAAAAAAGGTTGCTAAACTTGAGAAAAGGAAAGCAAACCAGTAGCGTTCACCTGAACACGAGCCAGCTAAACTTGTACTACTCGTCGATGTGTTGCTGTTATTCGTTTCCATTGATAAAGATTAATAACTCATTTACTAAGTAAGCAAAATAAGAAATAAAAAATGACGTGTTTTGTATCGACATAATGTATACAAGACAAAAAATGCTTTGTTGAGAAAGAAAAACGCACACGAGAAGAGGTTGCCTTCTATCATTCCTACTACAAATACCGAGAGATGAAAGGGAAAGTCAATTATTGCTGTTCGAATTTCGCTTGTCACCACAGTTTTGCAAGAGGAAATATGGAAAGCTATTATTTATACAAGAATTACACAGATCTCTCTATTATTTGCCGACATATTTCTTTTCAATCAACAAATAAAAAAATTACAAATATGACAAACCTATGAACATTGATTGAATATTAGACGAGTCTTTAGAACAACTTCGATGTTACTGTCAGCTGTCTGTAATATAGAGCCATCGCGAAAAGAACCATACTTAGAGTAAATGAGAGACATGCAAAGCGATAGACAACGAAGATGAAGATGAAGAAGGAGAAAAGAGACCTCCCCCTCTTCGGTTGTATTAAGACATGGCTATCTTTTTTTCTTCTTTCTCTCGTTTGCTAGAATCATAAAGCAATCTACAAGCACTAACGATGCTTAAGACTAACCTCTTTTCTCCACCCGCGCCTGATTAACATATTTATACGATGAGAGAACTATAGCAGTAACATCCGAAACAGCAACAACAACAGCGACATTAACTCGACACCGGTCCTTTCTCCTTCACTGCACAAAGTGGAGACAAACAGAAGGAAAAGCCGAACAAATAACGAATTGCTTCGACTCTCATCAATGGAAAAGAATAGAAATATAGTAGTCAAAGCTAAAAGGAACAGGCAGACAACGAAGAAGAAGATACTATGATATCATATCTTTTACTTAGGTCATATTCCTGTATCAAATGAATCAGAATTCTCCTCGTTGTCTTCTTCTTCTTCTTCTACTGCTTGCATGTATAACAAGGCCGTATATGCAAGGAATGACCGTGGATAATAAATGGCACTTATCCATAATTCAATCATATATATTTTCATACAAAATAAAGAAAGAGTCTTAACAATTTCCCTTCAATCAATAAGCGTGTATCCATATTGAATATTCCCTAATTACAGATAATCTTTGGAATCTTTCTTTTATTAAGTTTTTTATTCTTCACTTAGGAAAAAAAGACGACATAATCATCAAGACATATGTATATATTCTGTTTCTTCTTTTTAAGTTTTATTGGATTACTTCATTTTGCGTACTTCATTTACGGTGGACAAGAAACGTCAGTGTCGCAACGCATCTTCATGAAGTTATATCGAAGACCTCGCGGGCATGAAAGAGAAGAGAGTGTATAACCATTACATTGAAAATATCTTCCAAATTTACAATTGATTGGATCAGCGTAGACGCCGGTCATTGGACACGAAAAATATGCTAAAAAGAATTTCTCTTCTTTCATCGATCATTCTACAATGTCCAGTTTACTTACAAGATTGACAACATTGACCTGTTATTCCCGGTGGACATCGACAGAAAGCGTAGATCAAAGAACCAGTGACTCTTTCTTCGCAGGCACCACCGTTTTGGCAAAGACCTGCCACGCAACGACCGAGTGTACCTATAGAGAAGTAAAGCACTTGTTTATATTTCACGATGCTTTACAAACATTCTCGTGTCGAGACAAAGCAGACCGAAAACAAGGCACTAGTGTTCCTCGACTCGAATGGACTGATAATAAGAAGCGAGCAAGACAATTGATACTAGAGAGGAAATATGATTACATAGCACATCTCTTTGCATCCTGTTCTCGGATTGAATGTCACCGAAATTTTAATATCACGAAATACCATCGTGAATCAACAAGGAAGAAAACAAATCATATCGTGATTCGAAATCATTTCTTTGATTTCAAATGCGAAGATAATTTGTTTCCTAATGAAATAAGCCGACCCTAAACAATCATCGTTTTTATCTATATAGTTCGTGACACAAGTATGAAAACAGCTCTTATCAATCATTTCTTTGACTAGTTTTAAATTACAAACAGTAAATCAGCCTGCTGTATGAATTCCAATGACATGATTGTTTTCTTATCCACTCAGACTTGCTTGAGATAGTGCATTGTTTATATTTCTCTCATACTATTTCACTCTTTAATTGTGCTAATGTACTCAAGAATCTATTTTATTCTGTCATCGGTTTCGATTGGTTATTTTCAGTTAGTATTGCTTTTGCAATACTATTTTCTGACTATCAGACTGCGAAGAATTCGGAAGGAATGTCGAATGACAAACTAATTATTCTCTCTCAAAAGAAATATTCGATGTCACTTTCGAGATTTTCTTACCAACTAATTCGCAATTCGGACCAGCAAAACCTAGAGAGGAAGTACACAATTGTAATATTGGCTTAGGACAAAGTTTCATTACCAGCGGGACATGTGCAATGCATGAGAACTCCATTTTCAGTCGGAGGATTAGGATTACATACACCACCATTAGCACAAACTACATTTTGACAACCTGTTTGGCCTAAAGATAAGAAAACAAAGTGTATTCATTATCGAACTCAAACAAAACATCCTTTTCACGCTTACCACTTGGTATTTCACAGTAAAGACCAGTATAGCCATTGATACACGTGCATGTCCCGGTTATGCTATTGTACACACCTAATTAGATAAATAAAAATCTGATATTACTTTCTCATATTTTGCTCTTTTCCTTACCACCATTGAGACAAATGCCAGTTGGAGGAATCGCTGTTGTTGTTGTCGTCGTCGTTATTGGATTAGCTCCTGTTTGTATGTATGTCGATATTAGTTTTTATAATTTCATTTCTAATCTAAGATTAGTCTTACCGGGACATGGTCCTGGATTTAGATAATTATTTGTCCCATTTGTACATCCGCATGCATAGAACAGACCTTCGAAAAACGATCTTTCTATACAGACTCCGTTCGGTCCACAATTGATCGTATCACAGATACCTAAGATAAATGATTAACTTAGGAAATCGTATCTCTATTGATAGAAAAGGCAATATCTCACGACAACGTCGATTTATTTCGGCATGACCATCGGGACATGTACAAATGACATTATTAACATTATCCGTGGCTGGAAGACATTGATAATTAGGTGGCACAAAATCGCCCCCTAATTCGCACGGATTAGTATTGCATTGAACTATAGAAACGAGCAAATAAATGTGTGAAAATGAAACGAAAGATTATTCAGGAGTGAAACCTGCTAAAGAGAGTGTGAAGCACGCAAATGTGACTAACACCAACGAGAGTATACGCAACATTTTCTTCAAAGTTAGGTTTTGTAATAAAAAAACATGCTTTTATATCATCAGATTTTTGAAAAAAAAATATCTAATTTCGTTTTGGTATTTTCGCCTTGAAAAATAACATTCATACATATTGCATCCATTGATGATCATATATCCTGATCAACAAAAAAACATCTTGACTACCTTGAGTCATGCAGATCATATTTCGTTTCGGATTTAAATAAATCAATCGACAAAGGACGAAAAATAAGATTCGCTACTACAACTATCGAGGAAAATTAACCGATGATACATATCGAGAGGGTCTACCGTCGTAAATCGAAAAGATATACAACTGATGATGGAAAGAGACAGATGCAGTATCCCATTGTCTGTCTGTCTGTCTGTCAGTCAGTCAGTCATCGAAGTTACATAATACATCTGTGGTCTTGTTTCGATCAAATTATTCAATCGAATGACATTATTTTTATTGAATAATAGATCGGTTATTCTGGAAAAGTGCAACAGATATATTATTCCAACAGTTGCCGTTGTTTTTCATTAGCTGCCAGTCGGTCGAACTTCTTTTGCAAGTCTTTCTAAATGAATCATGATCAGAAATTTGTTATTGTTACTAGTAAATATCCGGGTGTATACTTGACGTTTTTCTTTGATGGACTTGCATAGATTTTTCATATAGAGATGATCGTTGAGTATGACGACATCACTACCGGTTAATTCTCGGATGCGGCGAGCGACATTTTTTTGTAGTTGGTTGTCTCTGAAACGTGAAATGTTCAAAAATATATCAGAATCGATAGAATTTACTGTGGTAAGCGGTAGGGAATAGCATTAACTCGGCGAATTTCATCGAGAACATTGGTTTGACTCAATTTTTTCAAAATTTCCTCGATAATTTCTAAACGACGTTGATTCGTTAAAACACTTGGAATCACCGTTGGCATATCCAAAGCTGGTTTTGCTTTAGAACTTGTTGGAGCAATATCGAGATCATCGCATCGTTCGCGAATGATTTGAATTCTAATCAAGAAAACAGAAAACATGCCACTGACACGATTGAATATCATTCGTACTTAAATGGTATTTTATCAAATTCTTCATCCGTCAATTCAGTGGAATCTTTTTCATCAACTGTTTGATTGTGTAGCTGTCGTAAGTGTAAAAGATTGACATTAGGTAATTCAATGGATGGTTCACAAATAGATAGGAATCGACTGGCTCGTGTGGGCGGCTTGAAAGTTGAGGGAGACTTCGGCTCTTTGTCCTCTGGTTCATCTTCAACAAATCGAAGTTGCTGACGTTGACGGCGAGAATTTTTGCGATCCTTCGATGCGTTTTCATCGTTGATTTCATTCGTATTGTCTGTTTCGTCTGTCGACATGTTTCACAACGGGAAAATGAGCAGTTCTATGTTCGTTGGTGAATTTCAATGGGTAATCAAATTCAGCAATAGATACGATCAAATTTCATAACAATAAAAATCACAACTGTTCGTACAAGTCTTGTTTTTCGAAAAACAAATTACTATCGTGGGTCATATTTGATCACGTCTGTTGATTCTTATATAAATATAGTTAATAAACACTTCATTTAGTAACGAATCAGGATCTCTTGTATCCATTGAATGGACAGAAACAATTGTCTACGAAGTCAATATGAAAATAACCTTTTTATCGTATCAGCTACGATATCAGGCTTAGAGAAAGAAAGGATAAAGAATGTGATGAATAGTTTATGATATAAGAAAATTCTTTCATGGTGAAACGAACAAAAATACATTTGTTTGCATCTGATCAGTCACTGTCAAAGTAAGAAAACTAATTATGTACTCTTACATTGCTATCAAGTAGTAAAAATAGCTGAGTTTCCATAGATCGAGTTGTTCAGCATTAACAACTAACTATGTGATGTAATGCAGAGCTATTTCAGCTATGTTTCTATCTTTGCTTTTTCTCATTTTCGCACGTTTGCGCCATCGGCAAATATCGATTAACAATTATTAAAAATGTATGCGTATATCTACTTCAGTGACAGATAAGTTTCGCCGACACTTGTTCTGGTAAAACAATGTAATTATGTTTTGAGCATGTAGACCATCACTTGATCTGATAATCATGTCACTGAAAATTCGCTTCTGTTTATTGTCTTCTCGCTTTGTTTATATAAGTATGCATGTGTGTAGATCACCTAGCGTTATTTCGTTTAGTAGGAAGTCGATGTCTGTTCTTTTTTCCAATGTAAAATACAGATAATTCTTTCAAACGGAGAGATCTTATGTGCTTTAATCTTCTTTCGATTTCTTTTCTAGTAAATTGAACATTTGATATTGATTGACATGCATTTTGGTCTTATAGTTTTTCTCTTGGGCTTCGTTGTACTACAGGTAATCGTGAAAAAGCTCTTCATACCAATTCATCATTTTCAATTTTGATATTTCTAGCAATTCATTCATGTAGAATCACTCGTATCGCCTATAAACAGTCCTGATAACGACGCTGGTCGACCATATTTTGCTCGACGTTTACGAGCTCCACTCATGGGCCGCGCACCAACGCTATTAACAATCGATGAAATAAGCAATCAGAAATATACAGAGTCCGCTAGTAGTAGCAGCAGTGCAAGTAATGACGAACAGCCGGTTCAACTCGAAAAACGGCGGCCAGGTGCACCATTATTCGGTCGTCGATGGATCAATACGAAACGACGAGGACCACTTTTCGGTTAACCAATAAACATACACATATTTAAGATGTCCGTAATTATACAAAAAAAAGAATAAAACATATATTTATTTCTTCCTTCAGACTCTTTGTTTTCGACATCATTCTAATACAATAAGATTTAATCGATATATATATATATATTCAAATGTATCTTAAAGAAATGGAATTGTTCAATCAGAAATTTCATCGTATCCTTGACTGTTGATAGCATTTACATTGTTTTCACCGATGATTTGATTTCGTTCTTTTTCCAGGCGTTTCCTTTCATCCTCGTCGCGTCGTCTATATGTAAATCGAGTGACTAGGATGATAACGATGCAAACAGTACAAACAACTAGAACGAGAAAATTGACTAATTTTTCACGATTTGGTGCGACGAATAGAAATACGAGTGTAACAACATTGATCCACTGAACAAGTATCGATGCTGATAAGGATTCAGGAAGAGGATACATAATTTCTGCTAGAGCTTCGTAAATCAAGGGCGAAGCAGCACCCGAAAAGAGGCCAGCTAGGCCAGTTGACAATCCAATTGTGACTACAGTCGATGAAAGGATGTGTTTATCGTAGAATAAGCTGCGAACACAGAGTTCAAACCAGACAATGGCTAGTAGACAACCGATGAGGGAAATAAGAATAAGAATTTTTAAAGAATGTTGAAAGCGGCGTGTGTCAGCAAGATGACCTAGACCAAGACCACCGATAATTGCCGCTATAGTTGAGCCAAAACCAAACCAACCTAGAGATATTAACAAAACAATAGTCTCGATCAATAAAAAAAAAGAACGAATTTTTACCGGCTTGTCCTTCAGTGTAATGTTCCGGCTCCAGAAGGACATCGTACAAACCAGTCCACGCACCAAAGGTTCCATACAGAAGTCCGCCAGCTGTCGAAAGAAGCACAAATGAAGGCGTCGTTAAACATTTCCAAATGTCTCTCAAAAACGTTCGCCAATTATGACTTGTTTCTCCACTAGTTGGATTCTGTACGAGTAACTCCGCTGCAGCAGAAGGTGCCGTCGGTGGTTGAGCAGGAAAATAGACCAGCGAAAAAACACACGCAGCAAATGCTAAACCAAAATGAATATAGAGGAGACGAGGAACATATTCAGGCTCTGAAACGATCAATGGGCTAATAGCAAAACCCACTCCCGATCCAAGATAATTCGCAAAGATAGCGACAGTAGTTGCACGTGTTCGCTCATGCGGAGCAAACCAGAGACATGATAGCTGCGAAACTGGTGCCATGACGAGAGGGCCACAAGCAGCATTCAATATTTGACCAACATGAATGAACGGTAATGCGAAAGAGCTGAAGTTTGGATGTGACGAGGAGAAAATAATCGATGGTAGTATTCGAGATAATGCTCCGAAGAAGTCAGCAATGGCTAGTAGAAGCACACAGTAGCGTAAACCATTTGCCTGATTTAGCAGAATAGAAGTCAACGGTAAACATGGTATGAAAATAATCGGTCCCCAATTAAGAAGAAGATCTACAGTTGCTTCGGTCACATTGTAATAAGTCTCCGTACTTCGAGCAATAGGAGAGAATGTCAACCACATTATACATTGATTGAAAGACAAAAAGGAAAACACAAACAGAATGTAGAATCGCTGTGGATAAACTCGATACGCTGCGGTTGACTTGACAGCAAGAAGCGATGTCGTTTCATTCGATTCGGGCGCCATTGCGTATAGTTTTCAAATGACCAACTGTCGACTTGACACACCTGTTGTTATATTTTGTCTACCCTTTTACAAGTAACCAAAAGACGACTTTTAGATAAACACGTGAGAAAAGTAATATTGATATACTTTTATCTTTTCATTTAAAAGTATAAATAAACAAAAGAAAATACACTGCAAGAATATAGATATCACTCTGTATCGAATGCAATCTACGTCGGAGGTTTGATACCAATCAAGGTCATGTGAAGATAGTTCTCATATTTATTTTAAAATTGTCGTCATAGTTAAATAAGATTTTGACGAGAAAAGCAAATTCATCTTTTTTTTTACAACAACTGTATAAAGAAATACGAAAGGAAAAACGAGTAATCGTTGAGATTCTATTCACAAAAACATATATTGAGATTTAATTACGAACGAAGAATATGAAGACTGATATACAACATATCGAAATACAAGGAATCGAACATACAAACACATACAGACTTTTAAAAACAAATATTGATACCAATGATGAACGAAAACATCAAGATTGAAGTTCGCCAAATTGAGCACAACATAATTTACAACGCCAGTCACCTTCAGGTGCTTTTGATAGAGGCGGAGAACAACAATACATATGATAACCACTGAAATTGACGAGAATAAGCAAAGTTGAAATGAAATTTTAGACGATATTTACCGATCACAATCATCGCAAAACAAAAGTTCGGAATCATTCTCAGAATTACCACATTCGGTACATGTTTTACATTCCATACATTGCCATGGATAAGTTTTCACTTGTCGAACCATGTTAGGAGTAAACTTGAGACATGTTGGATGTGCGCAACCGCCACAATCCTGCAAGAAAGGAATAAATAAATAGGAACTTGATTCGAAGTGGCAAAGATTCTCTTATATACCTTGCAAGTAATCATTTGTTCGGGAAGTTTTGTTGTTTTATTCTCATGCTCATCACCAGTACAAAAATCACATTGAACGCCTGTTGTAATACCTAATGATGTATCAACATTCGACATGGGTTGCTTCAATTGTTGTTGCTGCTGTTGCTGAAACTGCTGCTGCTGTTGTTGTTGTTGCTGTTGTTGCTGCTGCTGTTGCTGTTGCTGTTGCTGTTGCTGCATCATCATCATATGTTGCTGATGCATCATTGGATGTGGTGGTGGTGGTTGTTGTTGTTGTTGCTGAGAATAATAAGGATTACCAGTAGCAGGCGATGAACCCGAGAGAGCGGCAACAGTTAATGGCATCGATACTGATGGAGGCATGGATTGATGATATGTTTGAGGAGGCATTCCATACGGTGCTTGTTGTGGAGCATGATGATTCATTGGATATGGAGGTCCTGGCATATGACCACCTAAAGAAATAAGTCTGAAGCTTTACACACTATTGTATTTTACAATTGCGCTACCTGCAGGATTATGTGGGGCAGGCCCACCTGCTGAAGGCTGATTTGAGTACATTGGATGCGTTTGTGGATGTTGTTGTTGCGGATGATGATCCATAGATGGATTCATATATTTTTGTTTCATAAGCGCTGCTGACGCATTGGTCGACGATGGTGATGATGATCCACAACTATCAGCAGTCGAAGGTGTCGTGGGTGACGGTCTATAGTCTGTATTAGTCTCTTTATGTTTGGCAAGATGATATTGAAGTCCAGGTTTTGTTTTATATCGTGCCGGACAAAATTCACAAACGAACGGTAATTCAGCTAGTGTATATTGTTGTCGTCGATTTCCGGTCGGAGTTCCACCACCAGACATTCCACTTCCAGGAGCGTTGCTTCCAGCTACGAACGAGAATAAATGCATGTATAACCTACTATTTTCAAATGTGTTCAACAGTCTCAATTACCAGTCTTCCGGGAACTCGAATTTGATAATCGCTTAGTAGAACTTCCACGTTTAGAACGCAACGCTGATGAAGAACCAGGAGATGTTGGACCACCAGGTGTTGTGGGTCCGCTGCCACCATAATCATCGTAATCGAAATCATCGGCATCATCGTCACCATCGAGAATATAATTGCTCGAATGAAGGTGATGATGGTTATGCGTCGTAGGATGCTGAGGCCAATGCGGTTGTGAAGGTTGAACAAGAACAGTCATAGGCGGTGCCGAAGATTGAGACGATTCATCACTAGATCCACCTGTAAATCGGCCATTTCCTGCGGCAGAATTCTCAACAGTGGATATAACATGAAGATCTGAATCCGACATTCCTACAAGAAGTTCATACTTTCTAATCATTTCAACAGATGATATTTTCCGTTATCTCACCAAGGCTACCAGCTCGTACCACTGTACGTGGATCATCCTCTCCTGCATTTGTGTTGACTCCGTTTACATGCTCGTTTTTTGTTGATGACGCTGTTGATTGTTGTTCGTTAATGCCATTGGTAACGCTTACTGCTGGTGGATGTGGTCTTTTCTTATGCCACTGTTTTCTCGCATACGATGCTACTTGATCATGACGAGCAGGTATCAAACGTTGTGTTGGACTTTTCCATAGATAATTTTGTGTCGGCGTTTGAATAATATGAGTTTGTGAATCGACAAATGGCAAACGTAAACGAATACGTCTTTCACGTAGCAGGCGGGAATTGAATTTATTTACACTTGATACTGCATCTGTATAAGTACCTTCGGAACCGAATGCACGTACTACACGTGATGGTAAGAGATCGATCATTCTCTGTCAAACAAAAAACGATGCAGTTCAATTTACTAGTGCTTCATTGAGCAATGCTAGCTCCTCGCTTTAGCTTTGTTTGTATGTGGTTCATTCATTTGACGCTTACCGTTCAAAAGAATGAGCCAATGGAATTGTTGACCTCTACAGTAGACGAAAGAAAATAGAGTGCGCCTGTTCCGCGCGTTCTCTGTGTATAATTCGTTGTGAACAGGAACGAATGTAAAGAAAGAGAGGCTTTTTCAATCCTTTGTTTCTGTTTTCCAATTGATTTAAATTCTAGTCATACATAGATCTTTCGTATTAATTTTCTTGTTGGTAGCTGCAATCATGATAACATACAGCGCCAAGCAGTTGATGAATCTTTGTTCGGATTATGCACTAGATGCACAAATTCAAAAGATTCTTTTCTCATTAGATTTATGGGTACCCAAAGCTGCTCGTGTAAGTCTATTCCTTTTAATTATCTGATTCCCTCTAATAATCTATGAACAGGAAGTACAAATTGATAATGTTGCTCAACAACAATACGCGTCTTCGATGTACTCTGGTTTTAATCGTGCAAGGTATATGCATTTTTATAGCAGAAGACTCTCCTTCAATTGACTCTTTAGATCTCCAACAAGAAATGAGAATATCATTGATACTAGTAATGTTAATCAAAGATTTAGTCGGACATTTGCTTCACGATCGATGTCAGCTGGAGTTGTCCATCATTCAACAGACCATGGATCCTTTTGGAAAAACGAGTAAGACCACCTTCGACTGTGGTTTGTTCTCCTAGTTCTCCATTTGTTCATTTCAACTTAGTTCACGGGATGCAACGAAAACATCCTTGACAAAGAAATCCAGCAATGGCACAGCAACTGACGAACCTACCTCAACAAATCAAGCTCAAATCAAGTTAATGCCTATTCTCGAAGGTGGAGAAACGGAAGATAAGTTATCTGAACTACCAACTCGACCAAACAAAGGAATATCCTTAACAACTACAACACTCGATTGGACACCGAATGAGTAGATTGAATGAAACTACTAGGATATTAAGAAAATGAGTTTTTTCCCTAGAACGGAACCCTCGACCAGTGTTGGTCGCTCAACGATTGATGCGCTTTTCGAACTAAGTGTTCGTGCTGATTCAGCTCTCAAAACAGCACTATGTGAAAATGCTGCATTATTATCAATAAACCAGTCGCAGCAAAGTAGCAATGACCGTCTTTCATTGCGTAAAAGTGTTAGTGTGATGAATCAAAAGCAAAAAGCTGGCAGCGGTCGTTCACTTATACGTGCTAAATCGGACATGGTTGGCAGTGATGCTAAGTAAATGAACGGAATCTCTTTACCTTTTGAATGAACTCATACTTTAATATCGTGTAGTCGAAAGCGTGCCTTGGCACATATTGCTCGTGCATCTGAACGTTACTTCAGTGATGATCCTAGAATGATTGCTGAAATTGAAGAAATCGAACTCGAATATCTGTTTAAGTAAGTATCGATTTCGATAGTTGAACAATGTTGGAACTTTTCCTCCTCTCTTGTTAAGTTACATTCGTCATTTGAAAACCTTTCCCAAATATTCAACTATGAACGAAGATGAAATCTTATTGGAAGTGGAGAGTGATCCACATACATTACGGCAGCGAACAAAAGAAATTCTCAAAGGAAAAATGTCAGATTCTTATGCTGCCTACATTGCCAAATATCCAATAAAGTATAAATGAAATTGTTCATTTGAAATATGTTTTCGCATGGCTATTTGTTTCATTGCAGAAAACAACGTCGACGCGAGCATCCGACATCGCCAAATAAATATCGTAAATGTTCTCGACGATGTTTCGATGGTCAACTGCGTACATGGCGTCGTAATTTACATCAATTCGATGAAAATAACCAACAACAGATGTCCGATGCGACCGAATTAGACCATGTCAACGAATCAACATTAGTATCTTAATTCAATGTTCAAATGCTCGAGTCTAGTAAACGTATCACGTGATAGAACAAACGATCGATTTCATTCATCTAACTGTTCTACTCAAGACAATGCTACGGTGTATCTGTTAGCTTCTTCTTTGTCTCTCATTTCACATTCATGTACAGCTTGCTTATTCATATGTATTTGTATCCTTGATTTATTTTGGATTACTCCAACTGATGGATATCTTTCTCTTATATAATACAAATACAAAACATTTTATCTCATTTGTATCATTGTTAGGCATATCGAGCAAAGTTGACACGATGTACAAGATTGACTTGTACTTTTCGTAGTCTTCTCTGTTGATAGTTTTATGGTATCAGAAATAGTTAATCATTAATCTCATCGTTCGCTGAAGACGAACAGCTTTTCGGAGCTTTAAATTATCCTGTCTTTATGTTCGATAAAAGACAACAACTGTAGTTCTTCTTCTCGATGTCTGTATTATGCAAATAGTTATTGAATCTAGTCGAATAAAGGAGTATATTCATGACGATGAAAGACAAATCGGCTGTTTTAATACATGAGAATAGGAGAAAATGAGACAATGCGATTGATTTCCATACTCTACTTTCGTCTTATTGTCTTTCTTTTGTTTGACACCAATTCAGTTTCTATGTGTATATAGATCTCTCTCATTACCGGTGTAGACTGATAGAAAAAGGATCATATATATTGCTTTTTCCTCTCATTACACGATCCTTAGATAAACTAATCCGAGCTGCCTGTCGTACACACTCATACGCTCCGCCTCAACCTCCTTCATCGAGTGTAGCTACGTATGTTTTGTTCACACACATTGTCAACATGAATAGTCATTCCGTATAATATCAGTTGACCTCATACAAGTGCGAGTGATTTGATCCGAACGTGTATATATTTTTCTTCTTCATCTTCATCTTCATCTTTACTTTTGTTGAACAAGAATCGATGATGTGGATAATAATGATGAATTCTTGCATTGTTTCTAAACTAAAGCTATGAACATGATCTCATTTGGGTGGCTAGTTGTCCTGGTCACTGAATTTACTCATGTAGCTTATGCCAATTGGATTACTGGTGAGAATTTTCGATTTTAGTCCTAGTGACACGACGCTTTTGCCTTCTTGCTTTAAAGGTAATCTATGCTGGTCGATGCCCTGTCTGAACGGCGGTTCGTGTTTTGGATCAGCATATACGTATCTTTGTGTCTGTCCTGTCAATTACAGTGGAGCTTTGTGTGAAAGACGTCTTGGTACGCAGGATTATTCGCTTGAAAGATATCTACAATTATTGTTTTACTTTGCGTTTTTTTACATAGGTATTTGTCAAGAAAGTCCCTGTGGTAATCGAGGTCTATGCGTTGAAACTGGTTTAACTTCATTTGAATGTCGATGCTATTTTGATTACATGGGCCCATTGTGTGAAGAACATGTACCTAAGAAAAATCCTTCCGTATGGTCATGTGAGTTTACACGTTCATCGGTATATTACCATATGTGATCGCTTTTTCTTTAGCACTTATACCTGTACATACACGAGTTCTATTCGATATTTTACAAGACGCATATCGTGCTAAAGCTCATGGTCGATCCACCATAAATTCACGTGATGATTTCATTAACTTTTCCGAATTCTTACCTACAGGTGATAGAACATTCGTACCTATAACAACATCTCCAACATCAACTGGATTGACTTCTCTGAATCCTCCAAGTGACACAACCGAAAATGGACATACCATTCAAGCTACCGATATTCAATTACAAAACATATTTCCAGCAGTGAGTACTGCATCAATATCAAATATGACCATACAAATTTTGTCGACACAAGAAAATATTTCTAATGATGAATACATCTCATCGACGTCCTATGAAACGGACACCACTGATTCATCAACAACATTTGCAGAAGAACTCACTTCAATAACTAGTTCATCTGAAACTACGATGGAAAATCTCACCACAATTTCCTTCGAAGCAAATGAAACGATATCCTCAAATAGCACAGAAGCACAAGAATTCGTCAATACCACTGAACAATCTGCTGTCATACAGAACAATTCAACATATTTAGGTCAATCAAGTTACAACAGTGAAAAAAATACTATCAGTTTTACATCAGAAACTGTTTTCAATTCAACCGAACAAGCCATCATTTTTACTGTTAATGAAAACGAAGAATCAATCCTGGACACAACTCCACAAATAATGGGCAAGATTTCATTTCAAGCAAGCAATTACTCATCGGATGACAACGATACTGATCTATTCAATACAACCGAACAAACAATCGCATCAACCATGGGGACAGCTGATCAATCCCACACAACAGATGAGTCGTCTCATAGTCAGTTACTTTACAAATTATGTCAACAACTACTTTCGCATATTTTACCAAATATATCATCGACCACGGCTGTCGAAGCAGCTCTGTCTTTAACCGCAGAATTACCATCAACTAAAAACAATACAGCTGAAACACTTCTTACATGGATTCAACAAAAGTTTTCTTCAACAACAACAACCACCACTACGACTACCATCAGCACAACAACAACAACAACAACAACAGAAATTCCGTCGTCATCATTATCATTATCTGCTGTGTTAACAAATGGAAGAAAACTTTCATTGCAACGAGTTGATATAGACGATGTGCTTTATCAAATCAATGATAACACTGATGATGGTGACCATCTACCATAGCCAGCATCCAATTTTCATCTTTTAGCGAACAGTCTGCTTTATTCGCTTGTTTGCTTGTCTTTTTTTTCATACAAGATATTTGTTTAGTAGGCCTGTTCTTCCTTGTGTTCAATGAATTGATAGAAAATATCGATTAGATCATTGTCCACCTTACATAACTCACAGTCATTTGATCTATTCAACTAGACCTCGAGTGGATCTTCTGTCACCTATATCAAATATCAATATGATTCACATCTTCTATTGAACTTAGGAGAATTTCCTTTTTTTTTCACTTTTATATGCATGGAGTTGCTGTAATTTAGATTAAAGATAAATATATCTCTACTCATCTTAACCCAACTTTAATCAAAAGTCAGTTGTACCTTACCAGTGAACTAGTTTTTCACACTACGAGAGTAATCAATATGTTTATATCACACGTTGATAGATGGAGAGTATTCAAACATAGACAAGGCGATTGCAAAGTCGAAAGGTAATAAACCGTGACTTATGCCCTTGAACACGATCTTGCATGAATCAATTATTCATTCGTATTTGGCACGTTTCGAACTTTAATTTCATTTACTTCGTAGGAGGATATTTCATAAAAGTCCGTAGAGATATAACCTATTCTGCGTATAAATACAGAGGGAATGTTGAGCAACTACATAGGTTCCAACATATCTGATGGTTTCTAATTACTAAGCAATTTTTAAGTAAGCCATTTGGAACATAGTTTTTTGCATCATCTGTTGATATAGGGTAGATGAGTGAAAGGTTTGCCCTAGATTTTATGAAGGGGCACATGGTAAGCAGCGGGCTATTTCGAATGAACTGCACATTCAATTGTTTTCGATATTTTGCTTTTGTACGATGCATAATAAATGTTGCTGCCTTTGTCAGAAAATCAACGAAATGCCTGAATTGATTGTTTAAAATGGTTGTTTCTGTTTAAGATTCATTTTCCATAGAAGTGATTCTATCTTTTACCTATACAATATGAAAACCTTCTACACATATATGCTTGTAGCAGTTATTTTATTGCTTTCAACTTCCGCATTCGCTCACCCTCCTTCTACCTATGAGAACTCTTTTCCATATGAAATTTCCTCAGAAACTGATCCACAAGGGCAGATAAGCGTTCCTATCCCACCGGGAGGTATCAACAAGTGGCTCCAACAGCTTATAGCAACGATGGGTTCAGTATCGGATGGTGAGTCATTGACTTGTGGTAGTAATTGTGATTGGAAGTGCCGTCTTTTTAGAGCGTATGCGACGTGGTTGGGGTAGTGGTCGTCGTCGTCGGTTCGCCAGCAGAAACCATGAATAAAATCTAAAGGCTACACGTACTATCTTTTTCAATACTAGCAACTTGTTATTTCTGCCTTCATTACTCATTCTTCGACAAAATATAAGCATCTAATTTTATCAGAAATAAAATCTATTCATCGAACTTCATTTTCACCAAGTAAATAAGAAGTCAAACACTTTTTCCTTGCTTCACTCTAATCATGCCAATGAATCAGCCATACATATCGTAGTATATGTCGAATAAAGTCATACATTTTATACTCATTGAAAGAAAACATCAACAACAGAGACTTATTAATCTGAAAAGGCGTCGACAGTTCGTTTTCTTGCAATAGAAACACATGTATACTAATAGAAATCCTATAGATCAGCGAACGAACTATCAGATGAATCATATTTATAAGGATACCAAGTTTCTCGTATATATTCGCAAGAAGGTTACATAAATTCTTTTAGTTTTCATGCGATGATTGTATCCAAATGGTTCGATCGTTGTTTAATAGCATATAAGAAATCTTCTAAATGATTTTTTGAATATCGTTCGAATTATCGCACCTCTTTCTTGTTCCTGTTCTTGCATTGCGGTCAATATGTGTTATTTTTATTGACTCCTTCATTTAACAAGTTGAAAGCAGACTAGTATTTTTCTTCGAATAGATATGAATCGTTACTATTCAGATTCGGACGACGAATACCCCAATCAGCGTCGAAGGTCTGATAGTGCCATGAAAACTGACTGGCAGTCATCGTCAGGAAAAAAACTTTCTCCCACATCATCGTCTTCGTCTGTAACTCGAATCGTCGTTGAATCTCCATTTGGTTCGAAAAAATGTGATTATTCTATTGATAAATCCCAACGTGGCATATTAATTGTCAACGCACGTCGTCGGTCAAGCTTACCATCGGATCAACGTCCATCAACAAATAAAAAACAAGTTGCTGTACAGAAGTTCACTGTTCCACACGATGCCGATGTCGATCGTTTACAATCTCATGTTGAGCCAGACACGAATCGCTTGATTATTGAAATCCCTCGCATTCAACGTTCGAGTTCGCGTGCTCAACAGCGTGCATCTTATATAAGTACGACGAGCAATACGAATACTCGTCTGTTACGTTCACCCGACGTCGAACGAATGTTAACATCACCTACCGGTGGTCCACAATTAATCCTTGATGATTCGAAATCGAACAAGCGCAATTCCAATGGAAGTCGTAAACTTGAATATCGAATTGATTGTCATGGTTACTTTGCCGATGAGTTAGAAGTGTTCATCCAAGGTCGAGACTTGGTTGTGCAAGGAAAAACTAACACATCGAAATCCGCTGATCCGACTGAACAACGTGTATCGAAAAAGTTCACGAGAAAAATCGCTCTACCAAGTTCCGTTGATCTCCCCAAAGTTGTTTCCTATTTAGAGCACGGAGAACTACGTATTGAAGCACCAATTAAACGTGGAGTTCATCATAGTGATGAAGAAATTATCTTACCTGGACCGCCACCGACATCCATATCTGATCGTGCAAGAGCTTCAATCATAACAAATCTGGAAAATCGTGCTCTTTCGCCGACTGTTTATAGTCGACCTCATTATCGACGCAATGAACGCGTTGGTCGTCGTCGAGATTATGATCGATCAAATAATCGGCCTGTGTCAAGTCCTACACGACGCGTACGATCTAGCGAAGGTCTTCGTTATCCTCTTTATGTATCGCCTCGTGAACTTGACGACGACGATGATGAAGATGATAGTAAACGAAGAAAACGAGAAAGTCGACATCGACGGTCATCAGTCGATCATCAATACCGAAAAGAGTCCGAACAACGACAACAATCGCCATATAGATTAAACTATTCTCCTATCAATAATCATACTACAACTACAACAACTGTAACTCATCATCAGAACTATCCATCCGATGATGATAGCTATTTGAAATTTTGATATGTAATAAACTGAAAACGAGAGCTTTTTCTTTTAGTAATTCAATGTACTTTTTAATTCTCCACACAATACAATTTGTAAGAAACTTTATTTTAAATAAAAACGATAATCGAAAACATCTACTGATCTCGATCCGCTTGCGGATCTTACGCGATTTTTTGGGCAATATCGAAGGGTATTCGATTCTTCTCTCTATGCATACAATTCGTATGTTACATAAACAGACTAAAGAGCAAAGAAATACGATTGATCCATTGTACCAATATAAAAGTATAGACTATTTAACCTTGTCAAAGGATCTGATGACTCTTTATTCAATAATAAAGTACTAAATAATCGGTGGGAATAAGTCCAAAGGGTGTATGACTACATAGAAAACATTTTTTTCTCGTTTTGTTTACAAGATCCTATCGTTCAATCGTATTTCCTTCGCATGTACTGTATGAATCGAACATATTCAATGAAAAAATTAAAGTCAACGTATGTTGCTTGTTCATTTTTATTGTTTTAGACATCTCCTTTTTGTTACATATACTTGCAGATGTGAAGCATGTGCTGATTGTCGATTTTAGGGCTCCTTGTTCCAGAACGTCTGACACATGAAATGCAAATTGTATTTATCTTTCGAAAATGGATGTTTTCAGTTCATTTTCTGAGTGAACTTTCCGCAGGAGTTTTAATGTTTCTACTTAAAGTTATCGTAGCCACATTGCTACTATTTATTGTCTTCACTTTCGTATTTTATAGAATGACGAGATATGACGTTTGCTCGACAGAATAATCAGAAATAATTTGATCATACGTATGATGAACAAACTTATCTATGTGAGATGTCGATTGTCGCTGCCACTTGGTCACATGTACCGATCTTTTCTTACGTCGATCGTTTCACTTCCCTATCAGTATTGTTCCTTTGATCATAAAATGCCAATCGAAAAAAAAATTGATCGATAGCTGAAGTTCGCTAGACGTCTTTAGTCTTTTACTAAACCATTTATAATCATTGTAGAGATGATTATTTTCCACTAGGAAAGAAAAAAAGAGATTTTATCGTATCTGCAATCATGATTCATTTTGAAAATGTTTCGAGTAATTAAACAGTATGTTCTTTACAACAAACGACTTCGACACGGAGAGTAACGCCATTCCGTAATATTAATCAGTCTATGAAAATAATTTCCGTAAATGGATGCATATATTTATTCGACTGACAATTGATTCCGTTTATCGAATTGTACAATACATATTTTTAAAAAAAAACAAGCGAACACACGTAAGACAATAGATAGATGTAAATAAATAGAATTTATAATGTATGAATAGATATAGTGTCATCCAGCGACTAGTATCCATTTGCATTGTCAAGTAATAAATATTAGATTAGACTCGTCGAAAAAAATAAAGAATCATAAAACTTGCCATCATGCCGCTAAGGAAAATGCCAAGTGTTGCTAAACGCGATTGCGGTGCTACGTCACGCAAGATAATTAACTAGAAAATTGCGATAAAGATATTCGACGAGAAGAGTCGAAGATCTTACCCAGCCACCTCTGCGTACAATCCATGGAGCGATGATTTCCCTGACAAAACGTACCGTCCATTCGATGAGAACATTTATAATTGCTGATGGTTCGTCTTTGAGTGACTAGAATCCAAAGATTTGTATCTGAATTGTAGATATTCTTAATATCTCACCTTTAGAATTAGTTTATATGTGAAATAGAACAATGTCACAATCCGTCCCCAGTTGTAGATACCATCGCAAAATAGTTCTTTGGCTACATCACTAAATGTTTCATATGGACTGTTAATAGATACTTGATTAACCATGCTAGTAGAGAGAAAAAAAGAAACAGTAAAACGAATGCTCATACTTTCGCAATTAAAGAAGGCATGGAAGGGAGCGTCAAGATATTAAGCAAGCAATCGATCTACTCGGACTTACCAAGAAAATAATTAGCTTTAAATGAGTCTTTAGAGAAAGAAGAGATGATATTTATGTGCACGTGAAAATTTCCTTTATACCTGGTAATTCGTTGATCGGCATCGAGTTGATCACCAATAAGACGCAATCGACATGCGATTTGCTGGATTTGTCGGTACTGTGGAACTAAATTTTCAAGAGAAACTACATTGTCGTCTTCATATGTCATCTATCCCACATACGTGCAGTCAGATCGACATCGATGATCGGCTTGACTAAACTCATATCGATACCATCTTCTGCGGCTCGTTCAACGATAAACTCTTCCAATATATATCGAGTTTCTTCTGTGACATCTGCAACACTTTTACTATACGGTGAACTATCCGTATAATCCGTAGCTATAATAGAAATTATTTGGATCAAATTTTGAAGAGATTTTTTTTTGCAAAACATACGAATATATGGTACAGATGCAAAACGCATGGCATAAAAGTCTGATGCATCGGCAGAAACAATTTTTGATTGCGTTTTGGAAGGCATGATGCTCTATGATCACGATAATACTGCACTTATTCAAAGAAACGATCGAATTAAACAATCGTTATCTGTGTTCATTCATCGATCTTACAATGTCCTTGGCGTATATCCAATAATAAACCTGCTGATTGAACTCGATCATTTCTTAAGGTATTCTTAATAATGAACATTTTTCGCTTGGTATAATAATTCAAGTGCATTGTAATTCTTTCGCAAGTTATAGATGTCGCTTCTGTTAGTTGAAGTTCGATATCGAGTTTTCGGAATTATTTTCTTTCTTATTCTCTCTTAGTGTTAACAATTGTCATTGTTCAACATTTTCGAAAACGGAGAAAGAGAAAAACAAAGAATATTCTACACACACGCACGCACGTATGTACTAGGGGAACATTGAACAAAAAATAAAAAGCGCATAAGGCTACTGAAGATCAATCGAACGAAAAAGAAAAAAAGAATGAGAAAACAAATAAGATGTAGAAATTTTATTTTTCGCCTTTTTCTCTTAATTTCCTGGAATATTCCATTAGAGTTCGGTCACCGGAACAGTACTAGGAGGCATAGAAGATAAGGATCCAGAAGAATAGGTTGTCGTAGTCGAGAGTTTTCGATTAGGATCTGTACTGTAGTATCGGGAATGAATTTGTGCAAGACTTTTACACCACGAAGTTGCATCTTGTTCAGGATCAGTCAAATGATATGCTCGACCAGGCTAAAATTCATAGTGAAAAAGGAAAATTTTCTTAGGTAAGAAACATTCGCTAATGAATATTTACCACATGAATAAGAAACGTTTTCATATCTTTTTGTTCCAGGCGAAGATCCGCTGTCCTAGACAACCGAGAAAAAGTTAACAAATAAGATCGCTAATGACTTAACAAACCATGAAATCGTTCCTTTCAATTCCATGGCATCTGGGTCAACATAAAATATCGCAGGCCCTTCAGTAATCAGAAACATTCGTCGTTTAGCAAATAAGCCCTGAAAGTATAAAATACGCAACCGGGCACTTGGATCGATTCGAAATCTCATACTTTTTTCTTATCCAATATTCCTTGTTTGATAATCAGGTTATTTTGAACAAACTTATGGTACACATTCTTGGACGCTTGCTCGGATAATGAGAGGGCATAGTCTGGAGATTGCAGTCTAAATCCATGTGAAGAAAACGACAGATTATCTAGCAAATATTTCATTCAATATCAAACCTTCGCGCTGTTACTGGTGCATTATTATTAAATAATCCGTTTTGTGATGATGAACTATACAAAGATGATGCATTACTCTGATCCGACGATGAACTTTGACTATCTGTTTTATTTAAAGACGGGGTCGTTTTCGTTAGTGACATATTTGATGAGCCAGTGACAATAGCATCTAATCCACTCGGAGCATCAGCGGCCATACGTAAACCGATCAAACGTGCTTCGACACGATCATCGAAACCTGACGATATTGTTTGAAGCTAAACGATAAAAATCACAAGTGACGCTTTTTTCAAGGTACGTTTTTTTCTCCCAATGTATGCACGAAAAATTAATTCACTTTGCATCTGTAATATTCTTACCTATGATATGATTCGCGAAATATAATATTCATAAGCATGAAATTACTCATTAGATACACATAGATTCTCGAATAGTCGGCGCGATAAGAAAAAAAAAAGCGAAATTTGATAATGCATATTTACCTCGTCATTGCTGAGTTTAGGTCTTGAACTAAGTTTTTCTTTGGCTTCGAGCGGAGATCGCTGATCTAGAAGATTACCCCATTTGTTATCGTACGAGAATTGACTAAAAAATGGATGTAATTTGAGTTTGGCCATTCCACCCGTTTCTTCGCTTCCTAATCGTGCGCTCGGTTCAAGCACGATGAGATTTCGAACGAGATCAGCGGTAAGCGAAGGAAATTCATCAGGTAATTTATAAGCAGCACGAGAAACAGCATTATAGATGTCATATTCGTGACTAAAGCAACACAAGTGCTAGTTATTGTTCTCAAAATAACAAAATCACGCCTACCTCCCGCGAAATAAATGTTTACCCGTAGTCATTTGATATATAATACAGCCCAATGACCATAAATCAGATCTGATAGAAAGATCGTACATAATAAAGATGAAAGAATTTCGTTTTAGGTTTTCTACGAACCCAACATGAATAGCACCACGTTTTAAGATTTCCGGTGCTACGAATTGAGCAGTACCCACGAATGAATTGGTTCGTTTCAATTTCTTTTCTTCATCACTAGATTTTCTATCATCTGATTGAGAGTCAGCTAGAAAGATCAAGGAATTGTTTTCGATCAATCTCTTTCATCAATTGACTTACCATTATTATTTTCAATAATTACACCTGAGCCAAAATCAGTTAATTGAATGTGCATATCATCAGTTAATAGTATATTTTCGGGCTAGAAATGCAAAGTGACGCTGATATGACAAACAAGCAGATTGTTCTCCTTACTTTCAGATCACGATGAACGATGTGTCGATTGTGTAGCTGTTCAAGTGCTTCGACTAGTTCAGCTGAATAAAATCGTACTACGTCTTCTTCGAGATGACCAGCATCTGTGATATATTGTAGAAGATCACCATTTGGACAATAAGTGAGACCAAAATCTAAGCAAAGGATCGGTTTTTATGGTAAAGACTTCACAGTTCCAGGTAAAAAAAACTTCGTCATTAGAAAGTGAGATGTTGGAATACGTTCGAGCCACTGAAGTACACTCTACTTGCTTCTATTCAAATACTTTCATTTTGTAATTTAGATGTGTGAGTTAGACGCTTCTATTATTTTATGCAGGAAGTTTACTCCGGATCAATGATGCGAAAGAGTGCATGTTTTTTTTATTATGTTTCTTGTCTAGGTTCTCGATGGCAAAGAATCGTGAAAATACTTACAAAGGGTTTTTTCGTCTTGAAATGTACAATAAAGTTTGACAGCGTAAGGACAATCAGTGAGGCGAGCTAAAATATCCTTTTCTCGAAAGACTTGAGAGATCTTTTTTAATCTTGTTACTAATTCTTTGGAAACCGCTTTAACTGTCAAGAAAAGAAAACAATACAGATGAGATTGAAGGTTCAAGTGTGAACATACTCGCTAATTCACGATTACTGCCGTTTTCTATCGCGAGAAAGACCTGCAACAAAGATGCGGATTATTTTCCATGAAATAAGTCAAACATGTTATTCGAAATTTACAGTTGAATAGGCTCCATTGCCGATTTCTTTGATAAACTTAAAATCTTTCACGGTTTTCTTCGGTATCCGTGATGCAACAGGATTCGGTGCTGTCATTGTTGTTGTTTCACTCGTACTCATAGCAAAAAGAAAAACGCGGAAAAAAATTCATCAAAAAGAACATAAAACAAACAAGATTTCCCATTGGTTCTGTCCGAAGACCAATAAAAATTCTTAACAAAGCATTGACGATGATGCTTATTCTTTTCTTCTTGTACTCGACTTGATTTCGTAAGTATAGATCATGACACTAGAGAAATTAGCTACAATCGATGAACTTCAGAAGAAACTGACCGATGCTTATCGAAAGGAATTTCCAAACGATGAACCAACTCTATGTGCATTTGCGCCTGGAAGAGTTAACTTAATCGGTGAACATTCGGATTATAATGATTGTTTTGTATTTCCAATGGCTATTTCGGTTGGAACAATGATTGTCGGTAAACAGTTAGATGATACGGACGATGAAGTATGCTATTTTCAAACGTTGTCTGGTAAGTAGATGATAAAACCTAAAGTTTTTCTTGAGTAAACGGAGAATAACGAAATTTTTCATTTGTGCAGATGATATTGAAGAACCGAAATCGTTTGAAGTCGATCAGAAACAACCTATTAAGCCATTAGACTCACCCAAGTGGGGAAACTATGTCGTTGGCGTCCTTGCTCTCTTCCTTGAACGGATCAAACCGAATAGAAAACTACCATTCCGCGCAATCATAGCTACATCTGTACCTATTGGTGGTGGTCTCAGTTCATCAGCTTCGATCGAAGTGGCAATGTGTACATTTCTCGAAATTCTTTACCAAGATCAATATGCACACGATTTACAATTATCAAAAGTAGACAAAGCATTGTTATGCTGCAAAGCCGAACAAACGTTTGCTAATGTTCCATGCGGAGTTATGGATCAATATGCGTCATGTATGGGTCAATCTGGTCATGCGATATTAATCGATTGTCATGACAATTCATCGAGATTAATTCCAGTGAATGACAAAGATTTGTGTGTACTGGTAACGAATTCTAATGTCAAACATGAATTAACTTCAGGAAAATTCGCAGAAAATGTTCAACATTGTCAAGATGCTGCAAAGGCATTAGGTATGCTAACGGCCTATTTATTTTCAGAAGTCATCAGTGCGTTTTTTTCGGTTTAGGCCATAAGAATTTACGTGATGTATCCACTGTCGAAGAACTTGAAGAAGGCCGTAAGAAGATGTCTGAAAATGCATTCAAACGCGCGCATCATGTTGTGACTGAGCGTCAACGGACAGAGGCAGGTGCTCGTGCTTTGGAAAATAATGACTACGAAGAATTCGGTCGTCTTATGTATGAAAGTCATGATTCATTAAAGAACGATTTTCAAGTCTCATGCGAAGAATTGGATCAACTTGTTGAATTAGCACGTTCGGTTGACGGTGTATTTGGTTCACGAATGACTGGTGCTGGTTTTGGTAAAACGCGATTTTTTAAAATTCATATCTCTATAGAAGATTTTGTCTCTTCTCTAGGCGGCTGTACGGTAACATTTGTGAAAAAAGATGCTGTGAATAAATGTATTGAAACTATTGAAAAAGGTTACAAAGGCAAAGCGAACTTTTATCAGTTTCAATCATGTGATGGTGCTCGTCCTATTAATCTCAAGAAATAGTCATCTGATATTGATGAATTTTATTTTTTATATGTATTTTTCGTTAATGATTATTGAATAATTCCGCTCTTATCTATTTGATATTCAAGCAATTCTAATGTGATAGTTCTGTATCAACGTTTTCTTTTCTAGATCGATAATCATGGCCGATGATACGTCAAGAAACGTTTCGTCTCTTCATAGTTCAACCGCAACGTCGAGTAGTTCGAAAAAGGATATAGATATCTTCCGTAAACCACTGCCACCAGTCCCTGTTGAACAGCAAACACCATCTTCGCGTCGACAGAAGCGCAAAATACTTGCTGAAGAAGAATTCGTTCGAGATTTGGGACATATTATTGAACGCGATTTTTTCCCCGATATAAAACGTTTACGAGCTCAAGCAGAATATCTGACAGCTCTCGAGAAAAACGATGTGGTTACTTTGAGAGAAATGCATGCAAAGTATAGTATTCATCGTGGTCCAAGTCCATCTCCATCAATGATGGGTATTCGAGGTATGTCAATAGGAAATCCAAGAATTCGTCGGAATAAAATTGTCAATTTTTAGATACGCCATCGAGTTCTTTTGAGACACCGATTAATAGAGTACGTGATACGCCGAAAACAATAAAAGATGATGAACTGGATCAAGATGACTTATCTTCAAATGGTAGAAAATCTCGCGGCAATGACGATGATTTCGATAAACAGTCTGTGTCATCAACATCGTCAGTAACAAGTAAGTAGTTTCCAGTTATTTTTGAATTAACTTATCTAACGTATAAAATCGGTTTTTTTTTTCTTATAGAAAAGCCACGTGATCTTCCACTTGATCAATACTTAGCTATAAACACCAGTGAAGATAATCTTTCATTTGAACAAGTGATGGAAGAGACAGAGAAAAAAGAACGTGCCAAAGTTCATCAAGCTTGGCTTTACGAACAACAAGCATTAACGCATTCCGTATGTAATCTTTTTTCCTCTAAACAAATCGATCGATATCGATTCATTTTTTCAAACTTCTTATAGGGTAATAATGGTGCACTGGCTCCGAATCTCCCGGTTCCATCGATCGAAGAACAAGCAAAAACGAATAATCCCGATGCCATAGAATTCTGGCCTTATACAGTCAAAAATGCTGTTATGTACGTTCCTGATGGTAAGTTGCGATACCTTGCGTCCAATATTCTAAATGCTTGTTTTCATTCAGGCGCTAAGCTGACAGCAGCAGAAAAAATCGAACAAGCTAAACATGTTCGTTCTATACATCATACGAATACTCGTTTCGAAGTCGATCCTTTTACAATTAAACCTGACTCTTCCAGCCATTCCGCAACACCAGCTGGTTCACGCCCATCAGCTCAACCCAAATTCGATATCAATGGTCAAGAAATCAAAGATTCACAAAGTCCAAAAATAGGGGGCTATGGATTTGTTGTTACACCATCACCCATGCCAGGCGCCCATGGCGATGAATCACCTATGATGACTTGGGGCCAAATCGAAGGCACACCCTTCTGTTTGGATGCAGGCAGTGAAACTCCACGTACACTTACCAGTGGACCACAATTCAAGATTATCGAAACACCTCTACGAGAACAATTAGCTATGGAATTAGTAGAAAAAAATGCAGCACAACATCGTCAAAAGAAACTAGAAGCAATGAAAACTATTAATCGAAATTTTTCATCCTCTAGTAATACAAAGCAAACAAAAGAATTGCTTGTATCAAATATGAGTCCAGCAGCTCAACGTCTTCTGACTAATCGTCTCGGTATTCAACGCACGCACTCCACCAGCTCACAAAGACAAAATGCATTGACACCGTCACCCGTTGTTCGCGATGGTCTTCTTGGTGATCGAACGCCGCGAACACCGTTAAACGTTGGAATTATTAAACACACGCCAAAAGCATCCAATTTAACGTCAACATCTACTGCGCCGTCAGCCAGTAGTTTAACAGATAACCTTCTAAACTTGAAACGATGATAAAGCTCTTGTTTGTTTTTATGTATATATAAATATATCATAGAATCATTCTATGTCAGAATGAAAAAAAAAACTGGAAGAATAATCTCATGTTCACAGGGTTAATTCTATTGAACAAAATCGTTGCACTCGAAGAATCAGGTACTTGTCACAGTCGCATAATCATGTTAAATGCAAAGAGAAGGAGAAGAAGAAGAAGAAAAGAACATTGTTCGATGATTGATGATCGTTTTGGAAATGTCTTTTCATTCTTTTATAGACTTAGTCATTCGTTCAAAGCATTGAATCTTTTTTGATCTTTTAAGTAGTTATAAAGTATACATATGCATAATTATACAACAGCGATAAAAAGAAACGAGAAGAATTATCTTTGATTTATCATATTTGATTGTAAACTTTCTTTACAATCGTTATACGGAGAACGTTCGTTGAACAGGTTTCAAAAGATTACTGTCAGTTAATATTATGTTCTTTCGATTACGATATACATTGTCACAGGCAGATGATGACTTGTAATTATTCATTCATTCCACTTCAGACACTATTCCACTTGAACATGTACGCGTGTGTTCTTCTCTGTCTTTGATCTCAATATAAAAGTGCAGCGGACTAAGTGAGTGAATGAACAATCATATCAATGAAAATAGAAGATATATAATCGGATATATACTCTTCGAATTCCATCGACTGCATCATCATCATTATGTAAGTCTTCGTCAATCCGACGTAGGAATTTTGTTCAGAGCTTGTCTATCATTTTCTTCCTATTCAGATTTGCTTCTCACAGTCATACGTACAAATGCAATACTTATTCGAAAAGAACGATTGAGAGTCCAAGAAAAAAAAATTTGAGAGAAAGAAGGAGGAGAAGAAGGAAAGAATTTTTCTTCTTACATAGCATATGTGTCTTTATCAAGCACAAAAGAAGAAAAAGAGAAGAGTTTTGAATTACACATACTTCGACTATACACAACGTTCATCAGTGTTTGTGTGCGCATATACGTACATATATACATATACATACATATAAACTCGTTGTTCGTTCTTAACACAGTCATTTATATTTCTCGTTGGCTCCAACTGGCGGCGGCCAAGTAAGACATAGAAAAGAAAAAACGGCAAACGAACAATTGTGGAATCAACAAAGAACTTTCGACAGTTAAAAGTCATGAGTTGCTTACTCTTCTTCAATTTTCTTCTCTTATTTCTTTCCATATCACTTTTCATTCTGGGTGTAACAACATCAAGATGGCTGGTTTTTCTCGATGAGAACTCCAATTCCATGATAACCGAACGTTCAAATGGCATCCTTACATCTTGTCAACGACTCTACCGTCAAAACAATCTCGAACAATACTCGATTGTATATAATTTAACGAGCAGTAGTCGTGACATACAGAATATCTATGATGATGCCTACGTGTGTTTCAATCGATTGTTAAAATGGCATAATTCCTCGATTAGTGGACCCGACTTATTAGGTAAGTTAAAGTCCAATAAGCCTTTTTCAAAATAAACTTTGAGATTTGTACATTTATTTGTCAATGTAAAACAATCTTCTATTGAAGATATTCAACATGAGTAATCGATAAGAGAACAATTTTATATCTAAATCTAACATGAGACAGTAATTGAAGTGAACTTTAGATATCCTTCGTATACATTTGATCTATTTGTTTTACAATCTATTCCATAGATTATCAAAAAGTTCTGATCGGTGTCTCGTTCGCTTGTGTATTTGTTGGTATAATTGCCTTAGTTTTCACGCAAACAATCAACACGAATGCATCGTTCGATAATATCCGTTTTTCCAAGTGTATGATCGAATGCTTATTGATTGCTAATATACTCACAGGTATGTTACAACTTGGATATGAGTATAGTATGTTTCGTCTTTTGAATAGTTGTTCTAGCGTTGATTACATTAGCACTGTTTCTTGGTTTTGAACGTTTGCAAACGATTACAGCATATGGTTATTCATTCTGGGCATTTGTGGCCGGTACATGTTGTGTTTTTGTCAGTTGTATTTTAACTGCTGTCTATCGTATTGATGTTGAATTCGAATTTCGTCGATACCGACATGAGTCTGTAGCGACACTCTGTTGAAACATGATCTCTCTTGAATTCATCTTTCTTTGATATATCATCGACAAGAATCTGATTTTTGTTTCTTTTTACGTGTATTAGTAGAGCTAGCAATAAATCCACTTCCGTTTTGGCTTTTCGTTTTTCGTTTACTTCTCGTGTGTATACGCTTTTCTTATTTGTTATTTTGCGAGATGTCAACAGAACAGAAAGAAAACAAGTGCAACGATTGGTCTCTTTCATTTGAGTAAAACTAAGTTGAAAGAAAGTCAAGTATTTAAAGAAAAAAATACTGCCGATTGTTTTCACTCGATTCACACGATCCTCACCATGTCCGGTATGTAAGTAACTTCTCTTGCGACTAGATGCACCTTGCACTGTCGTTGATTTGTTTAGTGATATCAAGAAAATTGATGATAAGTGTACGCTATTCGTATTCACTAATGGTTCGTTGACTGTCGCCGTTCGACAAGGTGATATTGGCAACGAAATATGCGATGCGCTTGTTAATTCTACTAATAGATGCATGAACCCAAATGGAGGAGTGGATAGTTCGATTCATATCAAGATGGGTCAGTTCTATACCGATCAAGTTGCTTCGATTCACAAAGCTATGGAAGAAAATGCTTGTCCTGTTGGACAATCGCGAATATTTATTGCGAAGTTTGACTTGAAAGAGGAAGATGTACCATTCGTAATCAATACTGTTGGTCCGGTTTATACTGAAGCCGAAAAGGAACATGCTGCTTTCATGTTAGGGTCGTGTTATAATTCATCGTTGACACTTGCAAATATCTATCAACTAACTTCAATTGCCTTTCCTGCAATATCATGTGGAGCGAACCACTTTCCTCCACGTGAAGCAGCGCGTGTTGCCATTGAATCTGTACGACAGTTTTCATGTAACATCAAAGATGTTCGCTTTGTCTTATTCGATCGACTAGTGTATAAAGCTTTTCTTCGCGAATGGACAAAATACGCGCAACAAGTTAATAACGAAACGCACACAACGAATTCTTTATTATCGATGACAATATCAACGGAGCCAAAGCCGGCCGGTCGATATTGTGTAATTTGCAAAGAACAACGATTACCTATCGATAGGCAATTGTTATGCTCAACTTGCTCGGACTTGACACGCTCAGAAATCTTCAGTCGATTCCTAGCAAGATTACGTATCGCTGCCGATATATCTTACAACGAACTTATTCACGAATGTGAAGTACTGAAACCGATCTTACGATCTTACCCACTTTTCTACGCTCCGATAAAAACATTCGATGCAAACATTCATAAGCGTGACAATGTCGCTGAAGATTACCTGAGTGGTTATTGTACAAAGGAATTTCATAACTCAAAGCCAATTACCATTGTCGGTAATGGGCATTGTCTGTATGATTCATTCGTTCGATTGGTTGAAGCTGGTGGAACGGCAACATCTGCGTTAACGCCAATCGAGCTTCGCGCGAGGAATGTCGTGGAACTTATTCTTAACATTCGTGCCTATCAAGCTCAATACAGACATTTGTCAGCCGTATTGGGAAAATTTGAAGAGTATGCAATAAAAGAAATGGTTCGCGATTCAACTTTCGTATCTGCTTGGGATCTCCTTAGTCTTCCAACTGTTTTAAACATTAGCATCACATGTGCCTATCCGAGCGTTAATGGCGAAAAAGATCGCGAATTTACGGCGCTTAACAATGCTCTTTTCATACCATTAGTCAAGGATAATGACACTAGTCATAAATCAGCCGAAGCATCATCTGAATTAATCCAAATTAAACTACTTTTTTCGCATTCCCATCGACCTATTGTTGACTCTTCATCAAAGAACAAGACAAAATGGACACCGAATCATTTTGTACCATTACTCGGTTTGAAATAGATTCATGTATACAATGTTTTTCCTACAAATTCAAAAGACTTTCCTTGCGAAAAAAAAAAGTTGCTTCCATTATGTTAATTGCTCGTTGTTGTTCATTCGTATGACATGAAGCATACTAAATGTCTGTATGAAGTGTGTCGACGAGCTATAGACTACTTCGCCGATGTTTGTTTATCATATGTCCGCAAAACACCGTGCCTGACAACATCGATTGTTCAGTAGTTAAAGTGTGATCTTAGAAGTGTTGACATAAAATGAACGGATCGGATTGAATATTTTCAGTTGTAAGTGTCTGGTAAAGTGCGAACTGTCTGCCGGTAATGCAAATGATTTCTAATGTATTTTTCATTCGAATGGGCGCGAAGTCGTTTCTTGTGAGTGGGAATGTTCATCATAAAAAAAGAATGCAAATGAAAATTTGTGCACATTTATTGATTTGATATTTCATATAGATTAGCAAAAGAAAAGAGACAGAGAGAAACAAAAAATAGCACCGGGTTGAAAATAAGATATACAGATACAAAACAAGACCATGAAACAACGACAAGAATAATATTATTAATCGTAATAATTGTAAGGCACACACTGTATCCCTTGTATTTCAATACTAGACTTCTGTTTGAAAAAATGAGGATAATTTCGTTGATTTTTTCCCATTGACATGCTCTTTTGTTAAATCAGATTCACTTGCATGTCGCAGACGATTGATCATTGTTGTTTTCATTGTTAATTGGCTTGTTTCATTGTTAGTCTGATTGGTGTTATAGTTGTCGTCATCGTCATCATCGGTATAACGACTATTCCGTCTCACTTTGAGGCTGTCTAATTTTCTCGGATTGATTTTCCACGAAGTTGGATTGATCTTCGATATTTTACTTGTTGGCGTTGATGACGAGGGCAATGATGCTAATGTTGAATGTTTGTCATTATCTTGATTCGCATTGCCTTTGAAAAATGAAGTTGTTCGTGCGTAGGTTGGTGATGAGGAGAGAAGTCGCAATGGTGAACCACTCAAACGAAGACGTTCAATGGTACTCATGCCACCAGTGGAATTTTTGGATGAAGCTAAATATACGAACGAAAAATGAGATGACTCCTGTTTCTTGAAGTAGGCAATAATTACTTTTAATGATTTTGGCATACACTGGAGCTTTTTGCAGAGATGAATTTGATGCTCGTATACTAAGCGAACTACCACCATTGAATAATGAACGTTTTCGTTCTCCATTGGAGACAGGCGAGGTCAATAAAGTTTGTTCGTTATTTGACGAATCGTTCGACGAATGAGTTAATTCGATATCATTCTGATCAACAAGTTTTTCCGCGAGATTCGATAACGAATTGACACAAATTTGATAAGTATTGGAATGCTTGTCATCATGACCATTGAAGTATTCTAGAAATATACATAAAATAATTGAAGTCTAAGGAAATGCAACTAGAACGTACTTGTTGGTGATGAGGGAACTAAAGAAACAAAGAGAAGAAACAGATAAGTCATATGGTGACCAAATAATCAACTTACAGTCAAATAGATCAGGAGATTTAGGATCAACAAGTGGCATACGTGTTGTGTCTACAAGAGCAATATAATCAGAAGGAATAAGATCAAATTTCGACATACCATAATCAATACTATTGTAATGTGCAAGAAAGTTATCTGGAGGGATATTCATTTTTCCAATCGTTGAATAGTATTTTGGATCACTCTGGTATGAGAAAAAAACAGTTCAGACGAAATTCTTCAATGACGGGACTTACGCGTCGACGATTCAACGATTCATGAGATTCATATTGATGTTTATCAATCACGAGAGCGGATTTGTCATTTGAATCGTTGGTTTGCTAAGAGAATTTTACACATTCGAAAGTCTTGCCACTCATTTGATCTTACCTTATCATTAAAATTATTTAATGTTGTTTGCTCAAGATTATTATCAACTAGAGCCATTGTTTCAACAGTTTGTTTACCATTAGAATTTCGTTTGATTAACGTTGGCATTGGACTTTCAATTTGATTCGCTGGTGACAACGAAGGTGACGCTTTCTGAATCAGCAATGGCGCCGACACTAATGGCTTATCATTGTGAATATTCAGTTTTTTCTTCTTCTCTTTTCGCTGCTGTTGACAATAGATGATCAATGACAGAAATAACAAGACCACTAATACAAATGTACAAAACGTCACTGCTAGACCAACATATAAAAGATTCTTCGTTGACATAGGCAAATTTCCTAATGATGATATACACGAATAAGAAACATTAACATCATTTGATGGAATACATTGTTCATTGAATAAACATGGATGACTTTCACATGGTTGTAAATCACGTTGACATTGTCGACCAGTAAAACGTGGTTTCAAGCAGTTACATGTGAAACTTGAACCGTACTTCGTTGTTTGACTAACACAGATACCACCGTTATAGCATGGGTGATACAACGAACACAGATCATCTTTGTCAGTGTATTGTCTCAGTGTACGCGATTCAATCTCGGCTAGTTGACAACCGGTGTTGGTACCGACATGTTCGATAAATGACTTATTCTCTTGCTTTTGAAGGTAGATCAATTGAGTGTTCAACGTTAGGTTACCTAGACAGCCATGAAAATCATTGCCAATATAGATTTGTTTCAGTTGATTTGTCGATATTGGTTGAAACAGTTGAATTCTATTGCTGAAAACATGATCGAGACGAAGAAGATAGTAGAAGTTTTGATTTGTTGGTGTGTAATCAATGGAAAAGTAGATATGATGCCAGAGACCATCGTTGATGACGACTTCATTGATTCGAAAGAGAATCTTTCTATTTAGTTCAACATTAACATGATTATCCATGATTTGAATGATTAGTAGATGTTGTTTCTTTTTCTCGTCAACCGAGATCATCTTCAGCAGTTTACCTTGGCCAACCTGCGTGCGAAATGTGAACGAAATATTCGTATGCTGCGTTAAATTCATCGATGAGTTCATTCGAACAAAACTGTAACCATCGAATGTCAGAGTATTCGAAGAATCTAAAGCACAGAGCAGATCATTTACTGAAACTCTTCTCAAAAAGACAAAATTCTTACCGCGACACGTCGGTGAATTAATATTAATACAATTCAACGTTGTTTCCGGCAGAATTTCGTTCTGATTACATGGTTCATCGATACACTGACATGTGTACAATGTAGAACTCTCTTCGATACATCTTTCCAATGGCGAACATGGATTAGACGAACATGGTGATTGATAATCTTGCTTGAATTGACAATGTTGCCCGTAGAAATGATTCAAACAAAGACATTTAATGTTCCATTGATATTTCGGTATCAGACGTTCGTATGTATTGTAATAGAAGTAGTCGTACTGATTTTGATACAATTTGATCTGACTGGTACATCGACCGTTGTTTTCACACGATTTCGTATGACATTGGTTAATGGAAATCTTTTCAATGGATTTGATATTTGGAATCTTTTCGAAGACATTACTAGAGTTGCGCAAGACGTTATAAAGTAATTTTTTGTGGATATATCGTGGTGGTCGTAGACGGGATGGATACCGAATAACTGCGATGAGTATTTCGATTTGGTACGGAGTTTTCATATCGAATGAATAAAGATGAACATGACGCATGTGAACGCCAACGATTACAGCTAGATTTTCGCGTAGTAATGGTAATGTATGAATAATGAACTGCTCGTAAGTTGACCGAGGATCGAGATTGACAAGCAAAGATATTGTTCGATCTAACATTTCGCGATCAATTGACCAGAGATGTACATCGATGGTTTGAGCTTTTAAGTGAGATTTGATGTCGAGTGGAAGATAAATAATTGTATTGTTGTAAAAATTCATGTTCGATATCGGCTGGTCAACGGCAAAGACAGTTAGTTCGATTTGAAATTGTAATAAACGTTGATGTTTCTGTTGCTGAGAGTACAACTGTTGTTGATATGAATTGAAATACAACTCCGTTTGGTTATTGGAGATTTGTTTGAGTGAAAACTGTTTATTGGCAAGTAGATTATACGACACAAATTGATAATTGGATTGATTCTGAAGAGACAATTCACCGAAATTAATCTGAGGATACTTTTCATCAAGATTAATATATCCGTCGATGGTACGTGGAATGAGTGCTGGAAGAAGAACCTGTCGTTGAAGATAGATGATATGTAAGTAAAGATCAACATAATACGCAGATGATAAGGTTTGATTATCCCAAACACGGATGATCAAATGATCCTCATGGTCGAGAAGAATGGGCTCATTGAGGATCAATTCAGTACCGTTTTCATCTTGTCGAAGTTTGTACGATGAAAATGTATCATTGAGAATTTGAAATGTTAAGTTCGATTGATCTTTATCAATAATTTCGATCTTATGCAGAACGGTATTGACTGATGGGTGATAGAAATAAATCAGCGTAGTGAAGTTCTTTGTTAGAAACTCCGGATAATTATCGTTGATATTTCGAATGGAGATTGTCAAATTCAGTGAAGATAATGGGACAGTCTAAAATAGACAGAGAACATCAGGTGAAATTATTGTTCTTCTCAAGTTTTTGCTTACTTGATTTTCTCGATCTTTGACAACGATTGTAACATTGTATTGACGTGGATCCGTTTCGTAGTCAAAGATTTTACGGCTAATAATCGTACCATTTGACTCGAAGATTTGAAAAGCGTTGGTTCTATCGATTAACTCATAGACGAATTCATCGGAACTTTTACCGATTGTACAAACGATTGTTCCGATTGGTTTGTTCTCGTCGAGAATGCAATTATCTCGATTTTCTAAGTTAAAGTAATTGTTATCATCATTAATTATCGATATAAATACATTTGTTGAGTCAGTTAAATTAATTCCATCTTCGAATACTTCAACATTCACTGTTATATTCGACATTGTTGTCGGAAGTGATGTTCTCAATCGGATTATTCCTGTTTGTTCATCGATCGTAAAGAATTCCGTTGAGTTTTGCAAAGAATATCGAAAATTTCCATTCGCCACTGGATCTTCGCTTGTTGCATTCAATTGAAATATATTCGTGTTCGATCGAATTGTTTTACTTATGTTAACAGAGTAGTAATTTCTATCGAATTTGGGTCCATGGTCGTTCAAATCGTTGATATGCAGAATTAAGGCGTCAGACAGATAATTCTCTCGATTGTTTGTGTCAATTGCCATGACTTGATAGCTGAGTTGTGGACCGTAGTGCTCCCGGTTGAGTTGTTCATAGAGAAGAATCGAACCAGTAGTTTGATCGATGAATATCTGTGAAGAAGAATTTTGTAGGTAAAATACGTAATTCGATTGGAATAGATGATCGATATCGACAAGCTGAATGCGGCCAATATAGAATGGAGTAGGGTTGTTTTCAGTCAGATTGTAAGTTAGAGAATTTCGATCGAAAACTATTGGATTATCATTGATATTGATTAACTTAACGATTACTGATATGGAGCAATTCAATTCATTCGGTTGTAAATCAATTGAAAATGAATAGAATGCTTTTTGTTCATAGTCTAATCGCGAGTTCGATGTAAGCAGACCTATATTTTCAAAAGCAAACAGTTTTAGAGGTATTCGGATAGGAAAGTACTACAAACAGACCTGTTTGAGAATTGAGTAGAAATGATTGTGCATCCGAATTCGTCGTAGGATTAACTTTAAATTGTAATCGATCAATCAACTCAGATGAGTTATTATTAATTGATAGTAATGTCTCTTTAACTGTGCCAATGATCGTTCCTATTGGAGATTCTTCTTTGATCATCCACTGAATTGGTATCTAGAAAACAGCGTGCAGTTGTTTTAGTCAACGAAAACGAAATAAAGATAGCTTACCGCTGGACATACGAAGTATGACCATTTGGGCGTTCGTAGAACCGAAATATTCGTTTGACAATAGCTTAACGGTGACGAACTGATCAGAATAATCAATTGAAAATATTCATTCACTGTTTGGTTCAGTAGTGGTGATGTCAAATAAAGTTGTCCGAAATTATTTATCGCAAACAGACCATAGGAATCTCCAGAAAGTATATAATAATTATTCGAACTATTCTTATTCAAACTGATTTCTTGTATGATGGTTCCTGAAGTGAATTCACACATTAAAAGTCGAACATTTCTCAATTAATCGTGACTTACCTGGTAGACTTCGATCTGAAAGTTGAATTACTTGGTTTGGACACGAGTTGATTTCCGTTGGTATTTGAAATTGCTCTCGTACATTGAATAAGATTTCAATCGAAGCTGTGCTATTCGCATTTGTTTTGTCATCCATCGCATATACATTCAATTCAATTTTATCCAAATCTTCGATCGATTTCGAATGATAGATAAATCTTAGCATGCCGTTGGTTTGATTAATAAATAATCCGTAGGAGTTACGTTGTAACTGATAACGAATTGAATTGAAACTCTGTGCAAACACTCGAAACACATCATCGTAATGGTGATCATAGACATAAAATCGGTAAACATCCGAAGAAAATGTTGGTGCTTGGGTGAAGTTTCCGAAGAGAACTTTCACTTGACTCGATGATACGCTGATCTGATCGGTGAGATGTAATTCAAAGAAACACAGATCGGACAGGATCGGAAAAGTTTTGAAGAAAAGTTCATTGGATTGAATGTAGAAGTTTTCGTGACAATGATTCTGCGTTAATGATGTCGGAAGGATTTTCAGTGTTAACTTATCGATTGGAAATGTTTCAATAGGAATATTTTCCTTTAATACTTGCTTATCCAGTTGAAAGTCGTAAGATTTCTTCTCTAAATGAAATGTTCGTTCGACGAAATTGATTTGCACTGATGTTTGAATAACAAAATTCTTCCAATAGGCATTGACGGTCAGATGGTATCGGTCAGTTGGAACGAGATTTTCTTTGAGCATCAATCGATTTTCCTGGATGTCGAATAGATTTGTTTGATTTTTCAATTGGTACTTCGCCGATTTGATCGGTTGGTTGAATGAGTCAACGATTTCAAACTGAAAAATTTCCATCGGGACACTCACTTGAGATGAGATCAGTGAAATATAATACAAATCAGAGTTAAATCTCGGTTGAGTCGAGTAAACCAATTTAACCTTTGCATAAACGATTTGATGAGCAAGATCTTTGGCTGATGCATAAAATTCGTAGACTGATTTGGTAAACGAAGTCTTATTCACTTGAATTACACCTGAGCGTGGATCAATTTCGATTCCACTGGATTGAAGATGCAGCTCATAAGTGATCTGATCATTCCGATCGATGTCATACGCCGAGATTTGTCCAAGAACGGCTTTTGTTGGATCGTAGTCAAATACATATTCATTCGAAGAGAATTTCGGTTGATTGCCGGAATAGTTATTGAATTGTAATTGAATGTAAGTTTTAGTTAAATACAAGCCATCGCTAACAGCAATGTTTAACTGATAGAAATCTTTGTCTAATGATTGATTCGTTCGTGTCAGAACTCCGCTGGTGTGATTGATTGAAAAGAATCGATGATCGTCTTGATTGAGGAGGTGGTATTTAAGATGAAGATTGTCGGCGAAATCGAGATCATTTGCTGAGAATTTGGTGAGAAATGTTTGCGAGGAGGAAAGTATTAAGCTCAATGGAGGATTGAGAAAATTTGGCGGGTGATTATTATAGTCATTGATTGTTAATTTAAGAATTGATGTTTCGCTGCTCGAACGAAATTTAAGCGAATAGAATGGTTCAGTTAGGTAATTAATAAGTACAATATCACCAGATGTTGGATTGAGTTTGAACAGATTTCGATTATAATCCTCGAGTGACGAAGAATTTGTATGAAAGACAACTGAACCAGGTGGAAGAATTTCCGAAATGGTTTTCTCATAAATGGGCGATGAAAGTTCATATGGATTGATCACATGAATTGTGACATTAATTGTCATGTTCTGTTGATAGATTAGATCGCGAGCAATGATTTGAAAATGTTCCGAAGTATTTTTATAGAATTCATTGGAAAAGTATTCCAGAGTACCATTGTCTGGATTGAGAAGGTAATATTTCGGATGATCATGACTAAATTCATAGACGAGATGACTGCGGCTCAAGTCATATGGTTGAGCAATGATTTGGCCGAGAAGAATCGAACGGTTCATGTAGTTAGACAGATTGAGGTGAAATTCGTACGATGGTTGAGAAAATAATGGTGATTGAGATGAAACGATGTCATATTGAACTAGAGTATTGTTCGGTAGTCTGAATCGACCAGAGTTCTACGTAAAGATGTCAAATAAGAAAGGATATGTATTTGAAATGAAATGTTTTACCTCTGCAATATGGTATTTGTCGATGAATTCCGTGTGTAACTGACTTCCATTTCTAATCATTATGTACGAAACTGTCGCTTGAGTCTTTTCGACGGTTATTAAGCATTTCGAGTTTTCCAATTTAATCAGCAACAAGACATCATCGTCGATAGTTTTGTCTCGATTTCTATAGCGTAATAAACCATACTGACGGTCAAGAATGAACAGATTATTGTAATTTAATAATTCAAATGAGTGTCGACGTGTCTGACCACAAATCGGTTCGGTTTGATTGGTATTCAAGATTTCAACGAAGCCAATCAATTGTCGGTCGGTAGAATAATCCAGATGATTTAGTACACATTCAGATATTTGGTTGATTTCATTGATGATGATCATTTGGACACGAGCAATTTGTGAATCATCGTCTTGTATGAGAAAATCGTAGAAATTTCCATTTGTGATAAGTAGTGTTCGATTTCGAACGAATAATCTTCCCGTTTTCTCGATGGATATCATCGGCGAGATCTGATCATTCAAAATCGTCCAATTGTTACTCGTTTTATTCAAGTGTCCAATTGTGGAATTGTTTACAAATGGTGCAGATAATTTAAATTCATAAATCGATTGAAATGCTCTCTTCTCAACTGGAATTTCACGATTAACAACAAGATTCAAACGTGTAAATGTAATCAATGAGTGATAATTTGCATAGACAAGAAATGAATATCGCTTCAACAAACTCTCAAACGAATGGTATTTAATTAAACCAGCATATTCATCAAGTTGAAAGAAGTTCACGTGTGTTTGATTCAATAGATAGTAACTGATATCAAATGAATTTGACAAATTCTTCAAATCGATATGCAATGGTTCTTGTTGATTGTTGTAAACGAATGCAGACGAACCGAACGAACTATTCATGTAACCCGAATAGATTTCATTTGGAAAGGTGAAGTCTAAGATGTTCATTGAGTCCATAGGCGTTTGATTATCTTTCGAATGAATGGTGCATTCAGCAAGATTTGATGCTTCGCCATTCAATGGTGTAAATGGATCGAATGCACGAATGGTTAAAGAATTGTAGGGTTTGTATTGTTGTCCTGTGAGATGATCAATGCTTCTCGAAGGAGAAGATTCGTATGTGAAAAGATATGGAGATATTTTGAGATACGATGGACATGGAAAATAAATGCCAATATTCGAGATGAATAACGTCACAATTGTGGTAATTGGTTCGGACTGTGATGTGTCAATAATTGTTAAATTTAAGGGATATATATATGAACGTGCATGTGACTCGTCAGTGAGGTAAAGCGATTGGTTTGATAAATCAATCGAGAATAAACCTAGCGGATCACCTAAAAGCGAAGCAAAGTTGAATTAGTTTCGGTAATTATTGAGAACATTGAAGATGATGGTTTACCTCGGAGAATTTGTGCATTCGATGGGATTCGGTTAATTCCTTCCTCGTCGTAATTAATCAATTCAAAATTCATCAAATATTTCCGTCGGTTTGCTGCCAATGATGTTTCGAAGATAACTAGATAGTTATCTTGCATAAACTGATAGGATTTCTTAGTTTGATTTGATAGATTTCTTTCATCAAGAATATTGATATGCAAATTCGTATGTGCAATTTGATAATTATGTTGACAACGATATAGAATCGTTAACAAATGTGTTTGACTCGCCGAATTCACCAGTGAATTCATGACTGTAATTGAGCCTGACGATGGATTGATACGAAATAAGTCTTTCGATTTAATTCGTTCGACTGTATCAATAGAATAAGAACAATCGCTGGCAGGATTTTCAATTGATAGACGAGCGATTTCAGCACCGATTGGAATATTTCGTGAGATGGAACTGTAATAATCCCTTTGAGAAAATTCCATAGATGGAACGGAGTTGTTTACGATACGAATAAGAACTTTAATCGTATTCATATTCATCCAGTCATTCGTAACATTGATACGAAGATCAATGAGATTCGTTTGATTGACTAGTTCGGCAATAGGACGAATGAGAATCAGTTGACCCGTTTGGAAATCTACATGAAAATATCGCGTATGGCGAATATCTCCAATCATGATAAACCATTGGGTTGTATTATGACGATTATTCATGCCGAGATGTAATATTGTTGAACCAACTTCCGTGGTTGTTAGCAAATCGATATTGATGGTTGAATCAATTGATGTTAACGAAGATTTATTAACATCAATACTTGGTAAAATTTGTATTTTGATCGGCAGAGAAACACGACTTGAAACGATACGCCATTTTCCGCGGCTTGATGTCTCATCTTCTTCGTTTTCATTTGCATCCGATAGAATATCATATCGATATGCAACGGTAAATGCTTCAACCTAAAATACAAAAGTTATTGAGCAAATTTCTCCAATGTGCAAAAGTCGAGTCTTACATTAAATTCGTATGTTGTATAAGCTTTCAACGGTTGTTTTGCAGCAATGTATCCTGTTTGTCGATTGATGACAAAATGTTGATTTGAGTCGACAATCCGGTAGCGTATTTCCAGTTTTTTGCTATAGACTTTCGTATCCAAAAGTGCAACGATTTGAAATAGACGTTGCCGCAATCTGCCACTCTGACGATCGATTTCAATCATATCAATGTTATAATTCGGTGCCGAGAAAAACTTCGGTATCAATTGCCGTCGTCGAATCAGATGAATATTAACATAACAATGCGCAGATAACTTATACTGTGTATCGAATGCTACCACAGTTAGAAGATAATCGGACTTTAATCGACGATTATTATTCTGATTCGATGAGAGTAAACTCAGCGAACCAGTTCGTTGATCGATCGAGAAGAGTTTCTCATTGTCTACGATGGAATATTGTAGATGAGAATTCTTATTCAACGAAACCGCTTCGACGCGATGAAAAGCATGTTGACTTGCGTAATCATAGACTTTGATATTTTGATAAACATCTACGCATTGTGGGAGATAAAAGTTTTCCTGTCGTATCGATATATGAAGATGAACAAATGTATATGCTGGATGAGCACGATAACGAGTTAAACGTATTGTCAGCCAATATGATGATTTTGATAAACCAATTAACGATTGAGTTAGACGAAGGTAACCTTAAACAAAGATTTCTGTTATTTCGAATTGTCTCATTATCGAATGTAACTCCCGAAGGAAGACACACTTCCGTTTCCCTTTTATTCGAATTTGATAGTACATTAATTTACGCAAGTAGACTGAGAAATTTATGTAGAACTAAAACAGGAAATTAGAATGCCGAGAACACAAAAAAAAACATTCATGTCATTATTTGATCTGTTCAACTGTTCTTAAAGGTTATCGTTCGAAAAGAACCTGGCCATTCGATGACCTTATTTGCTAGTCATGCGAACAAACGTCATCTGATCGTATCAATCAAATTCGTCTAGTTCTCGTCTAATCAGAAGATTATCATATATTGATAATGTAATTCGAATCGTTTGACATTCAATCGATTTAATCAATTCGAACAAATATTTTCTGAGAAAAGCCAAACGAGTGACAAATAATTGAATTATTAGTTCGAATAATATTGTTTTTTTTCTCGACTGATCGTCATTGACCAGATGTCCTCGATAATGTCGAACTTTTCTTTTTGATGAACATGTGTTCCCTTTCGAACATGCATCTAATGACTATTTCTTATCATCTATCGATTAGAAAATGAGTTCGATGGGTAATTAGTGTCTGATGAAGAATAACTCAGCAGAAGAAATGAATGAGTGAGAAACAGAAGCAGCTGCCTTTCTCACAATAGAAATCGATTGATGACATGTAAAACAACAACAGCAGCAGCAGCAATCTCTTTCGTTCTATTCAGACATGCATCAAACCGACATCGGTCACCACGCGCATCACCACGAGGGATTAAAGGAAAGGAAATTAGAATTGACTGTATAATGATGTTCACCATTGGTCACGCGCATGCATGCAGACATTCTAATTGTCGTTTCATTATATTGAGACGACAAATATACATATTGTTATGATGTAAGATTAGGAGAAGAAATGAGAATATAATACGAAAGAGAAGAATAAAATAAACAATTGACAAACGAGACTTATTAGTCGATGAAAATCACACTCAGAAGTCTGAATATGGATTAAATTTCTTAAATCCTTTTTTGATTGAGAATGAAGACAAAGCGAATAACGTCGAAGTCATCCTACCTTGCTGATCGATGGCAAATGACGATTTAATTCCATCGTGAATGATTTCAATGAAATCAATTGTTGATGCCAACAATTGCAAACGACGATAAACATTCGTTAGGATTGAGCCAGCTGCTAATGATTCATTAATAGTTAATCCATATGCCGGTTCATGTAAAAGTATAGGCTCTTGAGCATCAGGAAATGATTTAACATAAATATTAATTGTTGTTTGATTCTTATGTAAACCATCCGTCACTTGAACAGTTACATTGAACACTTGATTAACGAGACGATGTAACTGATGTTTCAAGCGAAGATGACCTGTTTGCGTATTAATTGTTACATATGGATTTGGGCTGAGCGAATAGATTAGCTGATCGGTTTTATCAGCGTCAATCGCGTAGATTTGCCCGAATATGGAATAACGTGGCATATCCGAAAAAAGATCAAAGACATACTTGTCGACTGAGAATTGTGGAGTGTTATCATTGGTATCGTTGATGAGAACATGAACAGTTGTACATATCGATTGCAATTGTGGTTGAAGACCTTGATCCGATGCGAGAATATGCAAATCGATTGCAGAATACTCTTCGTAATCAACCGATTTTATGCAATCAAGTTGTCCAGTTAGCACATCGATAGAAAAATATTGGTTGTAATTCAACAACGAATAATGAATTGTTCCATTTTCACCTGTGATCAAAGAAGGAATGAATGAATGTGGAAGAGGACAAGTTCTTACCTAGATCAGGATCGAATGCTTGGATTTGTAGGAGATTTTTTTCTATCCGATTTTCATTTAAATAGATTCTCGAATGAAATAATGAACATGTCGGTATGTTATCATTAATATCGGTTATATGAATGATGATCAAGATCTTTTGATAAAACTTCTTGGTATATTCGAAATTGATTAATGACCTGCTTTTCTTTTCACAATGATAACGTTCAGATAATTTCATCGAATAGATCGATTTGAATTTTAATTCAATTTCAAACACGTATCGATTTTGTTTCTCGCGGTCGAGTCGATCGATCAGTTTCAAAGTTTTCGTATTTTGATCAATTATAAATGGAACGTTCGTATCATTGATCGTATAGAAAAATAAATTATCATCTTCATCATTGATATTCAATGGAAATGAATCTGATTCAATCTTCAAACGACCGATAACCGTATTGATCTGAGCATCTTCTGAGACAGAGTACGAACTGCTATTCTCTCGAAAGCCAATATTTAGAAAAACAGTGTCGCTGCTCGATGATGACGGCGTTGTGTAAACACTAAAAGCGAAAGACAAACGACTTGCAGGTAGAACATCGTTCAATAAATGTATAGAAATTTTTCTCCACAGGGCATAGGCGAGTGTTGTAAGGAGAGTGTCTCAATGAAAATTTTGTTAACTTACTTTTGTTCGGGAACAATTGAACTCATTGTCGATGTGCTTGTCATCAAGAAACTCGATGTGGTTTTCTTTCTCCAACGTCTTGAATAAGCGCGCGTTCTTCCTAAATCTCGTTTTGATATTTTCGACGAAAGATCCAAACGAACATCTATACGACTTTCTAAGCTTATCGGTTGTCCCCAATCGAAAACAAGAATTTGTAGAGTTGCCATCAAATTCGACCGAAATGACTCTTTTCCTCTTAGCATCAATGTTCCATTGTTTGGATCGAGTAGGAATGGACACAAAGTTTGACAATTCAATAATCGATACGTTATTCGTCCATTTGTTTCCTTGTTCTGATCGAGATCGTATGCTTGAAATTGATATGGTAATTGAACTAATTCCATCGGTGTGCTATTTCGAAACATTGGCCGATGTTTATTGATTTCTTTCACGTGAAGTTGTAGATTTGTTTCAATGGAGTATCGTCGATTGAATAATTGAATATTGGCTTGAAGATCCAATGTATAATTTCGATATTCTAGACGTTCTGCTACGCGTAGAATACCAGTTTTCGAATCGAGATAGAACTGAAGATATTTATCGTCATTTAATAGTTTGTAATTGATTGTTAATGATTGATCTTCATAGAGATTTGCATATGCAAGTTCAATACGTGTTATAAATGAATCGACAGGTAGATTCTCATCGAGAGAGATGATCTTCATTGGTTTAAAATGAAAATTGTATTCATTAAAATCGATTCGAGGAACGATATGATAATTTGCATATTGACATCGTCGTTGATGTTGATTGAAACAGATTAAAAATTGAAGATTATATTCTTCAATCGAATATTTATTCAAATAGACATTGTTTCCTTGGAGAAAGAGATTTTTCACATTTCCAGACGAATTTCCCAGAAGAAAAATGTCGAAGTCTTTTCCTTCCGGTTGAGTATTGATAGTTAAGATTGGTTGATGAAGGTTTAGACGATGAAATGATTTGCGTTCGAATATCTTAATTTCATAAGAAGAGATCATTTCGCTAACCTCAATCGTCTTATTGAATATCGTTTGAAAATATAGCGAAGTTCTTGGCGAATTGTTAAAACTTAATTTCACACGCGCTTTCGTTTTCATGTTATTATCCACGAGCCGTTTCTGATAACGATCATACGCATAGACATCGAATTCATAAAGCGTTGTTAAATTCTCTTTCGTGATCAGATACAAATCACCTGTAAATGGATGAAGAGAAAATGTTTCATTTAATGACGATGCTAATTCATAAAGTATTTGAGCATGTTGAATTTCATCAGCGTCACTTGCATGAATTCGTAAAAGTGCTTGCTCAATTGCAATTGATTGAGTCAAAAACGTTTGCTCGTAAATATCCATATCAAACACACCATCATTATCATTCGAATCAGCAACGCGCAGACGAACCTATGAACGAGAGAAAGAGAAGTGTGCAGTTTATAACTTCGCTAACATAAAACTCTTACTTCTGTTTGTTCGCTTTGATTTTCTTGTGTCGTAACGATATTGGCTTGAATACGTAGTGTATAAACATCTTGATATTCTCGATTAATATCAAATGGTCGTGTTATATTTAGAATAAGAAAATAAAAATCTGCTAAACGTTTACTCTTTACTTCAAATAAACCATTATTCGTATCATCGACGAGATGATAACTAAGCGATTTAATGTTTGATGTTCGGTAGATGCCAATCGGTATTCGATTTGAGTAGAGAAATAAGGAACTAGACAGGGTATTTTCTTGACACCATAGTTCATAGTTCGACGAAGTAAAAAAGTGTGGCTTGTTATCAGCAAATATAATTGTCAATAAAGTACAAAGAATGGAGATTTGTAATGAAGACATACATAGGAAGATAAAAATGAATGTGAAAAGTTTTTAAACAAATATAAATCTGAAAATGAAATCAAATGTTATTTGGCAATTCGTCGTTTTTTCTTGTGACATATTCATAAATACATTCATATGTATTCCACTAAGAAAGGAAAAGATGTATGTATATTAAACCGGCGATGAACTGGACAATCGCGTTCGTTTGCAAGAAAGACAGAGGGAGAAGAGAGAAAGAAGAAAAAGAAAAATATATCGACGACCAGTTCGCTAACGTCGCCCGTTTTGTTCAACTTCTATTCATTCTTTTCCTCTACTCTGTCTCTCTCTCTCTCTCCTTCTCTCTTTCTCTCTAGTCGGAACGTATGAAAGATGTAAAGCGAAAGACATACAGAGAGAAAAATGCTTGGAGTATGTGTCAATGAGCTAATTAGGAGCACAAATCATATCTCGGCAAATATCTAGTTCAATCGAAATAAGAAGAAGAAAAAGAAAAGAATTGCGTACTGAATTGGATCGACTTCTTTTCAAATCATAAGATTAAGTTTTTCTTCTTCCTCACGATTCTCTCAACATATCCATGTGAACATTTCAAAACAGACGCATGATGTTTGATTGTTGTTATTGTTGAGAACAGACATGCACAGACCAATGATTATGATGATGATGGACGAGCGTCGACATGAGCATCTCCTATCTTATTACTGGTCGTTTGGATGTGTGTCTACATGTAATAGATGCATGCACTATCTAATAAGACGCGTGTCGAACAAATTGCTACCTTCGTCCTATTCGGAAGGGTCACCTTGATCCAGTGAATAGGGGCTGGGCGAGACATCTTTATCGGTATGTGTTTGTCGCGTCACACGCCATCGTTTCGTATTTCTTTACTCGTTCTCGATCGCGATTGTTCAGACACCATTGAACATGAGAAATTCTACGTCTGCTATTTGCATTGTTTACCTATAAAACAAAAGCATGCAAGCACATCGGCTCGTTTTTATGCGATACACATATATTCCCGCGTCGTTATACAAGCGTTTTATTGATTGACTAGTATAATACATGATATCTAAATAGTCCTATATGTAAGCACATGAATATCTCTTGGTATAAGAAATAATTGATAACGAAATCTAACAATATGTCTTATCTATTTCTATCATATAAACAAGTATGAACGACATGATGTGAGATAATTTCATTCTTTTTTTTTTACAGTCACACATCTCTCTTAGGGATAAATCGTATGTGTCGTATTTACCACCTGCCCAATGATTAAATTAGTGTGAAAATCTCGACAATGTCAATGGCGAGGTAGAAATATGTGGGATATATTTGCACACAATATCCTTCTAATGCGAAAAAATTCTCTTGTAGAAATACAAATCGTTTTGTTTGTCATATCGCCTTTTTTTGTGTAACTTGGATTATGACAAGACTTCACCGACATGTTTAGAGTAAAATATTTTCTTTCGTTTTGTTGTTTATTCATGTTCATGAAACCTTTCTTACTGTTCTTTCGAGTTCATTTAAAAGTCTAGCACAACAAAACAAAATTTGTGCACGTTTAATTTCATTCACTGGTCTCATTCTTCTTGACGAATTCCATTAAGAAGACGGGCTTCTCAATTGAACAACTAAATAAGCACTCAACTAACCACTTCTTTTTTTTCTTCTTCTTCTTCTTCTTCTCTCTCTCTNGTTCACCATTGGTCACGCGCATGCATGCAGACATTCTAATTGTCGTTTCATTATATTGAGACGACAAATATACATATTGTTATGATGTAAGATTAGGAGAAGAAATGAGAATATAATACGATAGAAAAGAATAAAATAAACAATTGACAAACGAGACTTATTAGTCGATGAAAATCACACTCAGAAGTCTGAATATGGATTAAATTTCTTAAATCCTTTTTTGATTGAGAATGAAGACAAAGCGAAGAACGGCGAAGTCATCCTACCTTGCTGATCGATGGCAAATGGCGATTTAATTTCATCGTGAACGATTTCAATGAAATCAATTGTTGATGCCAACAATTGCCAACGACGATAAACATTCGTTAGGATTGAGCCAGCTGCTAACGATTCATTAATAGTTAATCCATATGCCGGGTCATGTAAAAGTATAGGCTCTTGAGCATCAGGAAATGATTTAACATAAATATTAAGCGTTGTTTGATTCTTATGTAAACCATCCGTCACTTGAACAGTTACATTGAACACTTGATTAACCAGACGATGTAGCTGATTTTTCAAGCGGAGATGACCTGTTTGCTTATTAATTGTTACATATGGATTTGGGCTGAGCGAATAGATTAATTGATCGGTTTTATCAGCGTCAATCGCATAGATTTGCCCGAATATGGAATAACGCGGCATATCCGAAAAAAGATCAAAGACATACTTGTCGATCGAGAATTGTGGAGTGTTATCGTTAGTATTGTTGATGAGAATATGAACAGTTGTACATATCGATTGCAATTGTGGTTGAAGACCTTGATCCGATGCGAGAATATGCAAATCGATTGCAGAATACTCTTCGTAATCAACCGATTTTACGCAATCAAGTTGTCCAGTTAGCACATCGATCGAAAAGTATTGGTTGTAATTCAACAATGAATAATGAATTGTTCCATTTTCACCTATGATCAAAGAAGGAATGAATAGTAGAGAATGTGGTGGAGGGAAAGTTCTTACCCAGATCAGGATCGAATGCTTGGATTCGTAGGAGATTTTTTTCTATCCGATTTTCATTTAAATAGATTCTCGAATGAAATAATGAACATGTCGGTATGTTATCATTAACATCGGTTATATGAATGATGATCAAGATCTTTTGATAAAACTTCTTGGTATATTCGAAATTGATTAATGAGCTGCTTTTCTTTTCACAATGATAACGTTCAGATAATTTCATTGAATAGATCGATTTGAATTTTAATTCAATTTCAAACACGTATCGACTTTGTTTCTCGCGGTCGAGTCGACCGATCAGTTTCAAAGTTTTCGTATTTTGATCAATTATAAACGGAACGTTCGTATCATTGATCGTGTAAAAAAATAAATTATCATCTTCGTCATTGATATTCAATGGAAACGAATCCGATTCAATTTTCAAACGATCGATAACCGTATTGATCGGAGCATCTTCTGAGACAGAGTACGAACTGCTATTCTCTCGAAAGCCAATATTTAGAAAAACAGTGTCGCTGTTCGATGGTGATGGCGTTGTGTAAACACTAAAAACGAAAGACAAACGACTTGCAGGTAGAACATCGTTCAATAAATGTATAGAAATTTTTCCCCACAGGGCATAGGCGAGTGTTGTAAGGAGAGTGTCTCAATGCAAATTTGTTAACTTACTTTTGTTCGGGAACAATTGAACTCATTGTCGATGTACTTGTTATCAAGAAATTCGATGTGGTTTTCTTTCTCCAACGTCTTGAATAAGCGCGCGTTCTTCCTAAATCTCGTTTTGAAATCTTCGACGAAAGATCCAAACGAACGTCGATACGACTCTCTAAACTTATCGGTTGTCCCCAATCGAAAGCAAGAATTTGTAAAGTTGCCATTGAATTCGACCGAAACGACTCTTTTCCTCTTAACATCAATGTTCCGTTGTTCGGATCGAGTAGAAATGGACACGAAGTTTGACAATTCAATAACCGATACGTAATTCGCCCATTCGTTTCCTTATTCTGATCGAGATCGTATGCTTGAAATTGATATGGTAATTGAACTAATTCCATCGGTGTGCTATTTCGAAACATTGGACGATGTTTATTGATTTCTTTCACGTGAAGTTGTAGATTTGTTTCAATGGAGTATCGTCGATTGAATAATTGAATATTGGCTTGAAGATCCAATGTATAATTTCGATATTCTAGACGTTCTGCTACGCGTAGAATACCAGTTTTCGAATCGAGATAGAACTGAAGATATTTATCGTCATTTAATAGTTTGTAATTGATTGTTAATGATTGATCTTCATAGAGATTTGCATATGCAAGTTCAATACGTGTTATAAATGAATCGACAGGTAGATTCTCATCGAGAGAGATGATCTTCATTGGTTTAAAATGAAAATTGTATTCATTAAAATCGATTCGAGGAACGATATGATAATTTGCATATTGACATCGTCGTTGATGTTGATTAAAACAGATTAAAAATTGAAGATTATATTCTTCAATTGAATATTTATTCAAATAGACATTGTTTCCTTGAAGAAAGAGGTTGTTCACATTTCCAGACGAATTTCCCAGAAGAAAAACGTCGAAGTCTTTTTCTTCCGGTTGAATATTAATAGTTAAGATTGGCTGATGAAGGTTCAGACGATGAAATGATTTGCGTTCGGATATCTTGATTTCATAAGAAGAGATCATTTCGCTAACTTCAATCGTCTTATTGAACATCGTTTGAAAATATTGCGAAGTTCTTGGCAAATTGTTAAAACTTAATTTCACACGCGCTTTCGTTTTCATATTATTATCCACGAGCCGTTTCTGATAACGATCATACGCATAGACATCGAATTCATATAGCGTTGTTAAATTCTCTTTCGTGATCAGATACAAATCACCTGTAAATGGATGAAGAGAAAATGTTTCATTTAATGGCGATGCTAATTCATAAAGTATTTGAGCATGTTGAATTTCATCAGCGTCACTTGCATGAATTCGTAAAAGTGCTTGCTCAATTGCAATTGATTGAGTGAAAAACGTTTGCTCGTAAATATCCATATCAAACACACCATCATTATCATTCGAATCAGCAACTCGTAGACGAACCTATGAACGAGAGAAAGAGAAGTGTGCAGTTTTATAACTTCGCTAACATAAAACTCTTACTTCTGTTTGTTCGCTTTGATTTTCTTGTGTCGTAACGATATTGGCTTGAATACGTAGTGTATAAACATCTTGATATTCTCGATTAATATCAAATGGTCGTGTTATATTTAGAATAAGAAAATAAAAATCTGCTAAACGTTTACTCTTTACTTCAAATAAGCCATTATTCGTATCATCGACGAGATGATAACTAAGCGATTTAATGTTTGATGTTCGGTAGATGCCAATCGGTATTGGATTTGAGTAGAGAAATAAGGAACTGGATAGGGTATTTTCTTGACACCATAGTTCATAGTTCGACGAAGTAAAAAAGAGTGACTTGTTATCAGCAAATATAATTGTCAATAAAGTACAAAGAATGGAGATTTGTAATGAAGACATACATAGGAAGATAAAAATGAATGCGAAAAGTTTTTAAACAAATATAAATCTGAAAATGAAATCAAATGTTATTTGGTAATTCGTCGCTTTTTTCTTGTGACATATTCATAAATACATTCATATGTATTCCACTAAGAAAGGAAAAGATGTGTGTATATTAAACCGGCGATGAACTGGACAATCGCGTTCGTTTGCAAGAAAGACAGAGGGAGAAGAGAGAAAGAAGAAAAAGAAAAATATATCGACGACCAGTTCGCTAACGTCGCCCGTTTTGTTCAACTTCTATTCATTCTTTTCTTCTACTCTGTCTCTCTTCTTCTCTCTTTCTCTCTAGTCGGAACGTATGAAAGAAGTAAAGCGAAAGACATACAGAGAGAAAAATGCTTGGAGTATGTGTCAATGAGCTAATTAGGAGCACAAATCATATCTCGGCAAATATCTAGTTCAATCGAAACAAGAAGAAGACAAAGAAAAGAATTGCGTACCGAAATGGATCGACTTCTTTTCAAATCATAAGATTAAGTTTTTCTTCTTCCTCACGATTCTCTCAACATATCTATGTGAACATTTCAAAACAGACGCATGATGCTTGATTGTTGTTATTGTTGAGAGCAGACATGCACAGACCAATGATTATGATGATGATGGACGAGCGTCGACATGAGCATCTCCTATCTTATTACTGGTCGTTTGGATGTATGTCTACATGTAATAGATGCATGCACTATCTAATAAGACGCGTGTCGAACAAATTGCTACCTTCGTTCTCTTTGGATGGGTCACCTTGATCCAGTGAATAGGGGCCGGGCGAGACATCTTTATCGGTATGTGTTTGTCGCGTCACACGCCATCGTTTCGTATTTCTCTACTCGTTGTCGATCGCGATTGTTCAGACACCATTGAACATGAGAAATTCTACGTCTGCTATTTGCATTGTTTACCTATAAAACAAAGGCATGCAAGCACATCGGCTCGTTTTTATACGATACATATATATTCCCGCGTCGTTATACAAGCGTTTTATTGATTGAATAGTATAATACATGATATCTAAATAGTCCTATATGTAAGCACATGAATATTTCTTAGTATAAGAAATCATTGATAACGAAATCTAACAATATGTCTTATCTATTTCTATCATATAAACAAGTATGAACGACATGATGTGAGATAATTTCTTTCTTTTTTTTTAACAGTCACACATCTCTCTTAGGGATAAATCGTATGTGTCGTATTTACCACCTGCTCAATGATTAAATTAGTGTGAAAATCTCGACAATGTCAATGGCAAGGTAGAAATATGTGGGATATATTTGCACACGATATCTTTCTAATGCGAAAAAATTCCCTTGTAGAAATAGAAATCGTTTTGTTTGTCATAACGCCTTTTTTTGTGTAACTTGGATTATGACAAGACTTCACCGACATGTTTAGAGTAAAATATTTTCTTTCGTTTCGTTGTTTATTCATGTTCATGAAACCTTTCTTACTGTTCTTTCGAGTTCATTTAAAAGTCTAGCACAACAAAACAAAATTTGTGCACGTTTAATTTCATTCACTGGTCTCATTCTTCTTGACGAATTCCATTAAGGAGACGGGCTTCTCAATTGAACAACTAAATAAGCACTCAACTAACCACTTCTTTTTCTTCTTCTTCTTCTTCTTCTTCTCTCTCTCTCTTTTATCGCTCATCACCATCAGCAGAGAAAAGCACACAGAGGGATAGAGAAGTTGCTCGGTCGAGGGTCAGTTTCGTGATATGATAGTAAAAGAAGAGCAACTGAGAAAAAAAAGAAGAATAAGATACGTACGTTTACCGTTGAAGTAACATATGGGAGTTTATGACGTAATAGTAATAAGTTTTAGTATGATGATAGTTGGCAAGTATTGCTTTATAATCCTCAACGGTGTGTACATCCGACCGCCTTTGTAACTTCGTTTTACGAACCATGCGCGCGTGCCTGTATTATCAAGGATATTTGTTTGGGTTCGATGATGATGATGCGATTACGCAAGGCACTTGCACACGAGCGAACAAACGCTAGGAATGAATGAACAAGTACAGCTCGGTTGAGGAGATTATGCATCGATATACGCATTTTCTATGCTTCTCTTACTCGGTACTATGATTATTAGTTTGTGTGAAATAAATTTTTCAATAGACAATGATCATCACATTTAGCATCACAGTTGGAATTCTGCCGACATATGTACATAGATGGGCAGGTGATGTGATAAAAGATAGGGTGACGGAGAAAAAGTCGATTAGTGTTAAGTGATTGCTTGTGATGACTAGTGGACAATCGGTAGCAATCGTTGGACATGCCGTGAAGATTGTTTACGGTCAAGGCTAGATGCGTGCATGTCGTTGATTAAAGTAACATGTGCAAGTGAATGAATATATGAACGAGTGAAGGGTGAGAGTTAGCAGGAAAAAGGATAATGTCTCCAACATTGTCATTTCCCAAAGGAATCACGCAGTTTTGTTCGAAAGAAACAAGAGCAAGACACCTGATCTCGGATGTACATGTGTATATAGCGATTTTCATCCATGTTGCATGCTGAGTGATGATCGATTGTGAGCGGATCTGACTGACTGACATTAGCTTGTATATTTTGTGACCGCTCAATTGACATTTTGCACTAAAGAGAAAAGAGAAAGAATCGAATAACTAAGTAAGGAGAAGCAAGCAGATGGTCACCATCCTCACTCCTATTATACGCATTGTCAATCAATTCAAGGAGAGATACGGAGAGGGAGAGTAAATGTACCGTAGGATAAGCAATTCTTTCCTGATTGTTTATTTATTCGAATTAGAAAATGCAACTGAATGATCTCTGTGCAACAACAAGTGGCACTTATTACAGTTACACATGTGTACTCATCACTCTATGCTGACCAAGGTCATCCTTTTTTTGTTTGAAGACAAGAGAAGAGAAGTAGTCTGGCGTAAACTATGAGCTTTTTTCTGCTTCCTTGTCTCGTTTTAATATGAAATGGGGTCGACCGGATGTTTAACGGTCACACATGTCAAATAGCTCAATCAAAACCGATTGACATGTGACAAAACATCATAGAAAGAAAAAAACAGCTAGTTAACAATTCTTTGAAGGAAAAGAAAACAATCTTGATTTTATTACATTTTCTTTCTCTTATTGATAAATTTTATTAAAAAAAAGCTCATATTCGTCAATAATTTCGCTTTACTCGAGTTTGGCCACTAATCGTTGTTGATCGTGTTCCATTTGAATTACAACAACAGAAACCAACGCGTTTCTTCTTCAATTTCTTCTGACTCTGTTGAGCTTTTTGTTTCGCAGTATGATGCAACGCAATTGTTTGCGGCAAAAGACTTCTCTCATTCAACATCGATGAAGATGATATATCATGTTCAAATGGCAAATTTGCTTGCTGCTGATAATGATCATCAGGTAAAACAAATGATTGACCATATAATCCCGAATAGGCAGTGCCGTCGAATGAAGGTGATATATTACGTTTTGTTGTGCGACGGCAGAGACAAAAGAGACCGAAACAAAAGAGAAGAATGAGAATTGTAAGAGTTGCAATTATAATAATGAAAATAGTGTCTGAAAGAAACGGGTCAGAAGCAGTTGCATGAGCAATAACTTCATTTTGATGCATAAGAAATGTGCTTGTCGAAGTGAAAAGACTCGCAATTTGATAGCGCTGTCCAGTTCGATTGATTGATTTCTCTTCATCATGATGTGGTTTCAATTCGGAAGTCTTATTTGATGGAGAATACACCTAGAAAAGCAAAGAGTGTTCGCCCTCTTTTTTCTCAATTGAATTATTACAGGTGCTAAAATAATACGTTTTGATATGTATGAATAAGGTGTTGAATTTCTTTCATTAGAAATTCTGTTTGTTGCCTGTTTGCCATTAATAATAGAATCTGGAATCGGTTGTGAAACAGGAGATGCTGCTGATGGTAATGGTTGTTCAAGAGAAGAATGAACGGTTTGATTTCTATTCTCAAAAGTATGATGTTCAACGTTCGTTCGTATTATGGTTGATGATGATGAACGATCTTGTTCATGATTAAATGCCTATGAATAGTATTAATGATTTTCTGAATGCTATTCATCAAATTTATGTGAGAAAAGATAAGCTGATGTTTGTACAGATGTGTGAGCAGCAGGACTAATCATTCATATGTAGTTTACACTATCGACTGGGAAGAGAAATTGATTATCAAATTCTGAATTTTGTCAAAGAAAAAAAGTGAAGTCGGCATTGTCGGATTAAGAGGCATTTCCTTGTCGGATTAATAGAATTTCTTTGATAGCACAAAGGAACGTTTTCAATGTCGAATCGTGGAAAATTCTACTTACAAGATTTGTTAATTGTTCTATTCCGGCTAATGACGCAATATTTGATGATTGCATAGAGTTTCTATTAAAACTCGTTTTCTCCACTGTTGATGGAGTATGATCAATCTACGAAGAATAACATATCGTCGTAATTGTTTCATGAATTATAGATTCTCCGTTTCATATTTAACTATTCTTACAAGATTTTCAGTGCTAGTCGATTTCGTTGATATAAATATTCGATACGAGGCGAGTTCCAATGGAATTTGCTTTGTCTTACACATGGTTAAACATGGATATACAAACATTGCCAAGATCTTGACGTTTTCACGCGATACATGACGAAAATGAGAAGAATAGCAATGAAAAAAGTTCTACAAACAATAGGTGATTTTCTCTGATTCTCTCATCTCTCGTTTTCGTGTATTAGTTCATACGAACAGATTATTCAATGCAAGGCGCGAAGTTAACTACCGAATGAAACTTTTCAAGCTTGTTATTCTTTCATTTCAAGGTTGTTCTTTTCTTCTCAACAATAATATCAACCGGTACTTGTCGATTCAATCATCTGTATGAGAATATTGAACATATTTATTAGCTCGAATGCATATTGAATGAAATGAATTAGATCAATTCGAGTTGAAGTAGGTGTATATGAATCTAGAAGGGTTTGATCAAAGAAAACAGAAATACATAACCGCAAGATTATTTCAAAGCATGCGATGATGCATATGAAAGAAACAAAGTTTCGTACGGGGTAATAAAATACAATTGAAAACCATCAATTCGCCATTGACGCTTTTCGATTACTTATTTTAGACCAGTATGATGGAAAAAAGACGGGAGAAAAGATTTTTTTGGCGTATATATTATATACACAGGTAGGTAAAAAGCGAATATACAATCGTCGCGCTGTAAATAGAATCTAACGTGACATCATATTTACCTTTTCATTTGCTTTTTCTTCTCGCTATATAGACACATTTGATTCTGTTTTATGAAATAATTTTTGTCAGTTAGACTTTATTTTTATTTTTCAACTTGCGACACTTGAGATGAATGACGACACGTTCGACAACCGAATGATACCAACTAGTCGGAATAACCGACAAAGTTGTCAATTGAAATATTCTCGACATGGAGCACTTACATGGGTAATGCCGAATCTTTCTCATCTATTCTACTTCATTTCGATGTTTTCAAGGACAAATGGACAGAATATGATTGCATATTTTTTTCATATATCGATGCGAATGGCAATCAACAGAATCAACTTGAACTACATTCGAAAAATAATCATCATAAGCCAAATGGAAAAACAATCGATCTTCAACAACTTCAATCTCTCACGTGTGTACATGGAAACACGAATAAGGACGAGCCGAAAGATATTATCATACTTAAAATTGCCAGTAAACGACATCGACTAGGTTTCGACAGTGTCTACGATTACAGTCAATGGAAAAGTCTTCTAGATGGAGTGTATAATTCAACATGGGATTTGACGAATTCGAGTCAGACAAATGATAGCGTCGCTACGAATATGTTTTATGAATCGGTGAATGGTAAATAGGGAAATTTGATCACAAGAATAACAAATTGTGTTGTTATTTTTATAGCTCGACGATATCGTGTACGATTTGCTGATCTAGAAACACAAGAAATTTTAGTATTACCATCGGGTGAATGTCAATTAGTCTTCGATGTTGATAAATTAGTTCTTGAGCAATACCATGATAAGCAGTACACCTTTCCTAGGTCAACAATTCGCACGATGCGTTTAATTGATGATAGTACACTGGAATTAGAATTAGGCTCACGCGCACCAGTTCAGGGTTTCATACGTTTCCGTTTCTGTTCACCTGCTGATGCCCGATCATGTTATTTACAATGGAATGAAGGTATGTTGATTAGAAATCCGTGCGATCAACAACGTATATCTGTGAAACAAACTGTACAACAATTAGAACGTAAAACTCTCTCTCTTTCAATGATACGAGCTTGTTTTATTTCTTTATAGCATCTATACATTCAACACACGTCCCCTTACAACCACAACCTAGTTACGAGTACCAACCACCTCGACCTCCACCAAAGAATATCTCGAGTAATGCTTCGCACTTAAGAGCAATAAAGACGAACTTTATCTTTTTTTATAAAAGGTTCATATTACAATTACGAAACGTCCTCTTCATCGGTGACGACGAGTCGTTCACCACCAAGTGAATATCCTTCCTTTCAAACACTTGTCTGAAAATGTTCCAACGAAAATTTCGAAAGAAAAAGACGAGAGACGATTTTTATTTGCTTTCTATGAAGAATTTCAAATGCGATCATCGATGTTTCGATTGATAGAAAACAACTTCTGTTCACGTATATTTTTTTTTTAAATAATGAATTAGAAAACAAGAGGAACAACAGCAAAAAACGATTTTCTATAAAAAAATAAACTCGACCAAGACTTCTTGCTTCGCTTTTATCACACCGTCGATGGTACACGTTTGTTTGCTTTCAGAACTTTCAAAGATAATAATGAATCATCTCTTGTTGCACGTTGCTCTTTCTTCTGATTATACTTATTCCAAAAGCCAATGAGTAGAGCATTATTAACGTAATTGTCCGATGATCGTGGTGATGATTTTTCTACTTGTAAATAATTCAATCTGGACATTAACAATGGACTGTTGTTACACGACAGGAATGGTGACTTTTCCAGCGGTGTCCGACTTGAATGTGAGCGTGGAGGGTACAATGTACCGAATCGTCGAGATGATCGTTCGGAATTAACGTCATAGCGATTATTATCGACCGAATAGTACGATCCTCGATGACTTGATGACGGTGGTGCTTGAGGAATAAGACCCGCACGCGCACTAAGACCCATTCCATTCATTCCTGTCGCAACTGGTATGCTTCTTCCGCCACCGAAACGCGTCGGAAAGAATAATCGTACAAATTCTCGACGAAAAACTCGTCCCGTTAATGCATACAGGAAAAAATTACACGAATGATTGATATATTGACATAATTCAGCAATGGCTTTTCCTATCGCTAACGGTGTTTCATAATAACCAGGTTTAATTATACTTTGAACAATTTGCATTAATGACATCGGTGCGGAAAATACACAGAATGCAATACTAACCGATAAGAGCATAAATGTAACTCGACGACCGACACGGGCATTATTTGTCAATGTATTCGATGATATCGGAGTAACTGTTAATGTTGATGTATGTGTCGCACAGCTTAAACTTGATGCTGCTGTATATTGTCGATAACTATGCAGATGGCGTAGATTTTGTAGTTGAGCGCTGATACCTTCAGCACGAAAAACTCGTTGGATAATCAAAATACTTAAGATAAGTAAAATACAGAACGGAATAGCAGAGTATTTCAATGCATCGATAAAGACAAAAATCTTTCCGACAAAATGTCTTGCCCATGTTTTCGGATGACAGACGCGATAATGTCCGTCGATAATTTCCAATTCTAATGTTAGAAGAAAATGTCCATCAATCAATGCAAATACGATAAACATAGCCAAGAGAACCTAGGAGAGAAAATTCAAGGCTATATACGAACATCATTAATCAATTTGATAAGATTCACTGAACAATATCTAATAGATGTTTCTTTTCAGTACAATGAAGATGTAATGGATTTCAAACATTACGACTAGTAGAATGTCGTCGACTAGGAATGCACTTGACGTTTATGTCTGAAGTAGGTTGAGCAGTTACTTTTAAATTTATTTGCGCAGTACTAATTGCGAATGGGACCGTAGTGATCTGACTATGAAAAAGATTATTAATTTCGCCTCATAGAAAAGGAAATTAACATTTAAAACTTCTGCATTTGTAAGTCATCGTACTTCTGTTCTCTGAAAAAGAACCTGATCTATCAATCTGAAAATGTATGTCAGAACATAATTCAATCTGCTGATGTGTCGTGAAAAGGAACATTGTCAAGTACTGTGCATTTTCCGAGTCTTCGTGTGAAAGGAAATTATTTAAAGAAATATTATTAGAAAGCTAGGAGAGTGTTAATTGGAACCAAGAATGCCTGATGAGATATTTTTAACCTAAATATTACAACTTTCCAATGTACCTTGAAAGATAGTCAGAGGGGTGTGTGTATTGTGACTATCAGCTGAAACCAAACGATGACAATTTGACACATATTCAGAATTGTAAACAACAGTATCCAAGAAATATATTGACATAAAGAGTAATCCGTTGTAATACTTTCTATTAAATTATCCTTCTAGAGCACTGAACTAATCGCCTTTACTAAACATACAACTCATCAGAAGCTGTCCGTTGGAGTTAAAATTCTTCTTAATCTACTGAATGAATTATGTATAGATAGATTTGAAGATCTACAATAAATTGTATCTGATATTCACCCATTTCGCTCGTTTGGTCGTACACATTTGTGAAGCTCGTAATGGATGTGACACAGCGAAATAGCGTTCGAATGACATGCAAACAATAATCCAGACACTAGAAAGCACAAGAGAAAACAATGGTTGTCTGACAATTTTGTTCTTTACCTTGTATCTGCAAAGAAAACAAATAAAAACGGAAGTAATTTACATGTAAAATTCGACTTAGCGACAACAGTTGGAACGTGTATAATATAAAACCATTGATTCAAACAACCTGTCCAAAGAACAAGTGTGTCGGTGACAGCTAATGCTGCCATATAGAAGCACGTTGACGATACGCGCATGCGTCGACGACGCATAACTATGAAGGTGGTAATATTGCATATAGTGCCGAACAGGATCAAAATTGGAAATGTGACAATTTCAACGCGATAGAGAAAGGCTAATAGAGCAGCATTCTCCGTTTCATTGTACATTGTGAACGATTCTGTTTCGTTATCCATCATTAACAATGTCGATTCCTTAGTTCATCTGAAAACATCTGTGAAATGATTAATAAAGAGTGTTTTTCTTTTATTAATTAAAGTGGCGACTAAAGACTGCTTTGACTCAGTGGACTATCTTGGTAAATTATGCGAATGTTACCATCTTTATCAAGTCCATTTGCGTTTTTCTACTAAAATAAACGATCCTTTTCTCAAATTGAGGCATGTCACACCCCGAACTGAGTAGCTTCTAGCAATATTCTATTAAACAGCTAATTACACATAAACGTTTTTCGTTCGTTACACAAAAATGAATAGAAGCGTTGACTTACTTGTCAGAAAATGGCGGCTTTGTTTTATGAAAATAAATGCTATCTTTTGACTTGATTTGTTTCTTTTTCTCATTAGATATTTATATCTAGTTTATCCTTCAACTTACAGACGCCGTTACAAGCGTTGATAAAATCAAATTAAATTGATTGATAACATGTCAGTAGATAATATAATAAAGGATTAAAGGACATGTGTCAGTTTTTATAGATCTACAGCTAAACAACGCGAAATATGTTGTTAATGAACCGTTTAGAAACATGACAAAGTCGGAGAGAGAAACCGATTGTTCTTTTCATGGTGAAAGTTACTCAATGATCAGAAGACGAAGATATAAACGACTTTAAGGGAATGTTTTTCTACTCGTGAAAATTTACTCTAAAGATCGGCCTATTCTTCTCTGGTTTAATGAAATAAGATATGCATGTTTTTGTTATTACAATAATTGAAGAAAACGATTTTTACGAAAGCTAATTCGATACTTACATATCTCTTGAAGAAAAAGATTATATTCAGAAGGAGACGAAGAAGAAGAGGAAGAGGCAAAATGAAATGTAAAAGAGAAAAAATAAGTTGGAGTTTTTTTCTCTTCAATCTAATGAGAAAATAGAACTGATGAATAAAAGCAGCAGGAATGTTTTGAGCACAGTTTTGGTGAACAAGCCTTCGAGATTAGTTTGAATATGAATGATTTTAGTTGCTTTCAGTTTTCTTTCTGCTCTTCTAATTGTATTTCATGGATGAATGTATTTTCAAATTACCCAATGTCAACAAGAGTATCAATCTATTCATAATCAATGGAAAAACAACATCATGTACGCATTCTAACGCGTATTCTTAATGAGATATACGTGAAAATATTACAGAAAAGCAAATGCATAATATCTAATGACTGCAATGAGTTTATTTTGAAGTAATTGAGAAAAGAAGTTTCTTTTTCTTGTTATTCAGGAAGTCCAACGAGAAAAAAACCATTCTTTTCTACGAAGTCATTTAGATAATTATTTGATTCAGAATAAAAAAGAAACTAACATACGTAAATGACACCGAACTAGAGGAGGGGGGGGGAGGCGTGGTAGGATTGAAACCATGATGTTAAACTACATAGCCTTCGACTCTATTTGAACTATTTCCTCCTGGAGTTTGACACGTTTCATAACTATTAGAAGAGTGTTTAGCATGATTCATAAGAGATTCTGCAAATGATAAGCAAATCTTATGTGCGTGTTGGATTTCCAACCAGAATAGAATGATATAAACCATTCGTCTTACTGACAGACATTCTCGTGACAATCGATTTGATCGCTTTCTCCTTTCTATTTATGCTATGTGAATAGACAAGCAAGAACACGGAGATATTTACGACTATCATCAATTATTCAGGCTAATTCTTACAGTAAGCGAACAATGTGTTAGCAGGACAAAAATAAAAAAAACCATCTATCGAAAGGACAATAAAAGATCAATGGGGAATATATGCTCATCATTCTATTTATCGTGAAGAAAAGCTAAAATAGTTGAACAATATGTTTTCTCTCGTATTCCTCGTGAAAATATTATTACGGATCGAAAACAAAAGAATCATGGACAATAAATTCCACCCGAGATTCTTCTCCACCGAACATTTCTCGTCTCCAAATGCGAATAAACTTTGCCTCATACGATTCCAATGTAAACCAAACGTATCCACAACAAAATTCTAAAGTGTGGGTGATAGATAATTTATGGCATAGGAAAAAAATCACATTACATAGGTTATATGCAAGGGTCAAATAGACATGAACTACATTCTGTATTCTCCCGAGTCTCGAAAGTATTCAATATTTGTTCGGTGTATTTCCTACTGTCTTCAGCACGAAGAGGATAATCAGTATCAAGCACATAATTTTTTCGTTTATACTCAAGGTCGTCCATTTGATGATAACTTTGAGAAAAATCGATATATAGCAACTAAAACGATGCATTAGGTATATTCATGATCAAGTGATGTTGGAAATATTAACACATCATTATATTTGAGAATTGTTTCTCACATTATACTTCAGAACGATGTAAACTAACGAACAGTATTCTATTACTCGTAATCAGACATTTGAATGAATCGCACAAATGTATTCATTCATCTTAATTTCACCTCTCGAACAACTGTGTCTGATGCGTTTAAAAATAGAGCCATTTTATCATCGATTCTTTTGAAACGGAAAATAGAAAATGTAATAGACTTGTTTTATTTCTTAAAAAGAAGTGGCAGTATCATTTTATAAATGAAAGAACACTTCAATTCTGCTCGTACCAATGTAAGTTCCATTTCAGTAAATGAAAAGAAAGCACAATGCAACGTAGTTCGCATCAAATTATCAGTTGTATAATGACATCTTTCTCGCGTATTTTTGTATAGTCGAATGAATTGAAAAATTAATCACAGAATGTACTTCTCCCTACCTTGTCTAGGCTGATTGCATTACTACCTGATAGGCAGCGCCGATTTTTATATAAAGCGATTGTTTCACTTCGGGCTGCAAACATAAAAGGAATTCCAATATTTTTCGACGAGCAGTTCACATCAAGAATCAAGTCCTCTTCGGAAATACTTTCTTGTGAGTAAGTTACAAAACAATGACTGATTAGGGAAATGTTTTCTCAACGTGCATGATTGATCTCACAGCTCCTAAGCAGACTTGTGAGGATAAGCTCTTTTCTTCGACTCCGAAATGTACCAGATATGCACATTAATAACGCACACAAAGCTCATTTGAATCGACAGTCGTCTATTTTGAGAAAGAATTTGCATATTTCTAAGAAAAGCTGATTTCTTGAATAGAACGTTGATTTTAACGCACACAGGACAGCGCGCGAATTCTCTTCTAGGTTAGATAACTTCTATCCCAAATTAAAAAAAACTGTGCGCTTTTCTTCTAACATTCTCATTTGTGAAATATTGAAAACATAAAAGCATCGTTTTCTACCTTTTTCTAAGAAATGGAAAGATGATAGTCATGTGGAGATGCATCCTCTGAGTGCACACTATCTTTTTATCATTTTTCTTTTCAAAGAGAAAAGAAAGGGTTCGCACAGCTTACTCATCAATTTCAGAGAAATTAAATCGTCTCAATTCGAAGAAAATCAAGTCCGTTCGCTTTTCTCGGCATGTATTGTCACGCGCAAGCCAACTTCAGGCTCCAAATAACAAGTCAACATCGGTACTAAAAAGAAAGCATGTTATTCAAGAATGTCGAACATCTTTTAAAGATTAATTAGTTGTTATAAGAATCTTCAGGCAATCATAATAACCGTGTACTTTGTCCTGCTAAAACTTAGTTTCCAAGTAGCAGCGATGTTTGATGAATACTTTTGTAAATATTTATTAGCACTGAGGAGCCTGTTATTAAAAGTTTTCAAACGCGTTTTGCAAGATTCTCTTTGATTTCGCGGGCGAGTATAGTGAAGGAATACCATCTTGATCCACAAGTAGAATCGATATTGTTAGTACACTTATTGTTCCAATGTGGAGAAAATGAAGATGTTGTTGTTTGTTTTTCAAGCTTTTTCCTCTAAATAACGGAAATAAGTAAACATTATAAAAGGCCGTAAGTCTTTTATGACGGAAGAACGTTTACTCGTATTCAAAAGTCGAAAGTCAATTATGGTGCGTGACAGATGGTGTGACTCACGAGAATAAGTATCATAGATAGGAATTTCGAAGGATTGCAATCGGACTAAGGTGTGAAATGCCATATTCTTAGTATGTTCACATCGTAATACTGTCAAAAACATTCATTTGTCGGAGTGTACTGTCAGAGTAAACTACGACGCTCTCTCGATTAATTGAGAATAGATATACAGATGTCAGAAGCGCTTGAATATGTTTGTTCTATTTTCAGAAAGATAACATTTAGACTTATCATGCAAAAAATATCACGTTTAAGAGAAGAGGAAGTATTATTTATATTTTACATCGCTTTTCTTCGATAAAACACACCTCTTAGGTGTCATAGAACCGAAAAGACTTTACATTGTCAAGCCCTGCAAACCTATTAATTTAAGATCTCTCTGTACAGCTATACATATACTTAATGACCTACTCGTTGCTACACATTTACCTTTCGCAACATACTCAATCAACATCAATCATAAATAAGCTTAAGATTTTTACAACATAAATGGATTTTAATTCGCAATTTCTTTCGGGCTGTATGCGGATGTAATCATAGGTGTATTCATCCCCCGCGAGCTGACAAAGATTCATGAATCACCGAATGCTTCATTTCATCTTCGCAGACAGTATTGAAAGACCCGAACTGTTAATTTGACTTTGTCATGACGTGTCTGGTTAGTTGTGAAAACGCATGTAACGGTAACCATGAGAACAATTACAGAAAATCATGGTTTTGCTTATGAAAAATTTCATGTAATTGCTATGTTATGAATAACCTTTTTCTGATCGTGCTTCCAATGACCTAGTCAAGGAATCAAGGTCGGTGATGTTTTGAGAAGAAACAGCGAATGAAGAGTATACGTCGAACTTGTCCGATAGAATGTTATTATCGAATTTCATTTATTCTATTACATTATCATACATATTTAAATGATCAACATCTTCTTCTCATTTTTCCTAGATTCTGTTATTATCTTCAAGGTCGTTTAAGAGCAATACATACGATAGGAAAAACATTTGCATAGAAATTATCAATTAGAGCGATCGCGTAGTTATTGTGTTGACGATAACAGAAATCACAGAAGAAAACAAAGATATGAATAATTAAACTGAACATTTAGTATTTCTTTCCTCGTTCTTTATTAAAGAAAGGATACAATAGTAGAGGTTCTCATCGTCTATATCCTCTCCAAGTTATTAATCTGTGACTGCTATCATGTGTACTTAATTGTCTACTATTAGTTGGCTACCCATCTCTTTTTTTTATAATATCTCAAGCAAATGAATATTAACCATTCCATGACAATCTCGATACATAGTGTTGATGATGCAATTGATCATAACTGAATACTCGAACATATGTTTGTAGTCTGTTCAATATCATCATTCTTCCCCTCTTTCTCTCATTGATCTCAAGTTAAGCTAGTCGATGAACATGTAGACCTTGCCGTCTGTCATTGACTTCGAAGACACGTTCTATTTGTACATACGTATATATATATCGATCACTTTCTTTGTATATAATGAAGAAAGGACTATTAGCGAACGGTTTGATGGACACACCCTCAACGAATGATACACTATGTAGGGTTTGGAACTGTTCGGTTGTGATGTGCATGCATGTTAAGCTAACATAGGAATTGCCGACCGAATGCTATCTTGTTCTTCCGTTATTTATTCACTTCGTCCGTGTTTATTGGTCTCGAAGGCACATATCAACGTAATTGATATTTTTCTGCTTCTTTTATCTTAATCAAATTGACCTCGTCTCATGATCCAAAATATACACCTCTCGTCGCGGCAGACATAGTGACATCGCATAATCTATATAGAACTCATCCCCCTTGCACGCGATACGCGTATATATAACGTCGTGTCTGACATTGATCATTAAGAATCATACAAGAAATTTGCCGGGCGCCATGTACTTCGAAAAAGGTGCTGATCGAGAAATAAGTATCTTCGAATATGTTCGAGATTTGTTTATTTAAGTTAAGTATGAGAAAATGATGAGCTCTTGTGCAATCATTTCAATAATCTTGAATATATTTCTTTTCTGTTTGATCTCTTCATTGTCATTTATTCCTTTCAAGTGATGATGAGTACATCAACTTCTTCCATGTTATAAAGACAAATGAGATGCCTATTCACCCGACAAAAGAAACGCGTTGGAAATATGCATATTAAAAGCGAGAGAGAGAGGGAGAGAAAGCAAGAATTCTAATGTATTGAGCGGAAGACACACAGAGAACGAGGGAGAGACAGAAGATGCGCTTGTCTAGTTGCGCAATGTCGATAGCGAAACTGTTTTCCGACGAGATACACTACGCCCGAGTAGATATGTCGATGAGGCTGAAAAAAAAAGAATGAAGAAATGAATGAGAGTAATTCGACTCTGTAAATCTGAATATAAGCGGAACGACCATCAAATCGTAATTTGATTTTTGCTGATAGTTTCATCTATTATAAGAACTTTGTATCTCCGTCCTTACCGCATACGCAATGAAACAAAGGAGGCAAATGATTTTCTTTTCACATTTTCCTTTTTTTCCTTTTGTTCTTGTGATAAACTTTTAACTCGTCATAACGATTTCTATAAATATTAACGAATTTCCTCAATATCGTCTATGCAAATATACTTTAGTAAAATGTCCGAAGTTCTTCTCCCGTTTCTGCTGTATTTACTATTAATTAAAAACATTTCTAGATTGAAAAGAGTAAGCTGTAGGCGTTCTTAAGAGAAGAGGAGGAGTTTTCTTGATAATAAATCTTTTTCCGTTGATGACAACTAGTGTGTAGAATAATCTTATTTTGTTATTACCATACCTGAATAATACCTGGCATCTTCTAAGCTAAATTGTAAGTACGACACTGTTTCTTCTTCATTAATTCATCTTAGACAGAAAGCGTTTCACGAACAGCTATCTATTTGATATTTTACGTAAACATTTATGTTTAGATCGATTCGAGTATGCATCTTCATTGAGAATGAATTACGAGTTTGACGGATCAGTTTCCAAGAAAGTTCTACTCGATTGACACTATCATTCCCACACTTTCTCCATTAGTTGGTAATCGATCTACGTAAAAGAGGTCGCACTTTCGTTTAAGATTACATGTGTATGTACACAAATAGCGAGAGGAGGATGTTCGAAGCATTTGAAATCATATCGTGATTACTTGACTGAAGGAAGTCATGCTTGTATAATCTGTTCGTTGTAACTAGCGGCGTCGGTTTCATATCTCCTTCAAAGACATAGAATGTCTCCTTGAGAAAAAAATCTATTAAATAGAGATCCAGCTTCTGATATGACCATTTCTAACCTATAACCTCCATTGCGAATGTATGATAAACACGTTGCCTTCGAGTTTCTTGAAGTATGTATACGACAAGAGACCTTCATCATTGACAACCACCTACCGAACAATACATTCGGGCGCGAAAGATATCGGATGGTATGATGATGCTCGACAACATTATCTCCCCTGCTTAGGCTTTGGCATAATTTTCTTTCTTTCTGTTCTCTAGATGTAGATATATTTATTAGAATTTCCAACGATTAGTAATGAACAATACAATATCTGATAAAGGTTTTGTTAAATTTGCATCACGTAGTGAAGAATTTATTCTACCATGTTTATTATTAATTGGCACAACTTGTAATACACTAACATTTGCTGTGATGAGACGAGGTCGCATGCGACATTCATCATCATGTTTCTACATGGCTACATTGGCTATTGCTGATACGTTTGTTCTTTGGATTGGCTGTCTCAATCGTTGGTTAGAGTTGTTAGACAAGAAACGACCAATTTTAGCTTGTAACTTGTGTTGCAAACTGGGCACATTTGCATTCTTCTTCTTTGCCGATTGTAGGTAAGTGAACGGTATAGCGCATACCTTTTGCTCTTGTTTGTCTATCTTCAACTTATGACGAAACATCTCTAGGCACTGTAATACTATTACTTTCTTGTTAAAACATGCATCAGATCAAAAACAGCTTTCTAAATATACGCTCCGAAGTGCATTCCTTGAAACTTTGCAAAACAAAGACCTAGAGCAAAGATATTTTTAATTTCTCTCTATATAAAATTCTTTTAGTGTCTGGATTACTGTTGCTATGACATTCGAACGATATATCGCTGTTTCTCAGCCATTACGTGCTAGTCAACTTTGTACAATCAAACGTGCACGTTACATGCTGTTATTTGTATTCATCACATTTTTTTTAATCAACGCTCATTTTCTATGGACGTTTCATTTATCTCCAACGGAGTTACATTGTATTCCATTGAATACTCAATCCTTGTTCATACGATATTTCACCTGGATTGATTCGTTCAAATACTCTTTCTGTCCATTTACACTTTTAATCACATTGAACATCTTGATTATCAAGAGTCTATTGAATGCGCGAAATGCAAATAAATATTTACAACAACAACTCTCCTCCGAAACCAGCTCAAGTCAACACGCAAGTAACTATTCGATGGCATATTCGGCAACCAATCTAAACTCGAACGTCTCGATTAAAAGAAAGAAATACACCCTTTCGCGTTCATCAAATGCGTGCCAGCAACAACAACAACAACAACAACAACAGACTATGTCGACAAAAACTCTCGCTTGTCGACGAGTGAACCGTCGTTTGACAACAATGCTATTAGCTGTTTCATTTGCATTTTGTGTATGTTCAATGCCAATATCTATAATGCAATTAATCGATGCTATTTACTCTGACGTTGAAAATCGTTCACCAACAATGAATGCAGGTATTGCGATCGGCAAAATCATTGCAGAAATTTCGCAATATGTCAATCATTGTATGTTGATTTTATGAAAGAAAGAGGATTTCACTATAACATGTGTCTTTGCTTGTTGTTTAGCTTCCAATTTTTTTCTCTATGCATTCACGGGAAGAGTTTTTCGTCATGAACTTCGTCGATTGTTTAGTTGCCATGATTTTCTGTTTTTTACTTCGTCATCGTCATCTCAGCGTTTATCGAAACGTGCGAAAAAGTTAATGTTACTTCACAATCCATCACAAGGTGTCCATGAACACTTCTATTCAAATGGCAAGCGTCACACACGAATCTTAGTTGCACCAAAACGACCATCGAATGTTTCGGATATATACACTTATCGGCAAAGTATTTGCAGTGCTCAATCATCGTTCGAAATTCCACTTGCTAATCAAAATTATCAATTGCGACAAAATTCGATGATGACCAACGATGATCAAGACGATCACTTTCTCACAGCGTATCAAAGGCAATCCCTCGGACCACGAGCCAGTTCAATAACACAAACAACATCGATCATGTTATTGGATTCGCCGACAACACCTATCCGCCGTAACCGATCCGGTTTGGATCCATCTGTTTCTGATACGAGAAGTCAACCGCAAGAACAGCCATCACCAGCGAAAACATCTGATGTAACAAAATCAATAGCTTTATCTGATGTCACATCAAATTCATGATATGACTGAAAAACAGAAAGTGATGAATTGTTTTGATTTAGTCATATATCTACTGTTTAATCGTGTATACATATATTTATGTGTATCTATGTCAAAAGATGTGATCGTACATTGTGTGCAAACTTCAATCTATTCTTTAACATAAAATAAATTGAAATAATAAAAAGTGGCCTATCTTCAGCGTATTGCCTAGATAAGTATCTTTTGAGTTTATCCATAGTCGGAATTTTACTCCTTCTCAAAACTATGCCAGCAATTCATCAGATCATCATGACATGATACATTAATAAGAAATATAAAACTAAACGTACCATATGGAATACATAATCAAATACCATACTGAATATGTCGAGCAAGATCTTTTATCATTCTTCTACTAGAAATCTAGAAACACTGCACGTAATCACGCGATGTCTTAATAACCTGCAAAATATTCTTTTTATTTGAATAATGATACTTTCGATGAATTAATCTTGATGGATCTCGAAGAAAGTCTTGATCTGAGCTTTTTCTAAAAAATCTTTGAAAGCCTTTCCATTTTTCTTGGTCATCATAGTTTTTGAATATGCAAAATCTAGAAATAGACACAGTTAGAGCCTGCTGATTTAGCAGATTAACTTTCTTGAGCTGTGTTGAAATTATTCAATAGAAACGGATTGCGCGTGAAGATTAAGCACATTTGTTCGTATCTATTTTCTGTGGGATATAAAAAGTATCATTTGCAGAAGCATCCGTTAATGAACGTGCACTGTACGTTCAATTTTGCTTAACCCGAGAATATCAGAATGCAGTTTTCATTAAATAAACGGAATATTCTTTTGATATTCAAAATCAAGGAGGTGAAGAGCGCGTAAAGCGAAGAACGGAAATCTGCTGTTTTCATTTTTCGAACACGTGAGAAAAAATTAGAACTGCTAAAAGAAATAAATGCATCAATAAACAGTATAATAATAACTTACTAACAATACGATCATTTGGTTCCGTGATGAACTCTATGATATTTCATCTTTTCAGTCTGATTGAGGCGGGGAAGAAGCTGTTTTTATCAAATAATAGAAATTCTACGTCCATTTAACAAAAAAGTGTCACGTTCAAGCTTTGTAGCTCTAAAAAAAAGTTTTTTGTCTCTTGACGAGTCTTATGATGGTGTCTGATAAGTCTTTTCATTATGTAGATTGGAATTATCTTAAGAAAAACTCAGCTAAGTAAGAACATTGTTCATGCGTCATTCATTTGATAATAAATACCAATGCGGAGTTTTTCTAATACAAAGCAATCTGACGTTTTAATCGCATCTAAAACTCATACCTCTACGATGATATTTATGGACTGATGCCCTTACTTTGTGTCATTGTGAGGATGGTCTTAAACGGCCTTTATTCCAAGATCAGCTTAAAGTCTATCGTCGATGAAAACGTAGGACCAATTTGTGAAATAAATCAATCATTTAAACTATACATTATTGTACAAGTAAATTAAGATTCTATTTATGCGAGTAGCGCTAAGAGTACTTATGCTTTTAAACGTCGAAAACATATCTACATTTTCATTAGTCACATTTCGTCGCCGTCGGTTCCGACGTCATTACACAGTGAGCAGATGTATATATAAGGACGCGCTGTTCTTTTTCTTTCTTCAAAATTTAGTTGTCATTTCAGACTGAAAATTTCAACACATTCAATTTGTTATCATAAATTCTAATCAATATGTCAACATCACTTGTTGAAGCTCAACGGGCCATGTCCCTGTATGGTCTATCGACTTTTTTGGTATTCGGCACTGTTGGTAACATACTTTTGATCTGTATTCTTGTTCAACGTACACATCGACAGAATTCTTGTTCTCTATATCTACTTTCGGCAACGATTGTGAATCTAATTTTGATTGAATGCATCCTTCCTGCTGCGGTTTATTCAGGAAAATATATTGATCCACAAAACATTTCATTAACGTGGTGTAAAATTCGCAGTTATCTATTTAATGCTCTACTCATGCTCTATCGATGGTATAAAATGGCTGCCTGCGTAGATCGTGCAGCCATGTGCAATCATCGTGCATGGATACGATCATTTAGTCAGGCCCGTGTTGCTTGTCGAGTAATATTGGGTATAACGATCGTTTGGCTTATTATTCCCATTCATTTGGGACTCTTCTTTCGCATTGAGAATGGCCACTGTGTACCCGAATCAGGTCTCTACGCGAAACTGTTCAGTGTTTATTCGATCATTATCTCTGGATGGTCACCACCAATCGTCATGGCAATATTCGGTATTATCTCTTATCAAAACCTGAAAAAAGTACGTTTATACACTCGCGTGAACTAATTTGATCGATGAAATCTATTCATTTTTAGGTGAGAGCACGAATTCGTTCGACAAATTTTGGAGAACAAAACATGGTGGTCAATGTTATAGCACCCGGAAAACAGCGAATCGGTAATCGAGATCAACAGCTAATCATTTTATTGATGTGCGAAGTTTTACTCTATATCAGCACGAATCTTCTTTATTCAATTAATATAACCTATTCTGCAATCACATCCAACGATCAGAAAACCGGTGAACGTCTTCGCATCGAATCATTTATTTCATATTTTTCGACTCCATTCCTGATTATCATTAACAATTGTGCACCATTCTATCTCTATCTGTGTGTGTCAAGTAAATTTCGAAAGGACGTTAAGAATCTTTTTCGCGCATGTTTCTGCTGTCTCCGCCCAAATTCATTAACCGCTGTGGACCACCGCTCAAAAGCAACAGCAGCCATGGCAATTAATCCAGCAGCTTCAATATCACGTCAATAATAACTTAGTTTTGCTCGAACTCACGGTTTGCTTTCACTTTTTAAAATCTAATAAACTAAAATCCCCGATGTCTGTCATAAATACATCTTCCATTTCTACACTCTAAAAATACTAATCCTATTACTCAGCTCAGCAAGAATATCTTGAGATGGAATGTCGAGGCTCGGTTAATCAAGTGCATTATTCCGCAAAAACAAGAATTAAACATACGGGGAAAGTATTAGCGGTCAATACGATGAATTCAAGATTATGGAAACGAATATCTAGGGATAATTTTCTATTTCAGGTACTTTTTTCTTCTAGTCTTATGACCATAAGCGGTGCACTCGAAGATCTTTCCCTAACAATTACAGCCGCGTATTGGGGAAGTATAAATGAATCTAATTACTAATTATTATCGTTAGGATTTCGAATACAAATGATAATTCACAAAAAAACAACCGTATGAATTACTGAAATCCTGCGGATGTATATTTTTAGAAAGGATTCTTCTCAACAATATCATACCATGATGATCAAAACCGTTTTGTGACGCGCGTAATTTTCCTATTTTTGAAAAAGGACAATAGAACATAGACACAGAAATTGTAATCAAGAAATGAACTATTAGTCCATTTCCAGTCGTGCATGATCCACATTTTTCTTGTTGCCTGTTTCATATTTTCCAGCCGAATACTTTGAAGTTCTGTGACAAAGGTAATAGTTCAAGGTAACATAATTATACAGATGTCACATGCTGTTGTTACAATTTTGTTTTACATCCGGATGCTGCACTCCAAGAGAAAGATTTGTTCATCATAATCTTCAACGTTCATACTTTGTTGTCTCGATGAAAGAGATGCTCGTTTAGTACATTTAACCCTTAAAAACCGAAGGGGTTTTTTGAATGCAGGTAACGAAATAATCGTATAAATGAAGATTCTGGAGTATGAATATGCATATATCATGGTCAAAACCGCTGGGTGGTGCTAAAAATGTTTTTCACCCAGACGGTCTGGGTGAAGTACGATCCTAATAACTTTCCGCGTGGGTGGCCATGTAATATGGTTTAGGACCACCGTGAATTTATTCTGGTGATATTTTCAGGTATCTTTGATTATTTTTTGAGCAAAAAATTCACAATTACCTAGGTTACTGTGCTAAAAATGCCTCTAAAACGATACTTTTTTACCACGACACAATGACTTGTTATAACAGTAAAAACCGTGCGAAGTTGTTTTATATTACGGTTTACGATTGTTTCTCACGATATTACTCAAAATCTGTATTGTATATGCCAAGATATAGAAATATCCGCGCACCCAATTTTGATTAAAAATAGACTCGCACTCAAAGCTGTGTCGAAGTTCGCGAAAACTGTTTTAGCGTGATTTTCCTCCGTCACACATTCATCTTGACTGTCTTTGTTCAGGAAAACAGTAGCTTTCATGAATACAACTTAACTCATCTGTTCTACCGCGATTGATCCAATGTTCCTTGGAAGGGACATCTCGGCTTTTAAGGGTTAAGGTATATCGTATAGCGAATTATTTCTCCATTGAGAAAAATCAATCTTGAATAACGGCAAATCTATCAGATTTCGAATGACTTCTTTCGTTGGAAGTAAAGGCATTGACACTCTTTGTTTAATAAAATCATCAAATATCAACGAACGGTACATTATGAGAACAGATAGTTCACACAAAGTGTTACTACAGCTGATCAGTCCAGCGCATAAGTGTTCGCCTATCTGTAGCGTTTGAGTTTCTTCGAAAGAAAACCGCTTGGTTTGAGAAGAAAAAAAACATCCTCATGTACAATTTTCTTCTCTCCTATTTTCTGATACATACACGCACCACGCACACATACAAAGAGCAAGACGAGCACAATGAAAAAGCAGGAAAAAACGCAACAAGAAGAAAAGAGAACAACATTCAACAAAACAAAAGAGAACAGCATCGAGTTCTCTTCGTAAATTTGTTTGCTTTATTCATCAACCGCGGAGTGACTGTTTGGTTTCGTGTTGGCTGATTCAGAATTATCGTAAATCACCGTACGTGTTAGCTTTGGCACTGAAGTACCATTTGTATTGTTATTGGACGGTTCATTATTCGAATGAACTGCTGTTGTACTGACGATTTCACTTTTGATTCCCGGTGCGGACAAAGTAATTTCATCAGGTAAATCAGCTAATGCGCTGTCATCATCTTCATCATCATCATCATCATTATCGTGTTCATCTAATTTTCTCTTTCTGTTTCTTTTGCTTTCGTCATCATCATCGCCATTTACATCTGTGGACATATTTTCTAGTGTTTCTAATTTTTCTTCGCATTCGCGTTTGAATTCTTCCAATTCTTTCTCAAGTTCAGTTTGACTTTCTTGGAATTTTTTCTCGAAAACTTCATCGATGGAACCTTTGGGTAAGAAGAACACATAAGGTTTGGTTTGAGTTCGAATGAAGTGCTTCAATCGACGATGATTCTCTTCAGTGTTATCCAGCCGTTGTTTAATGTCAAGTTTCATATTAAGTAGTTTCAATTGTTGTTGAAAATCTTTTTTTGTTGCTAACAATTCTGTACGTTCGTGTTTTTTATTTTCACGTTCTTTTTCTTGTTTCTCTTCTAAACGGCGTTCGATTTCTTGTCGTTTCAGGCCAACAGTTTGTTCATTGTACGCATTGGCTTCCGCTTTGAATTTGTTCAATGTACCTAAGAGAACACCGAACATACGACGATTCCGTCCCGTTGACTGCTGATCACGATTGACTAACGAAATAAGATCATCTTTGGTCTTGATGATTTTGTTCGTCGGAACGATAGATGAATGAAGAGATTTGGACGGTGACGAAGTTTCCTCGAAACTGTTCTCTCCAAATGATGATGTACTCGGTTCGTCATACGACGAAGATGATATTCGAGAACGCTTGGCACTTGCTGGATCGTCTGATGATGGATGACCGTTTGTAGAAAATGTACGTTGGTTACTCGTTGATGATGTTGTGATGCGAAAATTTGGCGGAACATATGTTTGTTTGAGACGCGTATCGATATCTTGTAATTTCGACCATAAGTCCTGTCGAGCACGTCGCAATTCTTCAGCGGATAGATTTGTAGTTGCACTACTCATTTGCGATCGTTCAAGGTTTACTACAAGAGATAAGAACAAACGAAACAAAAAATCAGTTCAGATTTTGAAATATTGATATACGAATGAATGAATTGTTCGGCCATGTTGGCTAAGTCACAGAGAACGAAAGTCGAACAGCCAATTGTGGAAAAGATGAACATGTTTGCTAGTGACAATGATTTCTTCATTTGAAAATTAAGCGAAAAGAAAAAAAGGGAAAATGAAATTAGTATGAAAGAAATTTCAAAAATGAAAAATCGCTGCTATCATCCTAGACCTAACAATCAGCGCCATCTATCACACGCCAAGTACATGCACACTTGTTACTTGCTTACACATAGGGAGCGCGTGATATGTTTTAATTATTTTCAATTGAAAATGTACTTTCTTGGAACAAAACACGACCTTCTGCTGATGAATGATAACGCGCCATTCTAATCTAACGAAGTATTCAAAGGATTAGAATACGGCTGATTTAATAAAGCTGCCTACACAATATTGCTTTTCTATTTTTTCGGTCGATATGACAAGATTATAGGAAAAATCGTAATATTACAGAAAATGATATTGCTGTCTCTGATTTGCCTTAACCAATAAGTCAACATAGGCAAAGAGAATCTTTTGGCAAAGTGTTACGGACTCGAGTTCATGCTGCAGACACGTCAATGAGCGGATTATACTCTTACACTTTCATAATTGACTGTATTCAATGAGCGTCTTCCTCTTTCTAATAATTCTATTTTTCTCTGATAGGATACGTCAACTATATTCTGCCAGCGAGGATTGTATTAAAAAAATATGAAGTTTCATTCTAACATTTCTTTATTACAGATATGTCGGATGCTGTCTATTCCATTTTGAGTCGATATACACAACCACCACTTATTATCTTTGGGACTCTAGGTGCCATATTCAACCAAATATTGTTCTCTTCCCGAAAATCTCTGCGAAGTAATTCATGCTCATTTTATTTTCGGGCACTGTCAATCAACGATTTACTCGTTATATACGCATATGTACTTCTTCAGTGGATCGCTGATCAATATAAATTCGATCTATTAAAAACATGCATTCCGATTTGTAAAATCAAAACTTATATTAATTGTATTCTGTATACTCTGTCACCGTACTTTGTCGTTTTGGCTTGTTTCGATCGTTTGTGTACCAGTTCACGCAATGCTAATTTACGACGAATTGCCACACCTCGTATTGCATCTTATCTGACACTTGCGATGATAGTGATTGTCGTTGCTGCCTACTCTCATATTCCTATCTACACTACTCTGTTTCTTGGTCCAACCGGATTCACTTGTTTAAGTACTAACCTAACGTACAGCAAGATCAACGCGATATTTGTTTTGATTTTTCTTGCAATTTTACCTCCGGTTTTAATGACAACGTGTTGTAGCACAACATTGATTCTTCTTCGTATTCAACGTCGACGAGTTATGCCTATCAATCAAGCACGTATACGTCAGCGTGATACCCAAATATTCAAAATGCTGCTTCTCTATGTGGCATTTCACTTGATATGCACAATACCATTTAGTGTTGTTCTACTAATTGCCGTTTATCAACTACCAGCACCATCAGCTACAATCGTTTCACTATATCAATCGTTTGTATTACTGTTCAACGCAAGTTTTTCCATTAGCTTCTACGTCTATACGCTTAGTACACCGTTTTATCGGCATGAGTTTCTAAGTTTAACAATGAACATTTTCAAACGATGTCGGAGAATAATTAAACCCAACTAAAATCATCTATCAGTGACTCAGTCTTTTCTTTGAATGTATGTTTTTCGTCTGTTTGTGTATTAAATATATTGCGTTCAACGAATGCTAAGAAAATAAAGTAACATAGATGCATTTACCACAATACGGCAAGTTTTCGTATTCAAACAAGAAATCTATTTGAATTATAAAAATATTCTATATCAGTTTGAGAATTTTTATAAGTTTAGATAATCTGCTTACGATAACCAGTCATTAAACTTCGTTAGCTAAGTAGATTTTGATTGGAAAAAAATAGAACATTATTAGTAGGAGATGTCATATCCCGACAGTATCTTGATCATTAGAATACCAAAATAAGGATTGAGAATCTCATGATTTTTGTCTAATACGCCCGATTTAATTAATCGGAAGCATATACTGAGAATGACCATTGATTTTCAAAGTACTTCTTAAGCATCAATACAGAACTACAGTAAAATGAATCGTCATAAAGTGTATTCCAACAGTGATAATGATGACTGCTCAATATAGCATCGCACAATGCTCACTAATACGTAATAGTCCTTATGGTAATTAGTAATCAAATTGAGATTAATCTATATTTAAAAATAGAGAGAAGATATATTCTGACGCTGAGATGAGCGGTGCATACCTCGGGATTATATTCCTTGCGTGATGATTAATACAAAAACAGTTAATGGAAGAAAGCTGACAAAAGTGCTATCCAGTTGCTAAAAGGACGACTTTGCAGTAAAATGGCTGATCCAACCTACTTTCAAGCTACACGTTATTCGCAGCCGATTCTGATTGTCTTCGGTACAGCTGGCGCAATACTAAATCAGATTCTTTTCTTTTCTCGGAAATCCCTTCGGAAAAATTCCTGTTCATTGTATTTTCGGGCACTGTCAATCAACGATCTACTTGTTATCTATACAGTTGTCTTACCACTCTGGCTTTCCAATCAATTCAATATTGACCCTTCGAATAGTTACAACTGGTATTGTAAATTGAAAACGTATGTTGCTGATAGTTTATATACAATATCTCCATATTTGGTTGTTCTCGCGTGTTTCGACCGTATGTGTACGAGTTCAACGAATGCTAGTCTAAGACAGTTAGCTACGATTCGTGTGGGATTCTATCTGATCCCTCTGACGGTTGTATTTATATTTGCAGCTTATTTTCATGTTCCCATTTGGTACAGAACTGGATATACGAATAATGCGACGTTTTGTTACAGTCCAGATGCAATCTACAGTAGATTCATTGGTTTATTCGTTCTATTTTTCCTATGCATCATTCCACCTATATTGATGGTGGTACTATGCATTATTACATTAATTTTCCTTCGTCAGCAAAGACGCCGAATCATGCCGGTGAATCAAATACGTACACGTCAACGTGATCATCAATTACTAAAAATGCTCTTCATGTACGTGACAATGAACGTTATATGTAATGTTCCATTTGCTGTTACATACGTTATGCTGATGTTTCAACAGCCAAGATACGTTCCGCTGCATGTCAACCTCTTTCGTCTATTTGGTTTATTATTAAACGTGAATTTCGCAACAAGTTTCTACGCATATACACTTGGAACACCATTCTATCGACATGAGCTGTACAATTTCATGATCTCAGTCCGACATCGAATACGACAAGCAAATTATGTTTTGTGTACTCAAAGAAACATGAACAATTGATGAATTTGTTGCGGGCTAATGAACATTTGCATATATTTTGTTAGATGTTGTCACACACACACTCTTGTCTACAGTTACTTGAAATAAATGCTTGATGTCAAAGAATAGTCTAAATTATTTATTCTTGGTGAACTATATTTATCTTCTACAAAAGAATCATGCCGACTGTCATCTAGTATAAGAATTAGAACAAACATAGGCTCAGATTATTTGACAATTCGCGAACCTATATAGCATAGTGTAAAAAACATAGAAATTTCTGATCTGGTGTTTTTCAGGAAAATATGAAAAACATAGACAGGCAATTTGTCACCTAAGTTACACTCCTTGCCTTGACATAGAATGTGCGGATGTCGTATAAGGACATTTTTCCGTAGTGTACGGGTGAACTTCAGGACTGCATCAATAATTTTTAGACTTACACTTCAAGCACGTTTATCTCCTTGAGACACGTATTGCAACCGATGACTGTGCGTTTTTATTCGCGTAAGGTTAAACTTATCAAGCCATACAAGTACACCATGGAGAACAAATGATGTATGGAAAAAAGGCCTTTTTTTTCGGTATCTAATCAAAATATTATCCTCGTTTATCTTGAAATGTTCGACGTGGAATTCAAATATTTGTTTTATGTTTTAGTTATAAATATGTCTCTAATAAACATCTATGTACTCTGTTGTTTTTTACGTGAAGTGCGTGGTTTGATATCGCATCCGAATAATTATATATGATTCCCATTAGTACTTCATAGATAGACTGTGCGCGATATGTAGGCAGACAAGATTAAACGTCAAGTCATGCGCAAAGTAGATTCTAACTACAGACCTTTTACAAAATAAATTGTCACTCGAGTCGAAAGCAAATAAAATGCATTTAATTATAATCTGGATGTTAGCTTTTAAAGATATCTCTATCGCGCTCAGTGTGATTATATAAGTTATATAAATATGCATTGGTGAATGTTGTTTATTCGATCAACAGAGTTGTCGAATTCCGTATCAAATGAACTCAAACAATAGATATTCACAGCGACCTTTTTTCCTCAGAAAAATCTATTGAAGCGTGAATTGAAACGTTTTTTTAACCTCGTGATGAACACGTTCTCAAAAGCAGAGGACAATTTAAATGAATTTTAATTAAACTTGTGCACATTTTTGTTTTCATGTTTCTTGAGGGTGACTTAGCAATAAATTGGAAAGAATTATCATTCGATGTCAAGGTTTACTAGTCTATTGTGCAAGGTCGTATGTAAAACACGAAGAAAAGAAAGAGAAGAAATATTAAGTACGTTTTAGCTGTTTTGTGAGACAACGTGTGAAAAGTGAGGCAGTTTAGAAAGAAACAGAAAAGGAAGAAGGCAAGAAAAATATTTTGACGATCATACGCACCTCTATTTCTTTTTGGTGCATTGGGAGTGCATTTACAAGCTCAGACAGATACACAGGATAGGCAGATACGTATATACATATATACATTCATAGACAACGTGTATTGTATTAAGAATATAATCGACTTTTTCATTCGAACACTATATGGAGAGAAAGATTTTCTTACTGTCGAATGATATAACAAAAAATCACATGTTACAAACACGCCCGTTGTGTGCTGTATGTGGCGCAGCAGCTATAGGTAACATTGCACTTTTTCTAAGTTTTTCTGTAAACTGTGTACTTTTTTATTTGACCTCACAGGACGAAATTTTGATGCAATGACATGTTTATCCTGTAAAGGTATGAATACTTACATATTTTATTTTGAAAAACTCCAATTTCAGCTCCGTTATAAATAGGAAATGCGCCTCTAATTCCAAATTTTGTAGTTGTCCTAGATGTTTCTTTGCTTTGTGACATCTAATACCTAAAGTCAATTTCAACTTTGTTTCATATGTTGACCTATAAATGACTCATAAAAAATTGAAATATTTCATTTATTTTTAGCCTTTTTCCGTCGAAATGCTTACAATGAACACGTAAGCTTCAGTGACGAAGAAGTTTATTTCCAAGCCGATGAACATTTTTTCTATTTAGTTAGTATTCACTTGTCGAATAACAAATTCGTGTGAAATAACTTCAACAACGCGACGACATTGCTCAGCATGTCGTCTGAAGAAGTGTTTCCAGCAAGGAATGAGAAAAGAACTGATCCGAAGTTTGAACGCTATTAATCATGCAACATCAGCAGCATTACACATAAGAGCACAACACCGATCAACCACGGTGAGTAAACAGGTCGATAACACGATCATTTGCATTAGTGAGACTATTTAGATGGATTTAGTACCAGCAAATGATTCGACATTACTTTCGTCAGACGATTGGAATCTACTGTCAAATATTCAAAAAACCTATGAACAATATTGTATACAGAAATTTCTTGAGTCTCATCAAACGATTCCACTTATACCCCCAATTCAACCATATCGATCGCGTATTAAATTGCAACGTCTTATCGATCTAAGATATAAATATACCGTCATCGTTGCTTCGTTTATCCGACGTATCTTTCAATTCGATGGTTTTCAAGTACTATCGGACCATCATTTTCAGTACACGAAAGCGAACTTACAATGTATTGCATCAGTGAATACAAGTGAATTGATGAGATTACAAGTCTTGAAATGCCTACCGTGGGAACATGATCAGTTAGTTTTACAATCCGTTCTTTCTGAAGAATTTATTCAACGTGCAGAAACAGTTCTATACAAATTTCAAACCCTCCTACCTCACGATGTAATCGTCATGAAATCGTGGGTGATTATTCTCGCTCTCTCGTCTCGAACATTACCTTTATGGAGGAAAGACCACTATAGTTCTTCGGATTTCGATCCATATCCAACGAAATTACTTTTAAGTCAAAATTATTACTTGACACTTCTGTGGAAATATGTCATGTATCGTTTGGGCTACAACGATACTATCATTTTTCTAGTCAGATTTATACAAAACTTTCTTCGCAGACAAATCCTTGAGGCCGACATGTTTGAGATGATTCAAAATCGAGATGATCATGCTCAATTGACTCCATTGACGCAAATGAATTTGAAAATCTAGTTATTATTTTGTTATATACAAATAAAGAATGTTTCGAAAAAAAAAGTAACTTGTGTATTCAGTATGACTTAGCACATGACTGTTGTTATTCGTATCATTTATCTTGTCATTTTCTTTCTATTTAAGTACTTTTTCTTTCAAATAACCGAAGGCTAGAGTTATCTTTGTCCGTGAGGCATGATTCATTAGTTTCTACTCAAACACACCCTGTTTGTTATATACATTCTCGAAATTTCGATGAGCATCGCAGGAAAAATTTGGCAGATTGAAAATACTCAGACAAATGGAGAGATGTTTCAAGAAAAATCAATAAAACGCATGGGGTGTACGCGAAAGAGGTTTTACTATTCATCATAACAGCGATATGCTTGTTAATATACTAGTTCGAACACGTTCTTTTCCTTCATGTAATATATAGCTCAATGAACCATGAAAATTTTCTTCTAGGTGACATATATATCATTGCAATATTCATCATTTTTGGTTTGATCGTATGCCTTCGAACGTAGAAACTGAAAATCTGAGTTTGTTCTATTGTGCACACTATATTTATGTGAAAAGAATAAATTTCATGGGTCTTATCCACGTGTCAAACATGGCACCAGATGTATCTATTCTTTGATATTAATATGACTTGATTTTCAAAAGCAAATAGTATTTTATCTGATTTTCAATCATGAAGATCATAGTGTCTGCCATTCATATGTTCATTTATTGTTTTTATTTGGCAAACTCGCAATTAACTAAAGAGTACGATCGAATCTTAGCAAATGAACTTGATTACATCGATGTTAAAAACATTCCAGCTGTTCTCCACAACGATAATGTTTATTTAACAATTCTATACAAATGTTCATCGTTCGCGCGACGTCGAATATCCTTAGCAATACGCATCGAACGAAATTTGTATCGATACAACTTCGCTGTTTTTCGCCGGCATTGGTTTTGCCAAAAATCAATCCGTGTTCATACTCGGCATATACGTGTTAAGTTACATCGTTCACTAGCATACGCCTCAGATTCGCAAATTAATCTGCAGTCATGGCCGATAGAACACGGGCAATTGTATTTGACCATGTATCAAAATGAACATGAAAAGGAGAATGAAATCATAAAAACTCTTCAATATAGCGTTAAGTTTCTTCCAGTACACAAACGGCCGAACATTCGCTCGTTTCGTTGGAGTCCACCGATGAATAGAAGAACGGAAGGTGTGTGCCAAACGGAACCAGGTGAGACATTTCCTTATTTATATATATATATATTCTTCTATTTTCCGTGTAGAAATAATACGAACAGTTAATTATCCTTTACTATTGACCGGTGGTGTATATGGAAAGCACTTCGTTCTTCCAGCCTATAAAGAATACAGTCTTCGATTAGAGCAATATACTCGAGTAACACGTCCAAGGTAGAATTCATTCAATTTGAGTTATTATCTTGACCCAGATATTTATTTAGATTTTCAATTCTATTTTGGATATTCATTGAGGATTACTGCGCATCTGATGTCTTCACAACGCACTGTGCTATTTTGCAGCATCTGACGTTCAATAATACACATTTAACTCCAGAATTGTTTCTGAATCGAGAAGGTTTTCGATTTTTGATCTTCGCTGTGAAGGCTTCATTCTATTGTCGTCGTCGTCATTATTCATTTCAGGTCAAATAACTGTTTCTATGTTTGGATACTTACATGATTTGTATGGCATTGGTGCGCGGACATTTGCTGCAATTCCGAAGAAAGAATGGTGTCGGATAGCATTTATTGTTAATGAGTTTTTTGTAAGAGAAGAATTTATTTTAAGGTTTTCTTCAACGATGACTTATGACACATTTTAGTGGACAATTTACGTCAATTGCGCGTCTAATTGGAATCAACCTATTGTTGCTACTTATAAGTAAGAGAATTTGTTTCATTGGCAAGAGTATCGCGAACTTAATCGTCTTCTAGTTCTCCGAGTTATTTTTACTCTTACGATGAATTGGGTACATTTGTTATCGGTGGTACTGATATTGTACCTTCGTTTCGAGGATTTATTGGCCAAATGGATGTATATCGAAGAGTGGCATTAACTTATGAACAAGTCGGTCTTATATGGACAGAATCGTTCAACTCACTATTGAAATTTTCTTTCAGCTGCCGAAAAGATTTGACTTATCCTCAATGCCATTTTTACCATCGATTCTTCAAGATTCACTCCAATGTCAACGTCATATGCGTTCTTTTAAACAATGCCTTGAACAATATGATTTATTTAGTGCACGCATTCAAGATAAGTGTAAGTTATTTTGGCACATAAGTAACTGCTATTGAATTCTTTTGTTAGTGACTTGTACTGCTCAGCCATATCGATTAAAAACAACTCCTCAACATTGTCTTCTTGTTCGTACATGGAGAAAACAAATGACCTCAACGAACGATGTGCGTTATAGAATATTTCGAGCTTTACGACGACAACAAGTCAACTCAACAGCCGATGTAGGCAATAAACTCTATGAGTTAGCAGTAAAATTACTGGTAAGAGAATGTTTCTGAATACAAAAAAATCATTTGATTTTGGCATCAGGAAAGTGATTATTTGGATCTTGTATGCGATCGTGTTATAGCTTGGTCCGAACAGGCGATTTGTTACGGTCATCCGGCTGCGCATTCTCTTCTCGCGGTATTTCATCAATTTGGTCTTTGTGGATTGAAGCGTAATTCAACTCGAGTATGTTCCTTCGGTTCTATATCGTATTTTCGATTAGATAATCAATAACATATTGCTGAACTTGAGGTTTTATCGGTTGAGGAGTTCTATCATTCATTGGTTGAATTATCTGAGCAAAGTTTGTTAATCTTTCAATAATTTGTTCAAGTAATTGATCTTGCAAAAATTCTCTTAATAGGACAAGATCGATTAGGCAAGATACTATTGTTAAAATGCCCATCATATAGATACAGAGTGCAAATGAATGAGCTTTGTCGATTGATTCTAATCGGAATTTAAATAGACACGACGATTTATAGGAAACTCCATTTTCTTGGAAACATGAAGGCGGCAGAGGAATATGTAATTGAGCAAAATCTCCTTGACCCATGAGTCCACAGCACTGAAGTCGTCGATGAACGTTGTCTAATATTTTATCAAACGTAATGTCTATCGTTGAAGACATTGTTCCATAACGATAAAGATTGTTCGGTAGAAATGAAGTATTATGTGCAGGAAGGTCTGAATACATCAAAAGTGCGTAATTGTAATGAGCCTAAAAGAGCAATTGACGAAGAAAAACTATGCGATTCTTTGAAAGTTTACTGAAAAATAAACCGATGCAGGTGCACCAATTTGTCTTTCGTCAAAATAGATAGCTGAACCGATGAGCACTGAACAGGTGTGAATAAGTAAAAGAAGTAAACAATGTATGAGAAGAAAATGTTTCGATTCGTTATAAGTTGCATACATTCCATAGAATGAGACGAGTATAGTTGAGATTGCTTCGCCTGCACATATCAAAATGAGAAAATGAAAATCTTGAATAATAATCGATTTTTCCGGTGCGTAAGTCTGACGAGAGTTAATACTCATTCGTTGTGCAGTGAGAAGAGATAGAACAAGAATAGTTATGGCAAGAACGATCGTTAAAATACTAATTATATAGAGTAAAAGTTTAGTTAAATTAAAAATAAAACGATCCATTTATTTCACTATGTTTCTTATTTTGTTCATTAGGCGCTTGAATTGTTCTTTTCGGGGGCGTTACGTCATGATCGACTCAGTTTACTTGCACTGGGACATCGACATTTATATGGTCTTGACAATGTTCCAAAGGACTATGACGCAGCATATGGTTCGTTCATTGAATGAATGTAGAAAAGTAATCTGGTCGTCTATTCTATGTTTAGTTTATTATCGAGAAATGGCTCTAAAAGCAAAGAACGAGTTTTACAGTCCGAAATCTGGTGAAGTTAGTTATTAGGTATGATGTTGTTCAAATATTCGAATTGGGTTTCTAGGCAGCAATGGAATACATTCGTCTGACTGATGACAAGCTTATCGGTGAATTGACTTTTGATAAAAGTGATTCATTCTACTGGCTTAAACAGCAAGCCATACGAGGTGTGGCATCAGCTCAAGTACGGAAAAATGAACTTTGCTTCTGAATAAGCTTTTTTGATTGAATATCGTATTTAGAATCGTTTGGGTGAACTGATGTATGCGGGCAGTAACGGTTTAACGCGGAATATACAAGCGGCTGTAGAATATTTCCGACTAGGCGCTGCTCAACATGATCCGACATCGCATTTTGGCTACGGATTAGCTCTGTTAAATGTCACTACGAACTATCTTGAAGATATTTTTCGAATCATTCTGTTTGTCACTTTAGGGACAAGGTACCGAACAAAACGTTACTGAAGCCATTCGTCAAATAGAACAAGCAGTTGAACACGGTTATCTCGGAGCTCAAGTCGCTCTAGGTTTTCCTCAGATTCAATCTTTTCGTCATATTTGGTTCCTTCTTTTCCAGGCTTTCATGCATATGAAATCGAAAAGAATTATACAAAAGCTGCGTACTATTGGCAAAATTGTTTCGATAAAACCTATGATATTCATTGTGCTCATAATCTCGTTCGTTCAAATGATATTTCCTTGACAAAACACTTCAAATCATTTGCTTTTGCAGGGTGTTATGTGGACAGCTGGTCATTATCCTCCACAATACGTCGTAGATCATGCACGAGCTTGGGGATATTTCTCGTTCGCTGCTCAGCGTGGACAGATCGATTCTAAACTCGTGGTATCGCTTCACAATGCTCGTGGAGGCCATCCGGTTATTATTCGAGATCCTTGGCTTGGAGCAATGTAAGCTAAAAGACCGAAGATAGTTTTGATTATTTAAATACTATTCAATTAGTTGGTCGCGACATGTTGCACAAGATAGTTCCGGTCTAGGTACAATCGTTCGACGAGCACTCGAAGCATATCGCGATCGACGATGGTAAAATACCTACTTAATAAAACTAATTCATCTTATTCTTATTCATTTGTACTCATAGGCAAACAGCGTTTGTATTCTATCTTCAAGCTGCTATAGCTGGAAGTGAACTCGGTTATTTCAACGCGGGTTATCTTTGTAACGAATTCAAGAATGAAACTTTATTCAATTGTGTCGAAGATTTTTTCAATATGTATTTAATGATGCACGATAACAACATAAATACTGATTCCTATGCTTTGTTAACTGCTGGCGAATACTATCAATCGAAGAAAGTCAATTTAACCAAAGCTATGCAACTCTATGTTCAGTTGTATCAAACTGGGGATCCTCAAGTAAGAACTTAGGACAATTCTATAGTCGTACACCTTCCGGAATTGATTTAGGGTTTGTATAATCTTGCACAAATGGAAGAAGAACACGAATTGAATTATACCAATTGGGATAAATTCGGTATTCGTTTCGATGAAAACGCAGCATCAAATCGATATCGAAGATTGCAAACTATTTATCAACAGTACGTGTCAAAAGGAGACGTTTGGCAGATAACAAATTTTGATTTTAGTTGTCGATCGCTGAACACTGACAAGTCTGATGAATCTTACATACCTTGTACACTTGCTTATTTGAAAATCTCAGCAATCATCCTCTATCAAGAGCAATTTAAAGTAAATCGTACGACTAAACATTGTCACTACTTTCTTCTTTCTCGTTTTAGCTTCTTGTTACAATCATCTTATTGTTTATAACGACATTCCTATTCGTTTATGCCGTGTAGAAATCGACTTCGTTCTTCTATGAATTCGCCACCGAGTATCAACATTAATAAAGTTTCATTTTATTGATCTGACAATTTCATGAAAATATACATCTATATCACATTTCATTCCGAAGACTTCAGACAAGAAGAAGATCATCGATTTTGAAGTCGATTGATGCCGCGAGACGTCGAATGCAATCACTTGAGCTTGTACAACGATATTTTGGTTCATTTAAATTTATAATTCCGCTTTCATTCGATCCTCCGACAAGTTCAATCAAACGCATGGAAGTTAATAAAGCTAATTGTATATAAATTTGATTCGTTAAAGGAACTGTATCGCCTTGTAAAGAACAGTAAATAGCCAAGAGACGATTCAATCCGATGGGCTTATTCGATGACAGTGGTAAATATTCGATTTTTGCTGTATCGAGTTGTGCTCGTTTATGCATGATCTTTCCTCGCCGGCTCTTTTTGCCCTGGCCTTGTTTATCATAAAGCATTCGATCGTATTTCACCGGATTCTGTGTCGCTAAGTAGATCGCAATCAGCAAATATTTAGCTGAGGTTGGAAGATCGCGAGCATTGCTTTTGCTGTCTATTGATGTCAAATGAGAGGAATTCTCGTTCGTTTCTTCGTCAGCCGTATGCGTATCAAGAAATTTTGGAATACTCATTGAACGAGTATAGACAGAGTTGAGAACCTAAATCAAACAATAGATAGTACTTCATTGGCGAAGTTACATCGGATATACTTGTGTGAAGAACTCCTTTTGATAAAGTATGCGATAGTCGTTGTTGCTTCCATCATCACTTGTTTGCTTCTTCACACTGTTACGTAAGAAATCTTTGATGCACATCGTCGACATGTCTTTCAATTCTATCAGATCGTTTGTGACTGCATAGAAAATCTGAAGTGCTAGTTCAATAATGATTTGTATTTGACTAACTGAAGTTGGAAGAAGATCTTGTTGTTCTGAAAAAGGAGGAACTGCACATGAAGAGAAAGACATTATTTCGGATTTTTCATACGAGCAAACATATTTTGCAAGATTGTAACGATTTCTGCACGAGTATAAGCTGGTACGAAAATTGCTATGGGTGTTAACACACCCAATTCTGCTTCGATTTTATTCATATGTGGCAATTGATAGAATGGTTGATGTCCAATCAAGATAAGGGAATGATGGAAATAACCCAATGTCAATTCATTTAATTTGAATAACAAATAGAGTAAATGTCCGTTTGTGTCGTAGTTTAACAACAGTTCAATATGATGAAGGACGATGAAATAATGTGATTTGGTTTTCTTTTTTTTATTATTCTGTTCTCGAATCGAACAGTCACGTAATACGCGAATGAAATCATGGAAGCTTTTCATTGATGGTGGTGAAGTGTTGGTCAATGATGAAATAAATGTTTGATAGAACATATTCAACGAGTAAATTTCTCGACAATCGAACCATAAAGCCGCATGATTGTGAAGATGAAGTGCATGTTTCACCAACGTTGATTTACCTGTATTATGATTTCCATGAATATAAACATGTGATGGATAGGGCAAGTGTGGATTGGGAGAAAAAAGTTTCTCTATCGATGAAAGAATTGCTGAACGACACGAATAACTAGAGGGTAAAGACATCTAAAATATAGAGTGTTTAGTGCGAAGATTCATTTCTTTTGTAGTCTTTATTATTGTGTATTAAAAAAGGCAAAACATAAGAGATGACAATCGTAAATGAATAAACGAGATAAATTAATAAATTAACAATATCAGAAGAAGAAGAAGAACTTTTATCACATTATCAATCTACACCACTTGTTGTAGTTATTCGAATTGTTGGATTCAAAACAAGACACGAATACTGAGGAGGCAAGTCAACGCACTTGCGAAACATTTTGTTTCATCAAATCATCGATCTAAATACATTAAATGTTCAAAGTTCTTTCTCCCGAACAAATACTCACTTGGGCTCGATAGAGTGTTTTCACGTCTGCTAAATCAAGTCGAAGTTCATCCGCTTCTTCTTGCTTTTCGCCATACATTGTTAAAAGTGCATCATAGCGTTTTTCCAGTTCCTAGAACATCGACGAATAATTCGTTTTATTTGTTCGTTAGTCACGTACTTTGTATTGTTCGTTTAATACAGGGTAATTTTGAGTTTGTTGTTTTAGTTTTTCATTTTCGGTTGATAGATTAACTAATTCTCTTGCCATAGTCTCGCGCGTTCGTTCCAAGTCAGCGATTTCGCTCTAGAGACGAATATCAAATTTAGCGACATCACATAAATCATTCTCCTGCCTCTCTTACTTGTAATAATGTAATTTCTCCTTCCTTTTCTTTCAATTGTGCTTCTAAACTTTCCAATACTGCTATTGCACCTGTGTTTCGCAAAGATTCGTATACACTTGGTTTCGGAGTTGGAACAAACTAGAAAACAGATCAGTCATATCGATACAATTGCAAGTCTTGTATTCTTACAGCAGAACGTTCGAACGTGAACACGGTTGGAGTATCGCGTCCACCAGATGATCGCCGACTGTATTGTTGGGCAAGTGTTGTTTCAAGATTTGAGTTCGTTCGATGTATAGAATTCGAATCATATAAGTTGACTTGTTCTTTCAACGCTTCGTTGGCAATTTGTAATCTCTTCAAATCACTTTCATACTTCGATTTGTCAACTTCAGTATCCATTTCAAGTTGCCGCTAAAATCAGAGGAGTCGATAAGACCTAATCATCAAAATTCGATCCCCAACCTTCTCTTGAATAAGACTGTTGATTTGTTGAGTGAATGCTTCTTGCATTGATTCAATTTGAGTTCTTTCTCTATAAAGCAATTCAAGCTACGTTCACTAGTCATTCTCCATTGTGTCTTACCTGAGCTTCGTATCTTCAAAATGTGTCAGTTTCATTTTCAAAACTTCAAGTTCAGAAGTCAAACGCGTTTTATCCTGTTTGAATGTTGTTAACTGAGCTTCCGCTAACTTCCATTTAGCACTCATTTCCAGTAAGGTTTCATTAGCTACACGTTCGTGTTCAACACTTGTTGCATATTGTACTTGCATTTCAGCTAGCCGATCGGTCAACTGACGTTCGGTTTTTTCGAGAGAATTGATTTGTGATACGTAGGAAGTTTGAAGATTTTCGATTTGACGAAGTAATGGACGCGTAGCTAGAGAGGAAATGATAGTTCTATCATACAAGTATATCGAATGCGAATTACCATTAGAAATGCTTTGCGTTAACTCTTCATTTCGTGATTCAGCTTCTTGAAGTCTCTAGAACACAACCAAATCAGTTTTTGTCACTAATAAACGAAAGAAATTACTTGTCGAAGATCGTTAACTTCTTGTCGTAGCAATTGTTCTCTTCGGTTTAATTGAACTTCGCTACGCTGAATTGAATGTCGTAATTCATCAATGGTCATCTGTAGTTTTTCTTGTTCTTGTCTTGATATCACTCGTTCTTTGTCCACAGCCATTCGAATTTCTTCACGAAGTAGAATCTCAGCTGACAAAGTGGCTTCGACGACTTTGCTTTCCGTAGCGGCTTTGGTTTTGTTTAATTCAGCAATTTCTCTGAAATGATGGATAAATGGCTTTGAGTTTACGGATAGATTGACATTGACTTACTTGTAGGAATTTTCTAAGGCCACTTTTGTACTACGGATTTGTTCTTCAGCATCTTCGTACAATGATTTGATTGATATACACTCTTTTTCATAATGAACGGCGGATTTCTCAAATTTTTTCACCGTTTCTATTGAAAGCAAAGACATTTGCTAATTGAAGAAACAGAAATGATGGGCAACCTTTAAGTTGTTTCTCATTTTCTTCTTTTTCTTGCAAATTCTTCTTCGCTTCTTCTAAATCACTCGTTAATTTATTAATTTGCGTCCTTTAATAGAAAATGAATGTTTATCATCAGAACAAAGTATGATCGATTTCTTACGTCAGCGATGTGATGTGTGAATCGCTCTCTTTCTCTTTTGCCCGTAATTTTTTGATTATGTTCGAATCTTTCAATTGATTCTTTGAAAGTTTTTCACCTTCTTCGAGTAACTGTTGAATTTGTTCTTCTTTTTCTCTCAAAACAGCCATCGCATTACCAGTTGATGTTGAACTAGGTGAAATCAACTCTCGTATTACTTGAGAGCAATTCAAAACTCATACTTTTCTAATAATTGTCTTTGTAGAGTATCAAGTTGTTTGCGTAATTGATCACGTTCCTTTATTAAAGAGAAGATCGTTGTCGAATCATTGGATGCAAAGGTGAGTTTATTCTTACTTGTGAAACATGCTTTTGTTCCTCGATTTTCAACGAAAGATTCTCGATTGTTTGCTGAAATTCATTAGTTAAACGGACTGTTCGTTGTTCAAGTTCATTCAACGATCTATTTAGAATAAAATTGGAAGATTAGAGTGTTGAAACTTTTTCATTTTACTTTTTTAATGTTTGATTCGTCTGATGTAGTTCATTAGATTCAGTTGTTAACTTTAGGAATGCTTGCTCACGTAATTCTAAACGTTCTTTCAGTTCACCCAATTCCTATTGAAATGAAACACATCAATGCATCATCAAGTGATAGCTATCATCAACACATACTTTCGAGGTTTCTGATTGATGATATTCTAGAAAATCAAACGAAAATGATGTATTTTAGAATTCAAGGAGAATATCTGGTTGTGTACTTTGTCGATCGTCATCATCGCCTCCTTCATTGGTCTGAAATGGAAACAAAAATTTCAAACATTTTCAGAAAAACAACTGGCGTGTTCGTTACATGGTGATAATGCATATGCTCAGTAGCTGCTTCATCAATTAGAGTTGACCAAGATGATGCATCGAAATTCGAAGTACTATTTTTGTCAATATGATCAATGGATATTGGATGATGGTGATATTTCATATTGGTCGAATGGGCGGGAAAACGACCGACAACCTAAAAAATTCGCTTTGCTCGGACGAAATTTACTAAATAAACAAGATATGCTCACTTCGCGCACAACTGGTCGTCGAGCATCGCGTAACTCTCGACACTTATCAAATGTTTCCGTGGTACTGAGAGCTAGACCACTGGCTACACTTGGAGATGAGATCACTTCGATGTCCGATGATGCACATGATGTGTGTTTGCCATCATCTGATGAATCTTTACTATGCTGAAATATGAATAGGAACAAAAGAATGATTTGACAGTGAATTGAAGTATGACTTGCAGTATCATGTCCATTGGACGATATCGTATGGGTTGGAGAATTCGATTGTTCAAGAAGTGGATTGTCATCGTCTTCATCGGTGGAAACTGTTGCTTGTTGTTGTTGTTCTTTGTTGTAATTACTGGTTGCTGTTGGAGTGATCTCGTCATCGATTATGGATGACGTCGAAAATTCATTTGGTGGATAAGCTGATGTAAACAATAATGAAGATGAGTCATTGTCATGGGTATCACGTAGAGATTGTTCACTTTTGCTAGAAAGTTGAAAAAACGAGTTCGAGAATGAATTATCAACTATCAAATTCCTCTATTCTAACAGTGATAATCGAAATACGTAGATTATTTTCAAAAGTTGACATGAAGATCGAATCTAGTCTATGGCCCCCGCTCGATTATGTCATTGGATTATCGTTATCGATGAACATGTATTGATTGCGCTCGGCGAGAACATTCAAGCGAATCACTTCCTTATATGTGCTTCGAATGCTTGGAGCATCAAGATATGAAACATACTCGGAGTTGACATTTTGTCTATTATTCATCCAAGAATCGATGACATCACGTTTATCTGATGATATAGAAGGAATGATTTGTGATCCATGATCAGCATCCGGCTCTGAACTGTCATATTGTGTTTGAGTGAACATATGTTGCTCATCAGTTCTTATTTCTACAATCGGACCAATCACAGTTGATTCAGATGATGGAATACTTAAAGTTGGATGTAATGAATTTGTACTTTCACTACTGGAACTTTCTGTAATGGTCGAAGATTCAGCTAATGACGCAGATGATTGTGTTTGTTGTTGTGTATCAATTAATTCTGATAGCGTGGAAGATGTTGTTTGGGTCTCAATAGATTCATCAGGTGTTGTTTTATTTTCTTCAGTAATGTTTGCATCAGTTTCAACAATATTCGATTGTGATTGAGAAGAGATCTGCAGATGTTGTAGAGAAAAATGTACAAATTTGCAACGAAAAATGAAAAAGTTCTACCAATGATGAAGCATTATTGCTATCACTGTATGTATTCCAAGTGCGAAGCGAAGCATTGTTTTCCATAGGTTTTGTTGGTACTTCATTTGCCTCTGTGTTTGTTGATTTCTGGTTACCAAGGAATGCCGAAAAGAAATCATCGGACGGTGTTGATTGTATACTACTTGTCGCGGTATCATGTGCTAAATAAATTGACAAATTATGTCAACTTTGAATACTATGAATATGAGCATTATTTTCTTTACCAATTGGTTGAGATTCTGGATCAGGAGCGCCATCCTTGATATCGAGGACTTTATCTAGTTAAATCAGAAAGAATGTCATAGGAAAAACGAAAAACATTGATTTATGTTTCCAACCGATTTGTTTTTGTGCATTAATCAAGGTGCTTGCTGCAATCTGTTTGAGCTTATTCGGATCAAGCGAAAACCAACCAGCCATATTCATACACCGATAGCTACAATGGATTAGACAACAATATTCATGAGCAAGAAAAGGATGAACAATGTAAATACAATATGACTATATATTGTGCGATACAATGATAATATCGCATGTGTTTCTGTTCCTACCAGCCATTGGAACAGATTGGCTGTGCCACGTCAACCAATTGGAAATAATTATGTGATTCAATTCGTTGAAAAAAGAACCACTAAAACGATATGTTATGACTCACTTTGTCGTCTGACGCTGGAGCATTTTTATACTCACTGTTATCTGTAGAACACGACGATGACGGCGCTGTTCAAAAGTGCTAAAGCAACAAAACGATCTAAAGGCGGGGGTGGTGGTGGTGCAGCGCTGATGCAACAAGTAAGCCTTTGATACATGCTGATTTGTATATGCTAATGCTGTTCATTGTAGATGGGTTTTCAAATTCCCAATTTTGATGAACCTAATATAGGTGCTGATGATGACGACGATGACGAAGGTCTCGAAGATGAATTAAGTCGAATTCAGGAAGAAATTAGCGGTCATACATCGAAACGATCGAAAAGCAATCAGAAAAAACCAGGTTGATTTGATTTCTTCAGGCAAATTTGACTCTCATAATCGATATTGTGTATATAGGTGGTTCAGCGCAAAATCTTCAATCGTTTCATAATGATGTAAATAAACTTCTCAATGACATTGATCGTCCGATAAATGACGCTGAACTGTCTGAAGGCGATGAAGAAGATCTGCTGGTAAGTTTCAATAGTAGACTTTGTTTACCGAATTCGATTCTCTTCTCCATTTGAGAATGAATTAAATGAGATTACCGACGAAATTGGAGCAGAAAACCAAATGGACACACAGCCGCCGCCACCACCGCCAGCAGTGGCGTCCTCAGGTACGCCTAGTACCGGTATCTTATCAACACTTGAAGTGCGTCGACAAATGTATGCTAAAGCTGTAGACACAGCAAAAGCACATGGAGATGCATCCAAAAGTCGTCGACTTGATCGGCAACTTAAGGTAATGTTTTTCCATTTGTAAAAAGACAAGACAAATAAGCGTATTCATGATTCTATTCGCTTAAGCTCATTCAAGAATTGATCCAATCAGCTCGTACTGGTGCACCTATCAATGAAAGTGAAATTCCTCCTGAATTGTTTGTTTCTGGATCTTCTTCATCAGCTGTTACACAAGAGGCATCTGTACGTGTTCCTTCTCCAGCTCCTGTGACGTCCTCGTCTATATGCGAAAAGCCGATTGTTCCTCAAGGTGAGCTTCAATAAGCCATGAAGATTGAAAAGAACGCGGGAATTATTTAGCGACGTCAACATCAGTGTCAAACGGTTCAGATGAAGCGATCGCGCGTCTGAAAGCATTAGCTTTACAAGCTAAATCGGAAGGTGATATGACAAAAGCTAAAGAATATTTGATTCAAATGAAAGTATGTATAATTGCTTATCAATTGCTTCTCTCCTACTATTCTTTATGTAATTCATAGAATTTGCAGAATGGGATCTCAGTTAATCATGCTTCTGAGTCTTCTGCTTCTACTAAAAAAGACATGTCTGATAAAATGCCTAACGAAACAAGCTCAGCAGCACCATCTGTGCCATGTTTGTGATACAACGTTTTTTTTCTTCTCCACCTGTTTCTTTTTTTATTATCTGTTTATCAGTGGAAGCACCTGAACCAAAAACTGTTCTCGAAGCTTTACAGCAACGTCACGAAGAATTAACTAAACGACATCAAGATGCAGTCAGCAAGGGCGATAATTCTAAAGCGAGACGTATGGATCGTCTTTCAAAAGTAAATAATCGTTTTTTGACCTGCTGAGAATGGTAAAGCCGAATGATCTATTTGTTTTCTTCGCATAGCAATATCAAGAAGCTATTGAAGCAACGAAAAAAGGTCGCCCATACGATTATAGTGAACTAGCCGATCTGCCTGGCTTCGCACCTATACCTTTCCCACAATCAAAACCTCAACAAACAGCATCTGGCACTGCTGCTACTACCACAGTCTCCATACCAGCACGACCATCACAACCTCAGCAGCAACGATCCAGTCAATTAGCTAGCACTATGTCACAACCAGTGGAGCAAGGTTCCACTACTAGTAATAACTACTATATCCTATTAATTCTTTTCAGGTGTGCATTAATATATCTATTCTAGGCTTACCAAGAGATCAATCAGTACAATCAATTCGACTTCAGCAGGAACAACTTCAAAAACTTGCTTTGCAAGCGAAACAAAAAGGTACAGTTTTATTTCGGCAATTCAGTCTGGATAATTTGATTATTTATAGGCGATATCGCCGCTGCGAAAAAGTATCTTATTGCATCAAAAGAGCTTGAACAAAAGAGCAACTCTTCCGAAACACTCATGCCTATGGAGACAAATCAAGTATAGAAATTGTCTCTATTTCGCAGATGAAACTAAGTCACTTCTTTACAGGCATCTATATCATCAAGTCACGGCTTTGAAGTCATCTGTGACCAAGAATTAACAGAAGAACTTGCTCAAGCTGATCGCGATACAGTATATCGTCGTTTGCAAGACGACCTTCTAAGACAAATGCAACTATGTGCGCGTAATCAACAAATGTATGCTCAGATGGAAGGTTTAACCAATGTGCAACATGCAAATGAATTTAAACTTCTCGAGCAACGTTGCACTCATGATTTAGAACGCTTGCGACAATGTTTTCAACATGGCTTGAAAGCCCCGATTTTTCATTACGAAAAAAGACAAATGCACATTGTTCAAGTCAACAACGATTTAACTGACAGCGATTTCGAAGTAAAACTAGAAAAGAGAAGTATATTGCCCTTCGCACACATGTGCATTTTTCTTACTCTAGGTCAATGTCTTACGTGGTATTAATCTTCATGTACCATCTGGATATTCTGCGACAGCCCTCGAGACTTATGTTATAATTGAGTTTCCATATCCACCTGAAACTTCTCAAACAGCTCGAACACGACATGCAGCTGGTTCCGCCAATGTCGAATATCCTGATGCGTTACATAAATTTCAAATCAAACGAAATGATACTAAATTTAAACGTTTGATGGGTCGAAAAGAATTGAAATTATCAATATACTATAAAGTCGGCTTTCTTCGATCAGATCGTTTGTTAGGCGTTGCATATGTTAAAACGGCTCCGCTAGAACAATCAGCAACAATTCATGAATCAGTTGATGTCTTCGAAAATGACCATAAGAAGAAAGCGGAAGGAAAACTAGAAGTCAAGATACGAATTAAAGAAGCACTTGGGTCAACGAAATCTTCGCAAATATCATCACAACAATGGCTTGTTATCGATCGTTTTGAAGACATCGTAACTTTCGAATTCACCACTCTGATGTTTCTTTTAACCCTTTCTTTTTTCTTCTAGCCTCATGATAGTAAACCATCAACATCAAAGTAAGTTCGACACATTTAGATTAGTGCTTTCTCTGACGCATCGTTTCGTTCGTGTAATTTCGCGTTTTTTCGTCCTAAATCTTTCGTCTAAATATCGTTTCGTCGCACATCCTATTTTTTCAGTCAACATCTCGCGTCAAATCCAACAGCGACTATCGAGAAAGGAGCATCGTCAATTTGCACATGTTTGTAAAGGCAATTTTGCAAAAACAATCAACGAATGAACTTGTCAATTCTAAACAGATAATTGTTTGCAGAAAATCTCTTTTTTTTTGTTTTACTAATGAATTTCTCTTTCTCTCTTTCTATCATATCATATATATTTTTTTGTCTTTGTGAATATATATATATATTTTCTTATAACAGAAAATAATCAACACGAATGTTTTCTTTTGCTCTCAATTCAGATCACCATCAACAGCACCGACCATTTCCACTATTGCACGACTCATTCCAACGAGCGAAGCCATAGGTTTATTGGCAGTAAATTTGGCCGGAAATAACGATAATGATTTAGTAGACGGCAGGTAGTTCTAGACTATGTAGCGAATAGTATGCATCTGTTAGTTTGACACTTTTCTGTTACGCATGAATGCACGAATCCTTCTATGTGATGACTGAGCTTAATCATAGATATTTTCTAAATATTTCGCCTTGTTTTGTGTAGACAAACTAATACGGCAGAGACCAAGGATGAAAATCGAAGAGATAGTCAATTGCAAGCAGTTCCACAAAGCATCCAAGTACTGAAATATGAAACAGATCTTCTTCAAGATCAGGTTGGACTTACTGCTTTTCTTTGAATATTATCTACGTGAATTCTGTTGTTTGATTAGATTGAGCAGCTGGAGGAATATTTGTCGCCAGATCAAATCGATCAGCTACGTGTGAAACATCAAGCATTAAAAGATGAGAGCGATAATATAGTTCGATCATTGCGTCAAGGAGGCAAACAAGCCTTACAAGGTATACTTCGTTTCATTGATTCTCGCGTTTCTTTCACGCCTCTTCTGTAGATCATATTCAAAATCTTCGATCATTACTTGAACATTATGACAAAGAAGCCAATGATTACCGGCAAAGAAATGAAAATAAAAAAGCAGACATTGCCCTTCACAAAAAGGAGCTTGTTGCCGGAGAAGTAAACCTTGCTGATTCTAAATCCAATACGTCATCTCTTTCTCTCTTCATTAGATCGAAACACTGACAAATTGACTGTAAAAGACTGACATATTTCATTCGATTTTTTGCACCATATTTATTCGTTGATTTATCTGTTCAATGCACTATTCACTCATTTGTTAATAAATTAAGATATTTCATATCAACTTTGATAGTCATGTCAATGATTCAAAGAATTCTGTATCTATTGATATTTAGAGGTCGACTACATCATCACCACATGGACACTTTAGCTTCGCAGCTAGAATTGAATTCATCGAGAAATATTCTGTTGTGTCTATCGCAATATTCGGCTTGCTTGGCCGCTGGTTGTCTATCCGAGAAAAATAAATGGCGTGAAAACCTCATGAATTTGAATGCTCGGATAAGTCTATGTCGAACGGTTAATCGATCATTAGATTATGTTGGATGTTTATCGCGAATTCGGAAATACGGTTTTGGACAAAATGTAATAGATTTCATTTCCAATGAATTCAATTTCTATGAAATTCGCCTTGTTTAGGATTCGACTTCGTCATTAACTCGACTTCTAACATTGACAAATAGCATATGCGATCTTATTTATTATCCTGCGGAATGTCTAGCCTGGCTATGCGAAGCGAATGTGTTCGGACCTAATCGATCATCCAGATCTTTTCGATTAGTTTCGTTAATATGTTGGTTGACGAACATACTTGTTTCAGTTATCGGGTATCATCTATCACCATCCTTTGTTTTCAAATTAAAAATAGATACATGCTTTCTTTCGATAGAAATACATTAAAACTACTCCAATATCGAAGATTATTATTAGCAAAGAGATGGTCGAAAGACAAAGAAAGTCCAAGGTTAGTTGGTATTGTTAAAAGTTCCATTGAGATTTGCATATCTGATTCGAATTCTAGTCCGTTAAGTCTGAAAACCGAAATGTATAAATGTCTATTGACATTAACCAATAACTTCTGTTTTCTGATCAATTGTATTCAATGGCTTGCAATACCTGGATTTCTATGGTCGGGTAAATTATCTACTTTTACCGTTGGTTTTTGTGGTACTTTAGCAACACTCTGTAACATCGTCAAAATGAATATTTAAATACACGGCAATACTCTGGCATTTGACACTGTGATTTTTATACAAAAAGAATGATTTCGTCTTCCATTAAGCAGAGCTTTCTACGCAGAGAATCTAGTTTGATTTGTGCAATCAATTCGATTTTATCGGGAATAAATTTGTCAACAGATGTTGTTCTGTCGGTGAATCAGCATGAGAGATATCTTTTGTACGTTGATGATCTATTCTGAAACCATCAATTTAATAATATTTCAAACAAGATAAATCAATAAGCGATAGAGAAAATCTTACGAAGAAAAGAAACCGTCTTAAGTTAAATTATCTTCCTGACTTCCGAACAAGGTAATGTTCTACGCCCATGTCAGTTCGAAGTCAAACTCAACTGTGACAGTCTGACATTTCATACCGGTCGTTCAGGTTGTGAATCATCTTCGGTTGCTTAATGGAAAAAAGAAAAGTGTGAAATACGAAATTTTTCTCTGGGAAATCATTAATTTACAAGAACAGCATCAGTCATCCGTAGAAATCATCTCTCGACTCAATTCTCTTTACATTACTCGCTCGAAAATTGACCGATGAAAGTTTTCAAGTTCTGTTTTGCACAAAAAACCGTTTTCTTAAACTTCAAACACATACACTTCAAAAAAAGAAAAGAGAAATATCTACAGTATAGGGCAATTCGTTACGGTATTTAACTTTTTTTTTCATGCGCATTAAGCTTATGATTGTAAATTAGATAAAGAACATATAAAGTCAGAGGAAAAAAAATAGACGACCTCACCTAATCTGACATCTTTTCGTTCGAGAAGATTTTTCTATCGCTTATTGGTACAATTACATAAAAATTGTAAAGAAAAAAGAATATAACTATTAGTTCATTGTTATTCTACGTAATATGTCTGCGAAATCAATACCAATAATTAGGATATACAGATGAATGAATGTGAGTAGATTGCATCTGAGAAACGAGAAAATTCGGTTGAGTTCAAATCAATGAAAAAGTTTTCGTTGAAGAAAATCAAACTTACGCCTGACGCTCGACGTTGATTCAAAATGTCGGTTACCTCGCGATCCTCAGGTAACATTGGAGGAGAGCTAATGGGCGCCTGCGACTGCGGTTGTGCTGGTCTAGGTTGATTTGTTGATTTGGCTATTTTGCCTAGCTTAACTAAAACATGTACCAAACGTCGAGCTGAGATGGGTTCGCCAACTGAAAGCAACGACATGTCATGTAAGAAAGAGCGAAATTCTTATTATGTTTACCATTGTATTTCAAATCTTGTGCAGCGGAAATCAAATCATTTTCTCCGATGTTCATACCGAAACGTTGTAAGACGGGAGGTACGGCTTGATAAGCTAGCCGACCTGACGGATCCACTTGAACAAACATTTCTACAGAAGTAAAAGAATAAACAGATCGACTTGTGTAGCAACAATTGAGACAGACCATTAAGCTGCCGAATAGTTAATTTTTCACCACTGTTATCTTGATTGACTACTACTGCTGGTGCTGCTGGTGCTGCCGGTGCTGCGGGTGCAGCGGTCTGGACGGGAAAAGAACACTTTTTTTCCTGCATGCATCTAGCGAAAGGACATGATTTTACTTGTGGAACACTTAGTGGTTTGGCAATTTCAACAGGTGGGGCAACAATATTGACTTGCCCATCAGGTGGATTGGAAGGCCGATGATGGTGATGTTGGTGATGGCGATGTTGATGATAATACTGTTGTTCAACTACTGCACCGGCAGACTGCTGTTGTTGTGGTGGTTGAGCATAATTTGAAACGAGTGGAACACCACGAGGACCTGTGTCAACACTTTGAGCACGATGCTTCGAATTTCGTCGACTTTCAACATAGGGAACATTGTAATTAGTATTAACAACTGGGTAGGATGGTACGTTTTGGGGTGCTGGCCATGCTGGCTGCATAGGATATTGTAATTGTGTTGGATATAAAGCAGCTTGCGGATTTGGATAGTATGGTTGTGCTGGATGGTATGTATGGAAAGCTTGCGGGAGATTTGCACCTTGATGTTGTTGATATCCATTTCGAGACGATGATTGATAGCTACGTGGTGAACGAACATTCGGTGTCACAGCATGTCCTGCAGATTTTGACTGTATCGTTGAAGGATAATGTGGTTGACTAAAGAAGAAAAATGAGAATAGTAGCTGTATTAAATGAGCCACAAAATTACTGTTGATAAGGAGTGATCGGATACGGTCCTTGAGGAGGGTAATAGTATTGCTGTGGATACATTGGATTCTGTTGTGGTATGATTGCTGGTGGCATATAATAGTTCGATGGATATTGCTGTTGATGTTGATACAATGAATTATTGTTATTATGATTATAATATGGCTGTAGAGCACGTGATTGTTGCCACGTATTTGCGTTGACATTAGCATTCGGTACGTAAGGCACAAGTGCAGTTGGATAATCTCGGCTGTGTCGTTTTCCTTTGTGTTTCGTACGCGATGTAACCGATCGACTGTCATGAGATTTTTCACCACGACTGAAACTCTGTTGATCTTGTTTTGATTGAGATGTCGTTAACAGATCGCGTTCTTTCGACAATCGTTGACTTTGATCAGCTTTCGATTGACCATTGTTTGTCAGTTGATTTGAAGAGCCTGCATTCGAGATCTGAGCTGCTTCGGTATTTTCGACCGTAGATGTTGTTTTGACGAGAGATGGAACTCGTTCTTTCGAGTGAGTACGACTGCGTACATCTTGAGAGTCTTTCGTTTTTTTCACCTCTTCGTTAATTTGTTTTACATCAGTTGATGTATCTTGTGTCGATTGTTTGCTTTGTTGCACGTCATTGGTTTTGCTCGCATGATTTGATGCATTCTTGCTTGATCGTTTTTCTACCAGAATAACACGTTCGACATCGGCTTCGTACTTGACTTTGACTTTATATTTCTTTGTTCGATAAAGCTCTAAGGCCGCGGGATAATCACGAAGTAATTGTTCGATTTCTTTGATACTTTTCACACTTCTTGAGCCTTCCATGGTATTCAAAACTAAGAAAACGCACTCAATTACAGTAGATCGAAAAGGAAAACAGTTTACATTGTGCTTTCGTGTACGGTCCACTTTGGACAGCTGTCGTCATTGCCGTCGTTGTTCCACCTGCCGATGAGGTTGTACTTACCGGAGTAGTTGAATTAACAAATGTGGTAACAGGCATCATTTTTATTTAGTTATATGTATATGAGAAAAAATAAACTAAAAAATATAATTGATTAATTATATCTTATGATACAATCTCAATAGTTTTCATCATATCGTTGCGTGATCTTGTTTCCTCTCTTGTTTTTCTTTTCGTCTAACAACCTATTTGATTAACTATTTAACTACCTGAATCACTCGGAGTTCCCATTCTTGAAGTAGAAGAAAAGGACTAATATTTATACAACTTACTAGTTATTATATGCTCGTTCAATGATTGCCTTCTATATCCAAATTTCCATGGCCTTTCGCCATCATCTTTCTTTTTTTCTTCTTGTCTATTAGTTTTTTTTTTTGGTTACGCTCTCATTGAACTTAGAGAGAAAGAAAGATGTGATGATAATGATAAAAAGAAAGAATGACGTATAGATAATAAAACGAAACAGCCATACAAGCGAAAGGTAAAAAAAAGTAGTAAGTTGTCCGATTGAATCAAACAACTAATGTAAATAGTTCTGTATATGTGTATATATGCATTAAGACGGTCACCGGTTTCGCTCGAATGATTCGGAGTGCAGTAACTATATGTACAGAAAAAAAAATACGATGATAAAGACTCTTCGTCTCTTTTTTTTTTTATTCTTGCCAGTACAGGCATAGGCAATAAACCGCTTTCTCGTCACAACATATAATGATCAGATATGTAAATGAATACATTCAAGTTGATATTTTGAGGGAGAAAAAAATGACAGTCGGACGTATATCAGTGAAGGAAATCAATTTTCGTGTTTTATTGGGCAAATATAATTCGAAAGAGTGTAAGAGATACATCAAATCACGATTAAAATAAGGAAAACTGTGCACGAAAGTGTTTATAAATCGATGTTGGCAATGCGATGAACAAGTTCATCGAAATTGTAACGAATTTTCACTGTTGTCGGTGATGATTCGGTTGTCATCATGCCTGTTATTTCTTCATAATTTATTAAATCAGGTGTTAAAACCATAACACAATGAGCAAACCAATTATATGGTTTAACAAGTAAACATCCTTCACGTTGTAGCTATAATTAAAGATTAAAAGAGAATTCGATCAATTTGTCTGCTCATTGAACATGAAAAGAAAAGAATACTTACGAGAGCAGCTAGAGCTCGATCGGATGTTACCATGATTGTACGTTTGTTTTTCTCGCGATTTTCAGGTCGACGAGCAATTTCGACTAGCATATCATCGGTGGTGCGATATCTCGGTTGCGCACTGGATACTTTCACTGTTCCGACTTGATCTAACTGATGTGTAGAATCAAAAACTAAATCAATATTCGGTATGTGCATTTGTTCATTCCAGGCAGCTGCAATTTCAGCCATGGCACGTTCGGTTCGTCGGCCGGCTCGATTCAAGCATAAACGACGAAGAGAGTTAACCACGAACATCATGTTATTTCCATCCAAATAGACATGTTCAATGTTGCGTGGCCAACTTTCTCGATTATTGATTTCAATGTAAGCACTTTGAACTTCTGCTAGGACAGTTCGTTTCTAAATTAACAAGAGCGTGTTTCTTTTATCTACGATCGAAAAAAATTCTTACGTGTGTTCGTTCTTTTCGTTCGCGACTACGTTTATCGCGTTCTTCGGTCATTCGAGCTTGCATCAATTCGATTGATCCACCACATTCGTGGAAAATAGCTAATAATTTTCGTGGATTACCATGTAGACCGGCTGCACGAAGATTTTTGACTGTACCAAGATCTTCATCACTGATGTCATGGTGTTTTCTCCACTGTGAGCGTGTATGATGACCTTCTTCTTGTTCTCCTGCTGCTGCTGCTGCTGTTGTTGTTGTTATCATAGGTGAATGACTTCGATGTTTACGCCGATATTCCTTTCGTTTGGAATGTTTTTCTTGTCGTTCGGCGATCAGCTGCTTGACGAGATCTGTTTGTCCATTCGATCGTTCTAATAAACGTGCCAGAACCTTGTCATTCTTGACTTGAACACCGTCGGCTTTCAGCTGAGCAATTTGCACAGCATATTTCTCATCGAGTCCAGCAAATTTCTCCTTTCGTACTGCACGACGTGTCATAATTTCCATTACCTAATATCGTCATATCTCTCATTATCGTTATTACTCATTTATTTGTTATTGAACTTACCTTGTTGACATCACCTTGTTGTTTTTCCAATAATCGAAGCGTCCAGGGTTGATCAACATTGATTCCAGCAGACGATAATTCTGCCAATTGCTTCGCATATTTTGTTTTTAATTCTTCGCGATGTTGATGACGAGATACGCAACCGTGTTCACCTTCACGATGATGTCGTGCTTCAACTTTTTGTGCAAATTTTCGAACTTGATCAACATCACCACCATAACGTTCCATGGTTTTTAATAGACGACCACGTTTCATCGATTGAATTGATGGACATTCTTGTTGTAATGCTGTTAAATTCGGACCAAAACGTGTTTCAAGTGAATCAAACTTGTTCATACGCGATTCTCGTTTAGCGAGACGTGCAGCAACCTGTCGAAAAAATGTACATATTTATACAATCTATATCCATGCAAACAAAATGATGCTGAAAGAAATGTTTTGAATTTCAATTTTTACGCTATGATATATGACTATATCAAGCAACCTCTCTTCACCCGCGTGAGAGGAATTAGCGGGCTATGTGTATATAAGAAATTTGATGTTTACCTGTTCGATATTTCCATTGTGTCGTCGGCAAAGACATGCCAATTTACTTTCATCGACCTGTGGAAAGCGTTCTTTAAGAACTCGCAATTGTTCGTCGATCGTTTGTTGTTGGTTTGTAGCCATTGTTGATTCGTATGAAGAGTAATATGAAATGAAAATCCACGGAGAAAAGCATGCCCTTATATAGGGGATGAATGAGTAATATTCGAGTTTGCGCAATTCAGGTGCAACAGTATTACTAATTTTACCTGAACCAATGAAAACTGTTTTGACGACGTGGCAAAACAAATATCGATAACACAGAATTTTCTTGAAGAAATTTCATGAGTAATTCAACTGAAAGAACTTTCTAGTCGAGAAAATAATTGACGCATTCAGAATTTATTGCTTAATATTTCATTTTAATGACACGCCTGTTTTGCTACGCTCATATTTGGACGGCATGCTAATAACTGTAATTATCATTAAGATGCCTAGAAAATAGTCTAATTGAATATCGTTAGTAATGAATATCGAAATCTGACTTAGCAAAAACAATGTATTTTCTGGTGATCAGTAGAGACATCCGTCGGCGACAGATGTCGCCTTCGCTGCCATATGAGTACAAATCTCTTAGAAAAAGGACTTTTGATACAATTCACCGAACAAATTGACGGTGGTTTCCCGAATTGAGAACAAATTTTCGTATGAAAGAAAATTTTTTGTCATTGAATATCAATGAGTGAAAAGTGAAGGTTTTCTTATCAGTTTGAAAAATTTGATCAAGTGTCAAAAGGGAGGTCACTCATTGTTTGAATATGTCCATTTGAATGGCCGCCATTGTTTTGTTAATTTCTCCGGATATGTCGAACGCACACTTAATCAATCTGTTTAACAATGTCGTCATCGCCGATGACACCAACGTTTCGAAAGACACGTTCGTCGAATTTCGTTTCCAATTCCATCGACGGTCGAAATGTCTATGAAGATTTTCATCGAACTATCCGTTCGACAAGTGAATTCACTCAGGTTTATCAACAATATTCTCAATCTCAAACACATCGATCGACATTGATTTCGGCACTTCTGAAAGTCTTAGCGTCAGAGAATGTCGATACAGAAATACAAACATTCATTGTTGATTGTCTGATTACTCATTCGGATAATTTATCTGATACACAATTCAAACAAGAGATTTTACCGTTCATGAAACAAGTTCTATCCAAAACCGATGAAGAATCTACGAATTTATCCTTATCCATCTTACGATTCTTGCGTGTACTAGTCGAATATCGGCCGAATATCTTAATGTTAACATTGGCCGAATGGCTTTCGTGTTTATTGAACTTCCTGGTGACACATTTCTCTGCAACATTTTCCACGGTCTATGCTGATCTAGCGAATGATTTATTTTCAAAAATTATCAAACAATTCACGCCATTGTCCAAGGAAATCGTTGATATTCTCGGTCGATCATCGTTGATAATCTCCACTGAATTTCTAGATCATTTGAGAGCATGTATCAAGAACACGGATGATATTCGATTAGCTTTGTTCATGATTCATTTATGGCAATCATTAGCATGTCTTCTGAGCCGTTTATTAATACGTGGTCATCCGAAAGGAAATGAAATACTTGCGATCATGGAAGACGGTAAGTTGATTTCTTGAATTCTCATGTTAATAAAACACAATGCCTGTTCTTTCTTAGCTTTTATCGTTTCGAACTACTCAATACGCAGTGCAGCATTTACAGCTTGGTCTGAATTCATGTCACATGTGCATCATTCTGAAGACATTGATAATCCACATTTAAATCAACGTTTGTTGAAACTGTTCCTAGCACCATTTCTACCTGATTACACCTCAAAGAGTAAATCAGCATCGATATCGAAATGTCAAGCGTGGATTGCGCTGATTTCAATTTATCCGAAGAATCTCAACGAAATTATCCTACCATTTCTTTCGTTTGCATTCGGAAATCACTTGACATTAAAAACACTTTCAACAACAACAGCCTGGTGGTCCGAATGTCGGCAAATCGGTGCGCAATTCCTGCACGATCTTCTAACCAACAATGTTCATGGCGAATATTTGATAAAACTCGCCGGAGACGAAATTTTGAATTATCTGTTTGACTCCATTGTCGATCAATTACTGGAAAACTCGATCAATTCCAATGAAACACAAGATCAAACGATATGGCTTATAAGTTGGAATGCGTATTTGAATCATTTGATTCAAATCTTCAAAACAAACGATTCAATCAACGAAAAGCAACGTGTAGCGATCAATACATGTTTATTAACACGCATCGAACAAATGTGGATCGATTCAAGAATTGAAACGCGATATCTTCTGAAACTGTTCGAAAGCTTTGAGCACAGTGGATTTCCTTTAGCAATCGAAACCGTTCTACGCGATTCTAGTACACGAACAAAAACCTTATCAGCTGCACAAATTCATCCCGCGTCAGGAAATTATCGATCACAAGACAAATCTCTCGTCTACCGAACTACCTTATCGGATCAATATCTTCACATGATGTTAGAACATGCTATCCGACTGAATGACGAAGATCAAGCACACGAGGAAATTTATCTTCATGTTATTTCATATTTGATCGATACATTATCAAAAACATCGGATGAAAATTTTTGTTATCAAACGAGCTCTCTTCTACTGAAATGTTCAGTGGAACTCTATCATCAACCACTGATGATTCCGTCGTTGTTCTGGCACATTTGGTTTCGATGTTCAACACATCTAATCAATATTCTCAATCGTTCATCGACATTCGAATTGAACAACAAAGTCGACAATCAAAAACAAGATACGTCTATCGAATTATTACTTCGTCCATTCGCTTTCAATGATATTCATCGTCTGGATTATTCCTATACACTATTGTGGACACAATTATTCAAAGCATTATGCCGTTTAGCATTGATTAATAATGATCCTCTGAAACAACATTTAATTCATCTACTTGTTGAGTTAGTTCGAAATGAACCGGCGTTTGAACAAGCAATCAATGATCAGCATAATCAACGTTTATTCGGCTTTATTTTGATTATCATGAAAATCCTATTGAAAACATTCTCAGATATTGACTTATCGAATCTATCTGATCGATCGACGAATAATTTTGTACATCTGTTATCGAACACTCAAAAACGTTCGTCACCATCGTCAATCATTCTCTGTTTTACACAACTGTCAACTATAACTAATCATATTCTCCAACGTTTATTATCGAGCAATGAAAACAGTACCCAGTACATGCTCGTTTGTTGCTGTTTACTTAAATCCAATAAAGTCTCGTCCGGTGACCAGACTAAACTATTCGTTTTTACATACATTCGAGATCTTATCGTCGATCTGTTCAGTTTATGTAAAATATATTCACATTTGGACATTGTTCTGAGAAATTTAACACAACTAGTGCCATTTCTTTACTTATATGAACAAGCGATTAATGGAAATGTACCATTAGGCTCATCACCAGTTTCAATTCACAAACAACAAACAGATAATGTGATTTTGAATAAGGTCCTATCGATTATATCATTAGTATTCGAGCCGCCGAATGGTTCGTCGTTATTGCAACTTGTCTATCCAATATTGATTCTTGCTTTTCAACATAATAAAACAATCATGAGAAACAAAGCTCGAAAATGCTGGAACGAAACATTTGGACGAATGACATTGATTGTTTATCCAAATGAACTTCGGTAAGTTCAAATCCATCTCTCTTTAAATCCACTTATATTTTCTATTTTAGACTGTGCCTTCGTGATCTGAAAGATAAAGAACACTTACTATTACCCTGCTTTCTTGCTGATCATGATAATAGCAATACTGCTGGTAGTGGTGCACCGCCAAGTAGTACAGATGAAAGTCAGCTGTCACAACAGGTTGACATTGCTACCCCACTAATTGTTCCATCGACAGTGTCTAAACCACATTCATCACCGGCACGTTTCGTTACACCAACTGCATCTTCGGCTCGTTCGACAACTACAACTGATAAAAACGAGCCAGTCTTTGTTCCAATTATGAGCAACATCAATTATAACAATCAGTTGGATGTACCAGTGGTGATTAGTAAACGTCCATCATCGACCAGTGCTTGTTTAACGGAAAAGCAAAAGGAAAAACTACGTGCTCGTCACAATATTCCATTACTTTGTGATGATAGTAGCAACACCCAATCGAATTCGTGCACGATCGACACGCCAACAATTGAAAATATGATGCGTCATCATCAACTTCGACAGATTAATTGCGAGTACAAACAATCACCAACATTGCCTCTGTTCAAACAAACGTTTTCGGGTTCGACACAACAAACCAACACGATTGCAATTTCTTCATCATCGGAAACAGATGAAAATACACCGAAACAAACGGAAAACACAAATGAAGATAGCTCTGATGAATCTGCGATCGCAAAAAAACTTCGTCGTTCTTGTCGGTCATCAATATCAGTAAAAAAAAGTTTGATAAATAGTGCTCGAAAGAAGGAAGCCAGTGTCATAACAACGATATCGAATTCAGATACATTAGTTGACACACCTAAGTCCAATTCGATTAAAGGTATTTTGAAACGGCTTTCGCCGACAAAACCTCGATCTGATCATACGAAACGTGTGGTGTTTCACGATCAAGTCAGAGTTCTCGTGTTTGCTTCACCGTCACGTCGTGATCTTAATGTTCAACAGAGGAAGAAAAGTCCATGTAGTGATCGACTGAAATCACCGACTCGAATTATACCAAAAGAAAATCTACCACTGAGAAAACAACCAACATCCGCTAGACGTTTAAGCGCAATGAATCCAATAGAGCAGATTTCTATACCGTCGCCTGCCTCTACAACGAAAACCCGTTCATCAAAATTATTTCATCCAAATGATGCACTAGCTGATTGGACGCAAACCCAAGAGATATGTCAAGTAAGATTAAAGGGATATATGTTAAAATGATTGTTGTTGCTATTGTCACGGTATTGTCTATTCAACAGTGGAGTGGAGCTTGTTGGGTCCGGTTGACATGTTTTGATTCCTGACTAGATGACCTGCACTCCTCAGTTGATATAGCTATTGTGTTGTATTGACTCGTTGCCTCAGTACAATATCTCTAAGTCATTTTGGATATCTCGATTAACGACTAGAGGTTTTGCACTGTTGAAATTAGTTTATTGTTCGTCGTTGTTAATTCAAAGTACTTGGGTAGATAAAGCATCTACAGAGACATATATCTGCTTCTAACAAACGAATTTACTTCTAGATTTCATCAAACACTGAAACAATCGATTACATTTTCCCATCGTTGATCGATTGTAATAAATCAATTGATAGCCTCACTGATCTCTTATCTGAGAATGAATGGTATGCACTAAAAAGCTTCTTGTCGAAAGAAATATACTCTACATTTGTAGTGCGAATGATATTCTCAACCATTTTCAATCCATTAACATCGGTACCGTCGGTGATCTTGCACGTTTATCATTGAATCAAATTGAAATGGAGCCGATTTTATCATCAAAGTTAGTTAACTTGCGAAGAGCACTTGCGTTTTATCAAGAACGTCTTATCGCTTCGTCATCGACAAATACGATTGATTGTTCTCTTACCGTTCGTACGACAATGACATCAGACGAATCTATGAGTATGTAGATTTTCGACCCTATGCAATAAAATAGTATTTCGATGTTATTTCAGTTATTGACGATAGCAATCAAACAACAAACTTGTCTTCAATGCCAATAGGAATGGCTACAAATCCTTCGAATAAACTATACGATGTTGAAACATTGATTAATAGTCTTGATTGTGAACAATTAGATTTAAACGATGAAATACCACTCTCAACTCATCAGATCACATCGATGAACGACGAACGATTTTCTTCTCCAAGCAACCGTCGTTCATCACCTATGGATGAATCCACTCCTACAAAGCAAACTCTAGTAACTGTAACACTCGGTGATCGCTTACAAAATGCTGCAGATCTTTGTAAGACAATGGGAAGTCTTCCATTCAATGATGATTATATTGAACTTGTTCGTCAATTAATTACGAACTGTTCGCTAACACATCTTGAACAACTTCACTTAAAAAGTTTATTTTTCAATCCTTAATTTGCTTTATTATTTTCTTGTGTGTTCTTGCTCAGATATGATGTCAGATACTATTCAATATTTTTGTTCATGTTTATTTTTGTCATGCTCAGATACAAATATATTTCTTTGAAGTGCTCTGTATCAAAGAAATATTAGTCCAGCAAACTCCATCTTTTGGAATTCATGTACATAACATTCAAATAAATGGAATTGCGTACATCAAACAAACGTAATTATGTCTGAATAGAACGTCATTCATTTGTCTTGATCATCGAAAGTCTTCAAGCTGAATCATCTGTCACAAAACAAAAAGAAAAGATTTGTCAAGCTAATAGTATTTATGGAGTATATCTATTTGTGATCTTTGTACTTCAGTATAAAAATACTCCTTCAATTATATGTATGTCGAATTAATGTATCTGACGTATATTCGATAGCAGATAGAAGTCATAAATAATAGAGGCAAACTAACTTGATGAAATAAACATATGTTTTCTAATTAATATAGAAGATAAATTGTATTACAAATAACAGATGTACGAATATTGCAAGACATGTAAAAGATACTGCAAAACATCAGATTAAAAATGCTAATTGTGTGTCATCGCCTACTCGAAAAACTTCCTACTCATAGTTGTGTATATAAATATTAACAACAATTCTTCCATTCAAGTATTCTTTTCCCATTCATTCGAAACTATTATCAATAATCGATTTATTCGACTTCTTCTTTCGGTAGGTGGATTCTCTTTATATACGTGCGGGTTCATTATCACCCTATAGTGAGTACAATTGACCCTCACACAATTGTGTTGCACATTTTTGTTCTATTCTCCTTCTCCTTTTACATTTACATCTATGTATATTGCAGCACTATGAGGTCAACTCGTTTCTTTGTATATATTTGTATACGTAGAGTGATGAAACTACTGACCAAAAAGGGCATCTCTCGTAATAAACCAAGCTTACTCTCTTTCGATAAATTATGTAATCGTTCTCTTTTTTCCCCTCTCTCTCCTTCTTCTTGTACATGCTCGACTCATATGATAGATAGTGTTATGTAAGATTGAACAGAGCAAAGCAGGAAAGAAAAATGCGAACGAACACAGAGATTACGGCGGAAGGACCTTTTTTCTCTTTCTCTTTTCTTTTACAGCACATACGCAACATATTCTTCTTTGTACGATCACGCAATACATAGAAAGAAAGAAAAAAAAATGAGAGAAAGAATGTGACTTGAATTGCTTTACATCACGCGTTCAAGACTGTTATTCGATCGTTATTACGAAAAAAAAACTTGAGACATAGCTACAGAGTTGGTACCATGTAGTCGGTTTGAATTCTTTCGACTGAAAAAAGAAAAACTGCTGTCCTGTTAAGGTCGATCGTAGAAGAACAAAATACAATGGAAACAATGGATTCACAAGGTAAAATTCTTGAAGTTAATTACAAATAATTATCTCATATTGTTGTTGTTGTCTTTTTGGAGATATTCTCAATTTCTCGATTTTATATTTAGTTGGCAAGAAATTCAATGGCAACTCAATGGTATATCTATCTGCTGGTCATAACAATAGCTTTGAATTGTATCAATGTCATTGGAAAACCAGCCGTACTGACATGTGACACATACGCAACGTCAGCAACATGTAGTCAATCAGTGTCATCGTCGGAAAGTGTATCGAATTGTGATACATGTTGCAATGCGCTGATTGAGCGTATGTTCGATTGTCCACCATGCCGTTATTTTCTTCTCTACCATCGTCTGCAAGGATCAAGCTGTTTCTGTACAGTTTGTTTTAAACAACAACGTCATCGACGTCGTCACCCACACTCTCAACAAGCAAATGAAGTCGAGTCATTTTCTCGTTTTGATTTTTAATTTTCTTTCTTTCTTTTTTTTCTTCTCATTATCCTCTTACAAAGTTTCGTTTGTTTTTGTCTCCTGTTTACTCTTGGTTTCATTTTATTCTTATTGGCGAGGCATATGTAACAGTGATGTGTAAAAAGAAACAACATACTATTGTAGATAGTAGTCTTATTAAACGAATTATCTTATCTGATTCATGTCATTATTCAATGCACATAATTGAAACTAATCAGTTCTCAAGATGATTGATGAAATGGATCTACGGAGATATTTTCTACATATAAGCATATCTCAAGTTAAAAGGTTTGTAACAGATAGGGTCATATGACATTATTAGATTGTAAGAAATATTGAAAAAGCTATAAGATCTTCTTCTGATATTTTGCTCGATGCTTTTGAATGACTTGTTGAAAATACTTTGCACCATCACGTAACGTTCGTTCTTGTGTTTGTAAATCTACATCATACAAGCCAAATTTCATATCGTAACCCTATAGATAAAGATAAAAAAAACCTAGATTGATCATCAAATACTATCCTTACTTCAGCCCATTCGAAATTGTCAGTTAAACTCCAATAGAAATAACCTCGGACATCACAGCCAGCTTCATTGATTGCGCGACTCAGTGCATAAAGGTATCGTCTTAAAAACAAGTGACGCCGATCATCATATCGATCAGCAATTCCATTTTCTGTAATATAAATCGGTACACGTGGTAATTCATCCTTCAAACGGACACACGCACGATATAATCCTTCAGGATACAATGGATATGCCATATCAGTCATTAGAGATGGTCCACTATCATCTTGACGATGTACAATTTCAAATGATGATGGTTTGAATGGATTAAATCGAACGAGGAAGTGTGAATAGTAATTCAATCCAATGAAATCATTCGTGTGTGGTGCACGTGGATTTGTAAATGTTCGTGGAGTTGAACCAGGCATTTTCCATTTAAAAGAACCCGTACGAAAGAAATCCAGTATACAACCATTCATCGCATAATCTAATAAACGGCTTATATATACATCTAATGGATTCAATGGATGATAGGGATCGAATTGAAAGATATCTTTAACAATGCCAATCGAGTGTTGATCAGGTTGTCGAGCTATCGCTTTGATTCCATCATAGATATCGACATGAGCTTGAAGAAGATTTTGTAATACAAGTGAGGCTTCATTTGGTTGTGATTTGCGACCGGGTGGAAATATTCCAGTAAAATATCCGCCACTAACATATACCTCGGGTTCGTTGATTGTACACCATAGATGACATTCATCCTGAAATTCTTTGAACATATCAATAGAAAAGCGAATAAATGCAGACAAATTGGTTGAGTTTAAGAACGAGGAGCGCTCTTCAAACCACAATGGATGAACAAAATGATGAAATGTTACCATCGGTACGATGGATTGTCGATGTAATTCTTTTAAAACATCATGGTAATGGGCGAGAACATCTTGATCATACTGTCCTTCAACCGGTTCGATTTTATCCCAAGCTAATGAAAATCGATATGCATTACAGCCAAGTGTAGACATCAGTTCAATATCTTCTTTGTATCGATGATAGTGATCTACAGCGATTCCACATTGTTGGCCATGTTTAATATGTTGGGGTTCCCATTCTGACCAATTTGACTTTGTTGGTGCTTTATCGCCTGGTCCTTCACATTGATATGCAGCCGATGCCGTGCCCCAAAGAAAACTTTGTGGAAAAGATACATCGTCTGTATCGATGGAAATTCGTTTTTCTTCGTTTCCATTGTCCCAACACCAATAAAGTGATGCATAGATACGAGTTAAATACCATTTTATCGCAATAAGTGCAACGCTCAGCAAAATTATCACGAAAGCAAACATTTTTGCGTCGTTTTTTTTAACAAAAATTTATCAGGCAAAACATATACTTGTATTAGTTGTTTAGGTGAAATTGATAAGACTATATTTTCTTTCGTCTTCGATTACTAGCGCCATCATTGCATTCTCCTTCATGAACTGGTTGCTTCGTTGGCAAATAGGTGTATCATTCCTTCTAGGAGTAGACGTATGTGTGGTGTGATGACTGAAATCAATCAATAACGCAAAGGTTTTTGCTGTGTTAGTATTCCATTGAAATATCCTTCCATTATGTCAAACTTTTTGAATCGTATAAAGAATCTCAAAGTAAGAGTAAATGAACTCAAATCGAAAGTTTGGTTTTCATGACGTTTCGCTTTTGTAGACTGGCATGAACAATGGTTTTAGTACGAATGAAAGTGATACTGGATCGATCTGTTCATTTGATGAAGAAGTTCGTTAAAGTTTCTTTTTTCTCTAAAGTGATGTATTCAACTTTATCGTAGGGTTTCATCTGTCCAATGTGTCATCGCAAATTTCCGGATACAGCTGGACTTGAACGTCACTTTCTTCAAGCTCATGCTGAACCTCAACCAACCACAGCAACAGCAAATCATGGAGAAAGTAATGGAACAAGAAATGATCGATACGATGTGAGTAGACTTTGATAATTATACACTTTCTCAATGAACGTTTGTATCAGGATCCTCATCAGGAAGTCGCCATATGGAAACAACAGTTTTGTCAATCAGAAGAAAGTCGAATGCAATGTAAACGAGAATTCTATATACACAGTTTTGTTTATTTGATAACTATTTGCTTTAGTAAGCAGTGACTTGATGCAGCAACGACAACGTGTTGGTGATCTTGAAGAAGAAATGGAGTTACTACGAAAACAATTACGTACCACACAAATGAAAGTTGTTGAACAAGTAAAATCGATGTTCATCTTGAAAAATAGATTTAACTTTGACCTGATTTTTCAAGTCGCAAGAAATTGGCAATTTAAAAGCAACCAAAGATGTGTATGACGCTCAAATAGCCATGTTTACCGATGAGCTTCTCAATACACAAGTTAGTCGTTTATTTCTTTGACTTCCAAAACTTTTTCATCACGTTTTCTTCAAAACTAGGGTGAATTAAAAGAAAAACAAAATCAAGTTGATACTCTTTGTAATGATTTGATACCAAGGTAAATAGATATTCTTTTTTATAAAACATTCATTCTTACTAAATCCTTTTTCTTTCGCCAAAATCCCATTCAGTTTGTAAGTAGAATCCATATGCTCGTAGTGACGTAAACTAATATGTAAATCACTATATACATACATACATATCTCTGCATGTTCTCTCAATCTGTTTTTTGCTCATGAAAAGAATATTTTGACTATGTATTTGTTTTCTAGGCCAACAAATGATGATGTCGATGTACTAAAACGCGAATTGATTGCTGTTCAACAACGCATGAATGAAATGTCGTTGGAGAAAGAGCTGCAAATCGAAAATCTACGTAGTGCTCTTTCAGATATGTGAGTCCACGCAAAATAGCAAACATTCTTTTGCACGACAAATATTCTTGTTTGCTTATGATTAGTTCGAAATATGCTGAACGATTAAACCAAATCGATAACACATTTGATCAAGTATGTTGGAAATTCTTTGGGAATTTTCTAGAGATTTTCTCTTTCTCCGTAGAATATGATGCTCTATGATCAAATAATAAATGATCACACATCTCAAATTGACAATGATCTTAACCAAGTGAAGCAATTCGTTCAAGTAACACGCGAACGAAAGAGCACTATTGTAGCACAATTAACCCATATGCGGCAGTGTTTGAGTGAAGTATGTATTAATTGCAACATGTTCAGTAATCACTGAGAACATCACGCGAAACTGAGACTGTTGGGCTGTTTTCTGTTTTAATCTATATAAAAAAGCCAGTATTTCCTGGAAATAACCTTTTGAAGAATTTGATAGTAGAAAAAACAAGAATATGATGAGATTAAATTTCTTCACTTGAATATTATCGTAGAATCAGACGGAAATCGATCAATTGAAGAAGATAAACGAAAAATTACATCTCGATCTTGAACAACGAGTGAGTATATGTAGCACTGTTGATGGTATGTTCTTAATCGATGTCGTTGGCTAATATTTTAGAAGCAAATAAATGAACAGTTAACTGATGATCTACATAATGAACAGAATACAACAACTTCGAATCGAATGCAGATTGAGAAATTAACCAGTGAAATTCAGGAATTCGAGAAAGCCTTAGATGAACTTAAAGACGAGAAAAAGCAACTATTGTTAAGTAAAATGGATGGAGATGCAGACGATGAACGTCAAAATCTTGTTCGACAATTGACGCAAGAAAAAGTAAATGAGCAAGACTGAATTTGTTCGACTCAAATCTTATATACCATGATTATTCTTCAGGATCAGTATGAACAAAAAACGAAAGACTCTCGGAAACAAATTAAACAGATCAATAAAGAAAAAGACAATCTCCAAAAAGAATTGAATCAGATTTCAATACAACTAACAGAAAGAACCAACGAAAAAGTAAAACTAAGGATCAAAATTGAACAATTAACTCATCTCTCCCTGTGTTTAGAATCAACTCCAAGAAGAGCAAACTCAATTGAACAATCAGCTCAATTCATTGAAACAACAACTAGATGATCTTAATAAAGAGAAAGTATGTTAAACTGACTTTCGTGGTTAGTGCACTTTTTTCTTCGTTAGGAAAGACAAATAGATCAATTGAGAAACGAACTGAATTCTGCCCGTGAAGAACATGTGAATCAGCAAGCAAAATTAGAAAATGAACACAAAGAATTGATCTTACAGTTGGAGAAAGATAAATCTGATTTACAACAGCATACTTTGCAACAAGATGTGGTTATAAATATAACTAAATTAGAGATCGAAACGTTGAAAGCTGAGAAAGATAACTATGAACAACAGATATCAAACAATCAACAAGCAATCGACGAATTACAACAAACAGTTTCTCAATTGAATGTCAAACTGAACGAAAAGGTAACCAAATAGTAACGCTTTTGGTATTTTCCGAATATAACTTCTAATTTCCATAGGATACTTCTATTACTCGTATATCTGTCGGTATTCGTCGTAGTATTGATTTTGTACATAAAACTCATGAGTATATTCAACAAACAATCTCCCCCGCACAAGTTAATATGCACACTATGATTGAAGAGGTAAATAGAAGTACATCCTTATATCACTATCAACCAGATTCCAATCCTTTCACAACTATTCTAGGCTGAAAAAGAATCTCAAGTTATTCGTACGCAAACACTAGAAGACATGCGTAATGAATATATGAATTATATAACTGTTGTGCACACCATGATTGCTGATAATCGAGTAAGATTCCGTATCATTGATCCTTTTTGGTCACCATGCGTTGAGTTTTTTCGATAGGCTAAACTTGATAAACAAATGGAAGAAGACCGACAGCATGCTGAACAACAAATGGATAAAATTAAAGATGAACATCGTCAATTAGTAGAAGAATACGATGAGCAAAAGCGAAATTTAGAAACACAATTAAGTGAATCGAATCAGAACTTTGTACAGATCTCCGAATCTCTATCTGAAACAATTCAATCGGCCAAACTTCAGCAGGAAAAGTCCGAACAACAAATCGTAAGCAGATCTTTACTTCGTAAATCGAAAACTATTTCCGTTCTATCCTGCTTAGACTGCTCTCGAACATGAATTAGCGGACGTTCGATCTGATCTTGAATCTCGAGCGAAGAAATATGAAATGCAGTCATTGGCATTGCGAGAAAATCTCGGTAATGTTCGCGGTGAACTCAAAGCTGCACAAGAAAAATTAGCCATTTTCGAAAAACTCAAATCAGAAAAAGCAGGTTTGTCGCTCTTCAGCATCAGATTCTAAAGTTCTATCAAGCATTCTTCAACAGATCTTGAAGCACATTTGTTAGCTAGTCAAGAAGAACGTCAGCGTCTTCTCGAACGATCGATCACAAGTGAAACTCGAAACGAAAAACTGTTGTTAGAAAATGGACAATTGGCGAAAAAGAATTCCGATCTCGAATCTGCCTTACAAGAAATAGCTCGTGAATACCAAGGCCTTCAAGTAATGATCTAAACTGTTGAATCTTCACTCATGTTTTTCCTTAGATCCATACAAACAAATTAACTCAACGCCGATGGATTAATGATAGTGACGTTCATAATTGTATGAAATGTGGTCAAACATTCACAATGACGCAACGTAAACATCATTGTCGGTCTTGTGGAAATATCTTTTGTGATACATGTTCGTCGAAAACAGCCGTCGTGGCAGCGTCATCTAAAAAAGCACAACGAGTATGCGATCAGTGTTACCAAGAGTTAACTTCGTAATAGACGATTCTCATTTTATATGGATCTAGTTTTAAATATATGCACATATGAATATAAATAGTTATTTCAGTTTTTTTTTATGGACTTCTTTGCAATAAAAGGAATCACAGTGAATCTATGCAAAAACTACATATAGATATATACAGAGAGAGGGAAGGATAGATTCAGGGTAATGTCAGATTTGTTTCATAAATAGTATATTCACGGCTTCAAATTTTTGAACATGATTTTGATATTCTCATTTAAAGTGAGAAATTGCTTGTCGGACTCTTCACGTGATGCCATTTTTCTTGCTTGATCAGAACGACCATATCCAATTTCTTGTTCACCCTTTTTAATCCGCTCAAATGTTGCTTGGCAGTACTTATCGAGTGGTTCGCCAAATGCATGACTACCTCCGAGATTTGTTTGAACAGCTGGTGGTACGATCTCGTACACTTGAAGGTTTTTCACTTCATTCATCAATTGATATCGGAGGCTCATCGTGAACGAGTGCATAGCAGCTTTCGTTGCACTGTAAACTGGAATGCTCGCTAATGGTATGAATGCTAAACCTGATGAAACATTCATTATAGCTGTCGTTGTGTTCATTTGACGAAAATGTGCTATGAACAATTGTGATAAATGCATAGGTGCGCAAATATTTATTTGAATTTCTTTTTCACGCTCTTCCCATGGGATATTTTCAGTCAAGTTTCCATCTGGAATAAATGAATGACGCTGTTGAACACCTGCGTTATTTATTAAAACATTCATTTCAGGATGTTCACTGACGATCCAATCATATAGAGCTAATCGTTCATCAATTCTTTCAACATCATTTATTCGATAGTGAACTGGTTTCTTCCCAAGACGGTTTAATTCCTCCGCAGCTGATTTTAGGTGTTCTTCGCGACGACCAGTGATAATGACTGTCGCGCCTTCTTCCACAAAACATCGTGCGAGACCAAAACCAATACCACTGGAACCACCTGTTATAAGAACAGTCGACAGCGGTATGTCAAGTCGAGTAGAATAACAGTCATCAGCCATTCGAGATCTTTTTCAGTAATGACTATCTACAGTAAAAAAAAGAAACTATTACGGGATCGTACCACGTCTATCATATAAGATTGTTTTCTTTTTATGACATGACAGTATAATATTTTTTCTTCGTATTAGAAGAAGTTTTTACTAAAGCTTGTAGTGGATCGTATTGCAACCAATCCACTCATTTCTTTTTCAAAAATCAATTTAAACATACATGAAATAAATATTATTTTATTGAATGAATAAAAATAAGAATGTATACTAGTGCAAAAAATTCAAAAGAGCTTTGGATTTGGTGTCTTAAGATTACAATGTGCACTGCAAGTTAGGAGTGTAGTGTAAAATATAATTATTGTCATAATCACCCAAGAATATCTCGTAGTTATCAAGTATTAAAAGTGTACTAAGTGTAGTTGATACTGATGACCAACTGGCAAGTAGAGTTTGTCCCATGAGATCGTAAATTTTGATTCCATAGCCATAGACAACCGTCCAGAGACGATTACAGGAATCGAAAGCTACTTGGGCGACTACTTGTGAACTAGAGGGCTTTGTTTGTGGCAAATTTGAAACTGCCCATACTGAATTGTTCAACGAAAGGATATAAACAGGTATTCCAAACTCCCAAAAACATAAATAGATCAATGTATCATTATACCTTGTTAAAGACCAGGAGATCGCGTATGGAATTGGAATGGAATAATTATATATGAACATATTCGTTTGTAAATCCATTGCATAGAATTGAACGACTTTTAAATATTGATTAATGACCAATAGCCATGTGTAATTTCGAGTAAAAACTACTTGTCGAACGTTGTACGTTGCATTGAGAACATATAACAATTGAGAACCATATATTGTATCATTATAGATTCGAATAGAATGTGGAGTATCACAGCCTAGAATAAAATTTTCGGTATTTACTCAGATTAGCTATTGATTAGAATACAAACTTGACACGAAGAGATTTTCGCTTTGTGCTGCAATGGCACATTGAGAACCAACTGACGTGACGCCAACACTAACATTTAGATTGCTACGATTGAATAACGTTCGTGAACCATAGTAAGACATAACAGACAAGAGATTATTTGCTGGGCTAATCGAAAGAAATACTGGCTGGGTGATCGATATTGATGCTGGTTGTTGGGCAAGTTGGATACTTTTTAAAACGAATGATAAATCAGAACAACATCGATTCGGTAATGTTTGAAATATGATTAATGTTGAATTTGCAGAAGACACTATCCCATACGAAGAAATCGGCAGAAGAATAACTTGACAAGATTGATTCGAGGAAAAATAATTTAAAGCAAGTAATGTAGAATTGTATAATAAGATTGCAGTGCATATACATTGATTGATATTCAATTGTGTATATAACAAATATGAACTATTTTGTACATTGAGAGAAGCATTTGAAACTCGCCCAATTCGAACAGCCATTGGCGCAATTTGCATACTGATAGTGATAGAAAGTAAAAACGCAATCCTTACCATAGAAGTCATACTTGAAATGCAAATGTTTCTTCCCTTTTCCATGCAATCTCAGAAGTACAGCTGTCGAGCGCTAGTCTCCCAAAGAAGTGTTTTATGTTCACTAAAGCAAATCAATTCTGCATTTTTAAGTCACAAGTTGGAATCAAAGCACCATGTGCAAGTCGCTGATTAAGTAAATGTCAGGCAAATGAAAATATGTCGATCTGCAAAAGATCGCGTGAGTTTTCCAAACATATATCTATCGAATTTGAAGTCCGATTTCTTCGAAAGTTAGTGAAAGTGTAAAATTTTTTCGGCTGGCAGCCGATAACACTTATTGTTAATCATTCCTGACAATAGCAAAATCTACGAAATAAATCAATAATTTATCAGTGTTTGTTTGAAAACGATGATGAGTTGAATAGCGATTTAGGAGAAAACTCGAGCTACACTTAAAGCTCTGAAATCCAAAAGCGTACGCCTTAAGTTTCTTGTAATGTTGTTTCCATCACAAGACCAATAAACATAATTGTTAAATTTAAGAAGTAGTATAACATTTTTTAATTTCTTAGAAGGCTGGACAAAAATCAACCTGGAAGTACAATAAAATTCAAGTTTGTTTTTTAAAGATGGCCTCGTAGTTCCCCGTCAAGTTTAGACTTTACAAGTGTGTACTCTCGCTCTTAGCAGTTATTTGCCCTTTGATCGCTTGGATGACGACAACATCTTCTAAAAATATATTTTCGTGCACAAATCCGAAGGTGGTGAATGAATCGTTGTACTTCCCCACCTTATTCAATAAAGAATAAACATCATGCATGATTGCCTTTCTTTTTTTATCCAAAAACAAAACAAGCAACTACTATTGTTATCGAGTTTATATAAACACCGTGAGAAAAAAATGATCAGCGATAAGTCAAAACAAATTCCGATCGTAAAATGAGTGGACCATCGTCGACAGTTAATTCTCAACGTCCCCATCATCCCCCAACGTCTCATCATGACACGCTGAATGACGTTCAACAAGATAGCGATCGAGAAAGAATTAAATTTATTCTCGATACATTCGTGACGAATTTTGGTGACGGTATGCATCAAAACCCGAAAGGGTGGCGTGGTCGTTTTCGTAAGATGGCATCGGACGAGTTTGCATTTTATCGCGGATCAGCGGTACTTTTCTATCGTGATCTTCTACAAAATGTTTCTGAGGATGTCTGGTTGAAGAACAATAAATCTGCATTGAATATCTTCATTCATGTAAGAATTCAAGAAAAGCATTTTCGACCTATATATAAATTCATTGCTTTCCATTAGGGTGATCTTCATGCGGAGAACTTCGGCACGTATATTGATCGTTTCGGTCGAATTAACTTCGATGTCAATGATTTTGATGAAGTAATTTATGTGAATTGTTTTCGTCGTTATTCTGTGAGTGTTTAGGGCTACATTGGACCGTTTACTTGGGATATAAAGCGTTTACTTGCAAGTTTAAATTTGATCATGTTTGCTAAAGCATATTGTGATGCCAAAATCGAGAAAATCCTTGAAACTGTTGTTCGTTCTTATTTAAAACAGATCTATGGTTATTGTGACACGCCTGAACAGCATCTTGTTCCGATAACGCACGAGAATACGGAAGGACCAGTAAATATCTTGATCAAAGAATCGCGTTTAGGTTCGAAAGAAGATCATTTAAACACGATGACATATATTGAAGATTATCAACGAAAATTTATTCGTTCAAAGATCGTTAAAGATGTTGATGATACTTTACGTCATCAGATATTACTTGCTTTTCAAGACTATGTACGGACAATACCTGAAAGTAAAAGAGAATCAACAATGACATACCGTGTGAGTTATTCTATAAATTATCTCAACACTAGTCTATTCGTTGTTTTAGGTTAAAGATATTGTTGCACGTTCTTCGCCGGGAATTGGTTCTGCAGGCGCGATATCTTACAATGTTCTAATAGAAGGACGAACTGAAGCGTTAGAAACTGATGTTGTCATATATATGAAACCAGCAACAAAATCAGCAGTGGCCACCGTTATCAACAATCCAGATGTAGAACAATATTTTAAACATGACGGTCTTCGAACAGTTCTTTGCGCATACGCTATGCATGCCGTGACAACACGATGGTTAGGTTATTCGACATTAAACAATGAGGTGCCATTGTTTGTCGATGAAATTGCAACGCATGGTAAAGATCTCGATTGGACAGATATTAATGATCTGGAAGAAATTCGACAAACAGCAGAGATCTTAGGAAAAGCAATGGGTTTGTTTGAGAAAATCGAAGTTTTATTCAGTTTGTTGATTAGATGTATTGTCTTTTTATAGCCAAAATTCATTGCGCTGCTGACGTGGATTCGATTGATAGAGAGAAACATGGAGCACAGCATACAGATTTGATACCTTTTGGTATCATACCGAGACATTCGGAGGTAGTTATTCGCGATGCGATTGCAGGACGTGACGAAGAATTTGTCAAAGATATGGTCTCATTCGGAATGGTAAAATCGATTTTATATGGACAGTTCGTTTCTTTCACACATTTTCTTCTGCTTTAGGCGTATGGTAATGCTACTCGACGCGATCATCGACTCTTTTTCGAAGCATTCCGCAATGAGCAGATTCCCATACTCGATGAACATCAAGACGAGTCAGCTCAAAAGCAACAGGATTCATCTGCTGCGCAACAAAATGGGCAATGACTTTTCAAATAATTGCTATTGATTGTAGTAAATGCATGCGAAGTTCTATTCCGTTAATAAATAAAGATTTATTAAAGCGTATTTTCATACACCTAGCTGAATAGCTTCGATGGTAACTCGGTTAGGTGTCGCTAGTCTCCTATAGTATGATCAGTTGTTTTCCGCTCGTCTTGATAGTGGCACGTAATGGTGTTTAATGACGAATAGATACAATACTTGGAATCAATGGATCGTTTATCTCTTTATTTTCTATGTGTATGTGTGTGTGTTTTTTGGATATTTTTATTATCATTTTGTATCTTTTCACAGTTTTTTTTTCAACAAATAGATAGAACACATACGCGGTGCCATGGCGAATCAGGGCTCGTATAACTATTCATATATATTTAAATACATTATCATCGGTGATATGGGTGTAGGAAAGAGTTGTCTTCTTCATCAATTTACTGAGAAAAAAGTTTGTTTAAAGATGAAAGTCTACTCAGTCGCTTTCATAGTATATCTCTCTATTTAGTTCATGGCTGATTGTCCGCATACGATCGGTGTTGAATTTGGTACACGTATAATTGAAGTTAACGGACAAAAAATCAAATTGCAAATATGGTAAATAAATTTCGAATATTTTTCTCAGAAAAGAAATACTCGTTTACTTCGGTTGTAGGGACACTGCTGGTCAAGAGCGTTTCCGTGCAGTGACAAGTGCGTTATGTTCATTTTAAATTAAAAAAAAGCAAAACAACAAATGCAAATGATTTCTGTTTAGGATCGTATTATCGTGGAGCAGCTGGCGCTTTAATGGTCTACGATATAACTCGGCGTGCCACTTATAATCATTTGAGTGGATGGCTTACTGATGCAAGAAGTTTAACTAATCCCAACACAGTAATTTTCCTTATTGGTAAGTAGAAAGCTTTTTTCTCACAATAAAACAGTTCTCAGACTTGGTGATTGTCTCTGTAGGTAACAAAGGTGATTTAGATGGTCAACGAGAAGTGACATACGATGAAGCCAAAAGATTTGCTGAAGAAAATGACTTATTATTTCTTGAAACATCAGCTAAAACAGGAGATCACGTTGAAGATGCATTTATCGAAACCGCAAAAAAAATCTATCAGAACATTCAAGATGGTTCGCTCGACTTGAATGCAGCCGAATCAGGTGTCAAACCCAAACCATTGACTCCATCACGAACAGGAAACGGAGTAGGAGGTGCAGATGGTATTGGACAAAATGGAGACTCCAAATGTCAATGTTAAGATTTGATATATACATACACACATATATAAATATATTTATTTCTACGGCAGATGATAGACCAAAGAAGTATAACTTATTCTCTGTCTCAGATCGATTTACATTTTTTCCGCGCATTTGTAATTGTCGTTGCTCTTTTATTTTCTTGTACATTTTATGTGTGTGTGTGCTTCGGTATCATTCTTTTTCTTTCAGCTCAATTATCATCGTCTGTCTTCTTTTTCCCTCTCTTTGTTGTCATTGTTACTTTTCATAGAAAACCTTCCCTATCATCAAAAGAACAAGCAAAACAATAATACAGCACACGCACATATGAAACATTTATTTATTTATTCAATCATCTACCACTGCGAAGATGTTCGCTTCATCAATTGACAAATTTTATAGTCGTTTTTTTTTACAGAACAAGTGCAAATCTTATTTTTCCTCTAGCAAATCATTCGAAACACGCCAACTAATGGCAAAATAAAACATGAACAAAATCAATCGCACAAAACTCAACGCACCATGTGCGCTTTTTTATTTTCATACAGACAGCATCTTATCGGAATTAGCGATTGATCGATTGTCCGCGAGAGTATCGAATCTATTACATAACAAAATGAAATGATCGCAGTCAAGTTACATCAGAGCGAAGGTGAGAAACATGAACGACAGTGACCGTTAAAGCATGCCAAGATACAACTGAAATTAAGCGATTTTCTTCAGTTGACATTGAGAAGAAAATAAAATGTAAATCGTATGCTTTCTCCTCGTAGAATCGCACTAAAATAGTACCACCGAGTAAAATCGTGTTAGAAAACAGATATCGAATTGCGTCGAATGACAAAATAGATTTTTGTTCTCATTAATAAATCAGAATGAGATTAATAGAATATGGAATATAATCATCAATAATCGTTTATAAATATCATTAAAATGATAATGACTTGTGTCTTATTCTCGTTTTCGATTTTGCGAAGAAAACTGTAAGCGAAGAATAATTCTCTCATTTCTTTGTGATGGATTATTTACTTCTGCACATAATGATCTTTCACTGAATAGTTGGGAATCAATGAAGAGTGTAATCGCTTTTGAAATACAACGCTCTATGATTCCATATAAATTGAGATTGATGATTCAGAATCGAAGAGAGACATTTAATCTATTCAGAGTAAACCATATAGAACTAGATTACAATTGATCTGTCTGCTCGGGAAAAGAAAGCAAAACAGTTGTTTCTTCGTTTGACATTTGACTCAATCAGCAGAATAGATCAAGACACGCAAGATTTTATTGATGAATTTAATAAACAAAAGAGGAAATAAGAAATGAACAAGGAATTTATTAGCAGACGATCATTACGCTCCATTTGATTCAATAATCATAAAATACATCACGCCATGCTCATAGTCATGTGAGTGAACGCGAGATTACCGTATTGAATGTTGACTACTACATTAATAGTAATCAGACGACAACAGAATGTGTTAATCGGTTTAAATGAGAGACGTTCGATGTGTAGGAAGAGAAAATATGCCATAGGAGCGAATCAATTGAACTAGACACTGAACGAAGAATATACTTATGACAAAGAAAACAAAAGCAAAGATAATACTAGGTGAACTGAGAGAACTTTTACATTCGTATTTGACATATGCATGTTTTACAATTTATCCATCATTTGATTGATCTGCTGTATTGAAATCCATCGTTGTGGGTTGAGGTAGAATAGTTCCAGGCTGATTGCTCATATAGCTTGCTCGAAGAACACATTTTTTCAGTTCGTCAATGGCTTGGGCTTGTAGAAGAATGAAGTTTTTAGCTGAAAAACGTGTGCGCCTTTTTTATTGATACCATTTGTGCGAATACTTGAAATAAACTCACCTAAATATAATGTTGAGATTTTACTTAGCTTTCGTACTGATGGTGAATGTGCGTATGGAATCTAGAGTAAAAGAAGTTTTACAAAAAACATATTCATTGAGATTGAAATTCAACGAACCACTGAACGTAATTCATCAAGAGCATCGTTTAGGTCATGCATACGTCGACGTTCTCGTGCATTTATGGATAATCGTAGGGTTCGTTGTTTCCGCTCACCAATACTATGAACAGATGATGGTGGATGTTCTTGTTGGCGCGATTGTTGTTGCTCATTTGTATTCAACGACGAAGTCATCATGAGTGGTAACGGAAAATTCCAAAGTGATGAAGGTGTAGAATTATTTGCCATCTTACTAAGCCACTGTTCTGTTGTGATTGTGTGTAATGATAAGAAAATTAAGTCAACGATTCAGTTTGTATGTAATCGTCTAGTTCTCTCTTCTTCTTCTGCTTTAGTTATTCTGTGACATCTCATCAGTACTTATATATATATATATTATCAATGTATTTTATGATCTTATTCCCTAAACGATTTATTTCCTATGTAACTATTTCTGATTTTGCTCACACTGTCGTTAGAGATGCTTGCTTGCATTCAATCATGAGACAGTCATAATTGAATTTCTTCTACATATATTTAATAGAGAGCTAACCACTCAAATTTGCAAATTGTTATCATCATTGATGAAAGAAATGCAAAGAACCATGAAATATTCACGATGATGATCACGACCTCTAGTGAGAACGCATAAGTACATGTAGAAATTAAAGGTGAATAGGGGTGTCTATTAAACACACAAACAGATAAGATAAGATAAAAAGAAAGAAAAAGAAAAATGTATTCTTCTCTATTTCTTTCATCCATCATTTCGACGATCATTATAAAGATTTATCACCAGAAGAGAAAACATGACTTCGGTTGCACTTCCACCGGGCATTTATGTTCCCATTCCAACATTCTTTCTCGACACACCCGCCGATGACCAACCAGTCGACGTCGATACTGTTGCTCGACACGTCCAGTTCCTCTGCTCAGCTGGTGTTCATGGTGTTGTTTGTATGGGTTCAACAGGCGAAGCAGTGCATCTCAATGAAGATGAAAGACAACTGGTCGTTCGAACTGCACGCAAAGCCATCGACGAATCAGCCTCCAAAGCGAAACTCATCGCTGGCTGTTCACACGAGTCAGTTCGCGGCACACTACGCCTCATCAAGCAAGCAGCCGAAGCAGGTGCTGAATATGCTATGGTTCTACCACCTTCGTATTTTCTTACCTGGACAGTCAACCGATCGGACGTCCTCGCTTCCTTCTACACGAAAGTCGCTGACAAGGCTGCGCTTCCAGTTATAATCTACAACTTTCCAGGTGTGACACAGCAGATGGATACTCCACAGGAAACCATCGTCAAGCTAGCTTCTCACCCGAACATTGTCGGTATCAAATGTACCGATGGAAATGTAGGCAAAGCAGGTTACGTTTGTGAACACACCGATCCCAAACAATTCACGCTGATGAGTGGCTCGGCTGATAGTTTCGTGCCGTTCCTAACAATTGGAGCACAAGGGTGTGTTCCGGGTTTCGCAAATGTTGCTCCGCGAGTGCTTGTTCATCTGTTTAACTTGTATAGAAACCATTCACAGGATAAGTGGGAAGAAATTCAACGTATTCAAGGCCGAATTGTTGGGCCTGATCATGCTTTTTTTCGATGGAATGGAATATCCGGTTTGAAGGCAACTATGCAGAAAGTGCTAGGATATGGTGGTCTCCCACGTGCACCGCTGGTGCCAACATCAACAGAACAACAAGAGAGTATTGTCAAAGCCATCGAACCAGCACTTGAAATCGAACGAGACTTAGCTTCAAAAGCATAAAAGAAGTAGATTGGTGAACATATTTTTAGAGTTATAGAACGATACTTATTGGTTTTTTTCTTTTTTTCTATTTATATGCAAATCTTTTTCCTAATTGATATTTACATCTTACAAAGCACATAGAGTTCAATAAATTAACGTAGAATTCATCTACATACTACTTTTCATATGTATCATCAATCAGCACGTCAGTTTTTATGAAAAATATCTATGCAAAAATAAAAGACATTGTTTGAAATCCGCTTATATCGCAAATTATTTCGGAGCGAAAGCGACTAGGCAAATGCATCACTAGCGCAGTATTGGCCAAACAGTATCAGATAAGAGTGAGAGAGATAAGATAACAGAACTTAACCCTCCATGTTCTCAAATTATTTAACGAGTTTCTCGATTGTTAGTACCATAAACCTTACGATAAAACATGACTTCGGTTGCACTTCCACCGGGCATCTATGTTCCCATTCCAACATTCTTTCTCGACACACCCGCCGATGACCAACCAGTCGACGTCGATACTGTTGCTCGACACGTCCAGTTCCTCTGCTCAGCTGGTGTTCATGGTGTTGTTTGTATGGGTTCAACAGGCGAAGCAGTGCATCTCAATGAAGATGAAAGACAACTGGTCGTTCGAACTGCACGCAAAGCCATCGACGAATCAGCCTCCAAAGCGAAACTCATCGCTGGCTGTTCACACGAGTCAGTTCGCGGCACACTACGCCTCATCAAGCAAGCAGCCGAAGCAGGTGCTGAATATGCTATGGTTCTACCACCTTCGTATTTTCTTACCTGGACAGTCAACCGATCGGACGTCCTCGCTTCCTTCTACACGAAAGTCGCTGACAAGGCTGCGCTTCCAGTTATAATCTACAACTTTCCAGGTGTGACACAACAGATGGACACTCCACAAGAAACCATTGTCAAGCTAGCTTCTCACCCGAACATTGTCGGTATCAAATGCACCGATGGAAGTGTAGGCAAAGCTGGTTACGTTTGTGAACACACCGATCCCAAACAATTCACGCTGATGAGTGGCTCGGCTGATAGTTTCATGCCGTTCCTAACAATCGGAGCACAAGGGTGTATTCCGGGCTTCGCAAATGTTGCTCCGCGAGTGCTTGTTCATCTGTTTAACTTGTATAGAAACCATTCACAGGATAAGTGGGAAGAAATTCAGCGTATTCAACGTCGAATTATCGGCCCTGATCATATTCTTTTCCGTCCGAATGGTATTTCTGCCGTGAAAGCAATCATGCAGAAAGTGCTAGGATATGGTGGTCTCCCACGTGCACCACTTTTACCCACAGGAGATGAGCTACAAGAGACTATTTTGAAAGCCATCGAACCAGCACTTGAAATCGAACGTGAATTAGCATCGAAGCAATGAATAGACAAAGATGATTTTTTTCTTCGTAAAGAACTGAACTTTGGAAGGATGTTTGAATTATACCGCATAAGAGGAAAGAATTAAATTGAGCATACATAGACGTCTCCTTACGTTCATCATTTTATTCGCACTTAACTGTCTGTCGTTCTCATCTATCTGCCTTTTCATATCGTTCAAGATATGTGTGCATATGCATGTCTGAGAGTTTGATGTGTAGAAAAAGAAAACAGAAATATGACAACAATCTGAAGAAAAAGACAGCATTTTAACAATGAATGAACAAACAAACAAACAAACAAGCGAGCGAGCAGAAAGAAAAGAAAGGAGTAGTTGAGATTACCGAAAAGTAATAGATGATATTGAAAGACAGCAATTGTGGTTTTTTGTGTGTAACAGAAGATGTTCTCGCGCTCATTTCATCAAATCTGTGTCGGATAGCCAACAAAATATGAAATTCGTATAAAACAAGAGAACGGTAACAATAAGGAACAAAGAAAGTGATAAAGAAAAAAGTGTGTGTATGAAAGAGAAGATCGTCCGTCCATCAGAACTGTTCACTATCATGGTATGTGTAAGAAAAAAAAAAGGTTTTGAATGCAAGAAACTTGCGGTCACGAAACAGAAAAGAAAATGAAAGGATAAAGAAAAAGAAAAGAGAAAGAGATCAGACGTTCATCCCCATCAGTTCATTACTTTTATTATATCGGTTGTTGTTGTGGTTGCGGTTTGCTAATTCGGTAGTCATTGTTATTCTCATCACTTGTGGTGAACGATGACGGATTATTATTGAATTGACCACCACTACCACCACGTCGTGAACTATTGCTACCTCCACGATAAGATGTTCGATTACCTCCTCGAGCACCACCTCTTCCTGAGTAGTTACTATTACGGTTACCACCTTGAGCAGCATTGTTTATATTACTGCCTGTATTGTTATTATTTGACGGATAATTTCGCTGTGTTTTCGGTTCAACATTCAAGCGTATTGTACCATTGTACATGATATGTTCCTTGGTAACAAGTGCTGCTGCACTTTCCGGGTTATCAAAAACGACAAATCCAAAATTCTATTTTGATAAAACAAAACAAAACGAAATAGAATAGAATGAGATGATCCATGTGGACGAACCTTCTTGTTGTCATGAAGTGGCGTGTAGATTTTGGCATCAATAACATTACCATATTCTGAGAAGCATTCAATCAAGGTTTTTTCCGTGAAATCCAATGGCAATGAGCCAACGAAGACCTGCTGTTCATTGGGCGCTGTAGCGACATTTGTACCTGGAGAAAAAGAGTGAAATATAACGATTGAGATATGTTATTCAACAATTACCACGATTAGTTTGTTCATAGTAATTAGTATTACCTCGTTGTTGTGGGTATTGTCGTTGACCCAGTTGAGCGCTACCAGTTGGTCGATTGTTTGTGATTGGTTGTGCTTTCGTTTGCGGACGGATTGTATTTGGCTGTTGCGAATTACTTAACGGTGCACTAGGCGGATTCGCAACACTGCGTACGGTTGGTGTTACTGATGCGTTAACAGTTGTAGGAGCACCAGCTGGTTGATGTAATTTAGCAATGCCAGCATAGGATTCTAAATGAGTCAAGTTGGTCGATATGTGTACAGAGAACCTATCAGTCGTCTCGTCTTACTTCCTTCAACTTTTTTCCCTTCGGTTGTTGAAGTTGGTTGCGTTTGCTTGACCTGCTGTTGGTTTGAACCGTTTGTTCCATTGGTTGGTTCTTGAGTTTCCTGAGTAACTTGATTGTTTAATGACTGTGGGCTAGGCTCTGTAGCTTCTTGCTGTTGCGGTTGAGTATGCGTATGGCCAAGTCCACCATAACTGTTTGTTTCACCTGCATTCGAGAAGCCATTCCTAAAATAAAATACCGTTCAATTTGAAATAACTCGTTGATTGAAGAAACGTACAAGTTTGTTGAACCAACATGCTGATGTTCTTGTTGACGAACACTAGCTTGATTTGGAATGTTCTGTTGTTGTTGATTAGTTCCATGTGTTGAACTAGCTCCACGAGGTGGTAGTGGTTGATGATCTTCCACTGGTGGTCGTGCATTGGCTGTTACAAGTAAAGGTTGCTGAACAGGTGCCACCGAAGAATCAGCATTCGAAGTTTTGTCCTAAGAAATCATGTACATAAAGTTATACGGCATAATTCTGGTCCGTCCATTGTTTACCGCATTTGAAATTGCATCACCGTATATATGTGAGCCTGATCGATCATCTTCGTCGACTTCATCCGATCCATCGTCGAATACTTCATCCTGGTAACGAAAGATATCATTCTGTACGTAGTATTTTTTTGGTTGTCGGGGAGCCAATACGAATGTTTGCATGAAACGACGCATTGGATCACCATTATTCGACAATTCACCAGTAACCTAAAAAGAAAGTTTGTTTCGTAATGAATTCTTTTCAGATAAGTCAAGAACAATGTACCTGGACGACAACCCCATCACCAATAGTTGGGTGCGAATCGACCTGGCGAATTTTCGCATGGCACTCCCGTAAATTCAAATCATTGATACGTTGAGAAATATTTTCGGGACCAACTGCTGGTTGTTCAACACAACCTGGTCGATCAACACCACCGTGTATGAATGTGCTGTCCGTAGAATAGAATCTGTTAACCGAGAGGGCACAAAGTGAATCGAAATTGTTGAAAAAAAAACCGCTATCAATGATAATTACCGATGAAGCATATGAGGCGCTTGATGTAGTAGTGTATAATACTGATGAACAAATGCACGGCCCACCTAATTCAACGAGATTATAGAGTATGTGTTTGAAATAAAAGGAAGATTTCTTACATCAAATGGGGTGGGACTATTTTGTACCATATTGCTCGTTTATTGAAGAGATAAGATGGGATGAGATCTAGAAATGAAAGAAAGGTAGTCGAGTTCGAACAATTATTAACATTAGTAAGATTATCGGTGAGTGAGAGAAAGAGTGTAGACGGACGGACGAGCGGTCGACGTATAGGTAGACCTGCGAACAAAAGAGACAGAACTTAGCAGTAGAATAAGAGGTTGACAGAACAGACACGATGGTAGTGCTAGCAAAATATCTATGCAGTATAAGATATAAGATGTCACTATATACAAGCGTTGTATTATCTCTCACCATACTCACAAACCAATAGAAAGATCATAGGGTATGAGTGAGTTTTTGCCGTTTTCAAGTATCTGGAATATTTTATTGATATATCGAGATTAAGCAGGTAATGTACAAAAAATAATCTTAAGAATTAAAAAAGAAAAACTGTATCACACATGATAATTGATTGTTTTCTGTCTACATGATCGTTGTGGTCGATTCGATATATTAGCCACCGCTTCTGAGGACAATTTCTTTTTCCGAGGTGAAGCTGATGTTGGTTCGTCTTCGGCATTTTCCTCTTTTTCGGAGTCTAGAACAAAACTAGTGGCTTTCGTTGAAATAGAAGCAGCGATCTTTACCGCTTTCGACCATTTCTTGTTTACTTCGTTTTTTTCGTAACCCTTTTGAACGTACTGCAGTAACTGAGTTCTCTATGATAAAGCAAGTAACGTATAGATGTGAAATTTTCTTATTGAAATCATATCACCATTCCCTTGATCGTCACTGGTATTGTCATCATTTTTACCCATTTTCTTCTTACTTGCTCGTTTGGCATCACGTGCAGCCAATCGAGCATCCACTTGATGTTGTTCATCATCGGATAAGAGTTGTCTTTGCGGTACATAAGCTGATGTTCGTCCACCGACGGTATCAAATCGAATTTTTAGCTTATAATAATCTTCTGTTTCCCGTTTGTTCGTCCATCGAAAATGAAACAACCATTCTGGCGGAAATTTATGACTTCCACCTGCATCAACCGCTGTACGAATGACATAGTCGATGTTTTTGTACAAACTTTTGAGTTGATCGTTCGTCAATGTATTCAATCGTTTACGTGGATGCAAATGTGACTGATAGAGTATTTCATCGGCTATCCAATTGCCAATTCCAGCACAAAATGATTGGTCGAGTAATAATGCTTTGAGTTCGATCGATTTCGATCGGTACGAGTCGATTAAATCCTTGAAATCATTAAGTTTTGGCATTTCGAGGTAAGGATCGAAGCCTAATTTTGATAAAGGAATGCATGAAAGAGGTTCGTTTGATTCAATTAAATGGAAACGTCCAAATTTGCGAAGGTCTGTATAGCACACATCGTGACCTGTTGACGTCAAAAGTCGAATACGTGTAAAACGAGGTGGCCATGTTAAGTCAGCGTCTAGTTCGTCATCTAAATAAATCTATGTTACACTCATGTACTGACTGACAGATATTTACCATAAACAAAAGACTCGCATTGTCCATCAACTTCGTTTTTCGCTTTTCTTTTCACATGTTCAAGCTCTTTCAAATAAGTCACATCAGGTGCTGATTTGATTCGAAAACCTCCAGACATTCCAAAATGAAAGATTGGTGTCAAAGGTTTCTGGTCAGCCATCTCGAACCATAAATATTTACCGTGCCGTTTAATATCTAAAATCTTACGGTTAACTAATCCATCGGCAAATGAATTCGGTGTGCAATTCAGGAAACGTTTCGCCAGGCCATCAACATCTGGATATGAAACTTTAGTAATATATGTATGAGTTAAAAATCGAGCCAATAATCGACGAGCGTATTCTACTTCTAAAAAGAAATGCAACGTATACTTTCACTTCAAAATCCATCTCATATTGTTTTTTTTCGTACCAGGTAGTTCAGGCATTTATTTGAAAGATGAATGGAAACGATTGACAGATTAAATTTGTTGTATTTATAGTTTACCAATTCCAATTTCGCACAAGGAAAATCAGACGATTATGTAATCTTCCTTCGATATGTGTACTGAACGACTGGTTCTTTCCGTGTAACGAATAGCAACGTAAGCACGACAGATGGTGATGTCACAAGGAAAACGAACTATCTCTTGAGGGTGAGAGTGTGGATACAAGGCATAGAATGTCGATCAGAGTATTACTGTGAGTAACGGAAAGGTCTACGATAAATGTCGGGTTGAACATAGACATCAAGCTGATGGTGAGCGTGATGTACTCATCGCATCCTCAGAAATTTGTTATTTATTTTTTATTGAAAAAGAAAACATTGAATAATTTTATGATTAATCGTTATTTTCAAGATCCATTAATCGATAATGTTCGATGATAATTAATGTTGAAAATACTTTGGTTAAGAGATAAATTGTAAAAATAACGATAGACCAAGCGATGAATAAAGTGGGAGATATTGTAATGGAAGTATTATTTGATTATATTCTTCGTTGACATGTTCATCTTTTTCATAAATATTCAACACTTCCTTTCGAATAAAACTTTGGAATTGAACAAAAACATTTTTTACATTGTTTTGTACTTTGATTCGAAGATGATTTGAAATCATTTAGAAATCCATAGATATTTTTCTTTTCAGTAACAATTTTCTCTTGTTCAACAAGCCATTGTTGTCGTAAATATTCATCTTTTGAAGATACTTCATTGGACATTTTTCCATAATTCAATAAATTAGTCTTCGTTGACGTTGATTGAGAAGAAAATCTTGTGGTTTAGGACTCTAAACAGAACAGATTTCATTCTAAAATTGAATGCAAATATGAACTAGCCAATGTTTGAATAAAATTCAAAAGATTCGAAAGGAATTTAGAATCCAAATCTTACGAAAGATGATGAATTGATACTGATTGAAATCAGAATAAGACGACATCAATAGATAATACGAACAAATATTTTAAATAAATCGAAAATTTTTATCAGAAACAAATAGAAGCAACAAATACAAAAACCTCGACGCCTTTTCTTTTCTTGAACAAACAATATTTCACAAGTACTAGGAATGATGTGAAGACAATGATAACTTCCCAGATGATAACACAAGAAAACATTCTCGATATGAATAGAAATGATAATAAACCATGAACAAGTAAATGTAATCAAAGTAATTAGTTTCGATCCATCATAGATGATCAAAAGTAATAATTAAGTAATAACAGAAACAATGTTGTAAATTGTACAAGCACTTTTCAATCTGATATACAATCAAAATAATATGTTTCATCTTTGCTCATGTTTAACAAAATACGAAATAGTTTTTCTTCATTGACATCACTATATAAGTCATATTGATTCTCCAGTAAAGATTTAGAATAATTGATACAAAGACAGAATAACGTAACATATGGAACAACCAAAGTCATCATAAAAAAGACAAATGTGTAGCTGATTTTGCTTCGTGAATCAATGATGATGGTGGTGAAGTCTAAGTGAAAACTGAGAAAGAGAAAAGAAAAATCTATGAACAAAATTTCCACATCATTTTCAAATAGCCTCGATCTAAATATTCGTTTTCTAAGCGTTGTAAAATTAGAGAAAAAAAGATTGTATTAACAATTTATGATAATGAACTCAAACAAACTTAATTCAGTTTCGTTCGAAATGTTCAATGAACGACTTGTGATAATAATTTTACTTTGCAAATGAAAGGAACAAGAAAAGAAATAAAACATAGACTGATCAATCAATTACTTGGCTCCGCACGTTCATTTTCAAAGTAAATTAATTCAACGAATGATAGAGAATAAATCTCATTCGCAAATGAAACAATATAATGGAGGAAGATTACTTTTGTTTTATTTTCATGCTGACCATCAAGCAGATTAAAATCAAGTTTTTTGGCAATAAGAATGTGATAAATTATCAAAGACTTTATTTATATTTTTGAAAATTTAATTGAAACTGTTACATTTTGTTGTATTTTGAGGATGACAATGTTTTATTTAGTTATCCATCCTCACACTCTCATCCTCAAGCGAATCAGGCCAAGAAATACTCGAATCGGTAGCTAGGATATTGTACGTAAGAAAAGTCTCATATCAAACGCACGTATGGTCATGTCTGTGATGCCTTTGCTACCGGTCGGTCACGGTTTATGGGAGGAGGAGTCCAAATTTCTACCCCTAAACCTTCAACGCTCCCTTTAGGTCGTGTTTCACAAAAAATTGAATATTTCTTAACTAGCACTAAATACGTTCAATGTGTAATTTCGCAATAAACAGCATAAAATTCGAGCTTTTATATGAACAAATGCCTTTTAATTCGATTTCACTTTTGACTAATCAATGAAGTGCGGACACACAAGCAAGGAAGCTGATAGTTTATTTGTTAGAAATGATCGTTACATGAGCATTGTCCATTTCGATAGAAATGATGAATACGATTTGCGTCGCGAACAATTATTTCACATTGTCGGATATTTGCAATCAATTTCGTTGCTCGATCTATACATAAGAAAAAGAAAAAAGATCAGCTTCCAAAGGAAAATATTTTAGCATACGACAATCGCCGCAGATACGAAGATTTTCTGTAATTTGAATTCGTGATGCATTGGGATGGACGACAAAATTCCATGCGATCGCGAGTCTTTCACTATGGCCACACAGAACTGATTCAACAGTTTCATCTGAATGTAACGGACGTGTGATCCAACTAGAATCGTAATCGTGACCGTGCGAAATGAGTTCTTGATTGATTTTATCAATTTCTTCATAGATTTCCTTGGACTGAGGATGCGATGAATCGTGAGCACGAAATGCCTATCGATATAAATTTAAAATGAATTCTCTCAGTAGAATTACTTACATATATCTTGCCATTAACTTCATTATAAGAAACTCCACTTGTTTTTTTCAAACCAGACTGAGACAATTGTTTTTTTAGACTAAATGACTGATCTATCTGACCTATCGATGCATAGACATTTGCAAGTAAAACAGACGCAGCAACTATTCGATCTTTTAGTTGAGGGAAATGTTTCTGGATACGATGAAAAGTTTTTTCTGCTAAATCTGAGTTCTTCGCATTTCGAGCGCCAGACAATAACGCCACTAGAAAGAACAAATACCTGTACCATGGAGAATTCAGATTTCTATCAACATAAACGAACGTACTAAGCATTCCTGGTGATGGCGCATGATTCGATTCGTAAGCGTCAACAATCTCTTCTGCTTGTGTGAAAAGCGACAAGCGACTAAAACAATCGACCTAAAATAATTTCAAACTGACTCGAATGAAAACAACAACAAAATTTCATTTCACTGACCATAGTCGTGCAAATTTCTTCGGTTTTCTTTTCTATTGTTGCAAATATCTTTTGAGCCTCTTCAACAAGTCCAGCATGTGAACATGCGTTTAAAACACATACATAAGTTTCATCGCGAATAAGATTCGCTGGCATTTGATAAAATAACTTGACTGCATCGAAGCCCATTCCATTCAAACCATATGAGTTAACTGAAATCATTGATGATAATATTATTAATTGTCCAGGAGAATAACTTTAACAGACTCATCGATGTATATCCAACTGTTTCCGGTTGACTCAATGATTCGAATGTATTCTTTGCTTTATCAATACAACCCGATTTTCCCTACGCAATTCAAAATATATTTGATTCTCTTTCATTGTGGCTTCATTAATGAATGTACTCTTACCCACATATCAATCAATGAATTTTTTATATAAAGATCGTTCAGACATGATTTCGGGATTTCTTCGAATATCGATTGAGATACTGTATAAATTCCAATGGCAGCACACGCACTGAGTAAGAGAAGAGAAACCGTTGCATCCAATTTGATACGTTTTCTTGTCATTTCTTCAAATAAGCTTAATGTTTTCACTGGTTGATTGTTTTTATTCAATGCATTCATGAAATTTCCATAACTAAACGCATTGGTGGCAATTTTAGGAAAAATTTTCTCAGCGTTTGATAGATCATTGCATTTGATGAAGACATTAAAAACATTTGTCAAAATATATTCGTTATTTTGGTAACGATCGGGAAGGTTAGAAAAAACTTTCTTCACTAATTCTAATGTTTTTTCGTTTGGAACTTGTGAACATGCATGAAAAAACGATGAAACATTTTTCTCATCTGTATTTGGTATTCGGAAGAAAAGTTCAATTGCTTTTTGTGCCTGATTGTTGCGAATATATCCTTTGATTCAAGAACTCATAATGTGATTAGATTAAAATAACAAGAACAAGTTACCTTTCATCATTATACTGTAAATAGCAACGGTTTTCTTCTCCAGTTTGTCAAAGAGCAACTGAGCATTATCAACATCTTTTGATTGCACTAAATACGA